CCACATACATTACTCACACCTACTGCAAGACCCTACGGCGTTATGTATGCAGGGCGTGGTAGTCACACACCCCTACCTGAGGGTGTCATCTGAGAGTGACATCACACTCCGGCCAAATCTTCCCCGCACCCGGTAAACACGCGTGACAACGGCCATATGTCTGATATAACAAAACAACTAACATGATACGAATCATTCATGTTCTTTCCAGTGTCATAACTGAATTATGCGTACAGCGTGGTGAGGCCGTCTCAAGTGTTTGGCTTTATGACGTCACCTGAATACACAGAGTATTGGCATTCCTGTGCAGACGGGAGTGTATGCTGGAGGAACGAGTTCAGTACGGGGTGACTGGCATGACACACCAGTCAATATCTCCAAATACAAGCAGAATACCGTTCGATTAAGACCATATATATACAAACTACCACCACCTACACGACTGTTTGATAAGAATCGGTAGCAAAGTATGTATGCTTGTATAATTCAATCGTTAAAATCATGTCCACGTATCTTTTTTCAATGTCATCTCCACAATGTGTGTGAATAAACTGAGTTTGTGCGTCAGTGGGTATTGCCTGACGCCGCCATCTTGCTGTAATCATCCTGTTTGTTCTTAGGTCAATGATTCGTGTTGTACAGCTTTAAAAACAGGTAGTAACACAGAATCGAAATATATATATACATATATATATACATATGTATATACACATTGGGTATATCTAGCCTACAGGTGGATATATGAGGTATTTTGTTTGTTATATGTTAGGAAATTGGGGTAGTGAATCTTAATTTCTTAATTCTGTGTAAAAAAATTATCTTCAGATTTATTATTCTACTGAAATAATCTTCTAGATCTACACAAATATCGGACTTTTTATTGTTTGGTAAGAACTGTTGTACTCTGTGAGAACGTGGGAAATGCACAAGGAAAAGAATTGGGAAAGCAGAAGAGGGCTTGGAAATGTAATTATTGTGTTGCCAAGCCTAAGTTCATTTCATTTTGTGGTAAAATGATTAAAGTTGTACTCAGTACTCTTGTATAAAACGTCGTTTGTAAGAGAATGATGAACCGCTGATTTGCTAACGTTGGGTGCTTAATGTTTAAGCGTGTTTAAGTCAAACAATTGTTAATATTAGGTAGATTCGTTAGACAGGGCCGTTGTCCAGGTACTACAAATATGTATCCCAGATATGTTTCTGTAGAGAGAAATGTATTCTAAACAAAGTCAAACATACACACTTGAACACGTAAATGTCTAAAGATGATATCACTAGATCACCATATTAGTTTTCATTGAAAAATGTCAAATTCAGTAAAAGATTATCTACATTGAACACTCGGAGTTATCTGCTCCTGAGATTTCTCCTAGAGTGACTTCCCTTGCGAGGAAATGTAAATTCCTCGCAGCGATAGCCTATTCACGAGTATTTAGCGAGAAGGTAACGAAGGTGTCAGGCGCTGCGAAGGAGTTTGAAAATTATCGTCTGCACACTATTTTCATTGGGCTCCTTCAATATTATTGTTTCAGGGCTTTAGCTAGTGAATTCTTGCTTGACAAAAGACACCATCACTGAGAGGATGAATATGGAACCTTATAAATTTTGATAAGGACAAACTTAATAGCTATAGTTCAAGAATTCCCCATCTTGCAATATTTGGCGTTACATATAGCTCCACTTCAAACATTCGAGCCTTGTTTGGACGTTTCCTCAGAATACAATGACGGAAATGGCGGGGATACTTTGGTAAGTTAAATAATCACTTCTTCAACCTGTAACATAAAATGAAGCTTAAAGTTTTTGAATACTCCTTCAGGTTCATCGTCCATTAGTTTCACTAATTACCAGCGTTTATCGTCCTGATGTTTGTTTTTTTAATGTGATCGACATGTTCATATGTTGATTCTATATATATCTTTGACTTTCATTGATATTGGTTGTTATGCCTACTTCTGGTTATTTCGATTTTGAAAAGGAAATACACTTGAAATAACGATAATTGAAACGAATTACGAAAATAGATCTATAATCAAAGTAACAAAACTCGAAATGTTTTTAAATAATCGAAGAAACGTGAAATAACGAGACAATAACATAGCAAACAGGGAAATCGTAATTTTGAGTCTTTGAAAGAAGGAAATATTTAAAGTAACGAAAAAAACTTGAAATTTCGATGTTTTTTCAAAATAGAAAATAATTTACATGACGAGAAAGTAATTGAAATTTGTATTGGAAACAAGAAGACATGGTCATCAATATCCCCCGCCACAGTGTTCTGCTCCTCAACATATATGTCCTGAAAACACATACCACATTTGATTTCCCTATTTATAACGGTTACTGAGAAAATCTGTTCCCATTGGGTATAACGATCAAGAAACGCACGACAAGGGCTATAACTCCGTAAAGAATCTTAACACGGTTTCCGTTTTCGAACTCCATCAAGGCATTTATGTCCTGAAAACACATACCACATTTGGTTTCCCTGTCTATAACTGTTTCTGAGAAACCCTGTCCCCATCACCTCGGACGGACGGAGGTCAAACCTATATCCCCCTCCCACTTCGTGGCGGGGCTAATAATCGACAGCAGTGTTCACGAATGGTGTTTCAATGTAACAGGACATTGGGTCCTGTAAGTTCAGATGTCTGTCTGACCCATTGAAAATTCACAGGACCCATAGAATAAAATTAAACACACATTTCAGATTTAACATTTCTTATAATTGGCATTGAAATTATTAACAAACATAAGATTTATAGATTCTAAACAGCAAACAAGTGTCACATGTCACATATAACAACTTCAGTCAAAGTCTTTGTGAAATATACAGTCAGACACTGGGGTCGGTGGGTTGTAGACTTCTATCAGACCTTTGGCGAATCTGCCGGATTTGTCAGAGGGTCAGACGCCATTATATTCGTGAACACTGCGACAGAACGAAAAGTAAAACGTTATGGGAAGACAGTCAAACCAACGAGAAAAAAGTGGAAGTAAAGAGGACAAACTCGTATAATTTCAAAAATCTATACAAGTGGGTGGTAGGGCTTTCTGGCATGGTTGATGCATGTCATCGTGTCCCTTGCAGTTGCTTTGATCGGTGCTTACTAGAATAAGATACCAATCATTGTATTGTATGATACAGACTCGATTATTGAATCTGATTATTTTGTCATATATAAGCGGAATATTGTCGAGTGGCGGCGATAAACGACAAAGAAACTAAATACTTTACATCCTTATCTTCATGCTAATATTTGAAGAAAGTAATACACAAGTTTATTTAACATGACTATAAAATAATTTTTCTTTGGCAAAACGTTCTACTTTCATAATTCAAAGTACAGTCCAATACATAAAATAAGTAACGTTAGTGATTACGATGGGGCATTTGTATCATTTAACCATATTCTTATAATGATTACTTTAATGAAACGCACACAACGTCTTTTAATTAATTCTGAACATACTACCCGTGAAGGTCCGGGTTAAAATAAACTTTCAGTAACCCATGCTTGTCGTAAGAGGCGACTAACGGGATCGGGTGATCAGGCTCGCTGGCTTGGTTGACACATGTCATCGGTTCCCAATTGAGCAGATCGATGCTCATGCTGTTGATCACTGGATTGTCTGGTCCAGACTCGATTTTTGACAGACCGCCGCCATATAGCTGGAATATTGCTGAGTGCGGCGTAAAACTAAACTCATTCACTCACTCACTCGCTCTGAACATACTGTTTTGTAGTATGGTATTTATCGTGTATTGCAACACATTTCCGAATATCTTTTCCCAAAAGAATGTATGCGAAGAAACACTTACAACTCTGCTCTAGTCTTGAACACTATTCGTTCACCAAGATCCACAGAAATCAAATAAGTAAATAATAATTCCATCGTGGACCGCTGTAAAATCTGGTGCCGTGTAATAAATAGAACACTCACTCACTCTAAACACTAGTAGGTAAAACTGATGGGTCATTAGACACAACAGTCGACTAATGCTTTGTATCAATATAATAATCGAGTGATTTCACGGTAGGGTGCTTCAGTCCTCCAGGGTATGACTGGGTCAGGCTAGCGACACGCCTACGGCATTTCAAAACGGTTCCGGGGCACACGCCAAATAAACACTGGTGCCATATGATTACCGCAGAGGTGGGATATTTGTCAGATTAATCAGGCTCAATAAACATGATTAACACTGTTGTTATAGTACTGTTCTTGCGCGTGGTGTTAATCTGGTTGAAATTATTTCCGGGTATTACCTAATTTAACTTCCATACATAGCGCAATAACAACTAGGCGGCAACATTAAGCGGTTTTGATTCGTATTGACAGTTGCAATGCATGCACTACCACCACATAATCATAGAATAATAGTATGCGCACTACGACCACATAATCTTAGAAGTTTTGATGCGCATGTATACTGCAGTATGTGTGTGTGTGCGTGTGCCTGTGACGTCTTAGGATAAGGGGATAAAACATAATATTCGAAGAGACAACTACCACCTGCAGCTGCCTGCATACGGTTAATGCTGTTCATACACGAGAACACACTGCTGTTAATGGACTATTCCCTTTCAGTATGAATATGTACAAGTGATATTAATATTTTCGTACACAAACATATACATAACCTCACCTTGTTTTGAACAATTGTTGATTATTAACCATTATTTGACAAAAAAAGATGCAACATTGGGACTTGAGTCTTGCCACTTCTCTGAAACACCCTCACCTACATATGTGCGTGCGAGTCTGATAACAGTCAACGAAAGAAGTCATACGCGTAGCTTTGCGCGGTAAAACGGTTTTGATTGGTTGCTATTTATATTGTTTCACATGGCAATGTTTTCAAAGATGGCGGTGTCAGTGCTCGAACCGGTTCTGCAAGTTGTTGTATACCGTTGCTGCCTATTGAAGGCATTCCAAAATAACCGGTCGGCGCAGCCTTCTATTATGAAAACCAATGGGATATATCCGACAGCATATCATACAGGGTCTCACAAGGTGTGGTGGCAAAGCTGCCGGTTACATTCACTTAGCCTGTGTTACTGTTATTCTTTCTCTCCGGTTGTGATTAACTTATCATCGGTGGGATTGGACATTTCGAAAAGGTGAGGAATATTGTGTGTTAGTGTTTAATGCGTGAAATACAGAGTTAGTGACAGAAATGCTGTGAGAGACATTGCAGTTGCTGTCACCGCCCTGGACAACGTTACGCATGTTTGTTAGTGTTAAGAACGCGTTTTCAGTTTCAATCGGGTATTTGTAATGTGTGAAGTCAGAATTTCTTTTATAAAGTAGTTCACACATTTTTAGTTGACATAGGAGAGTAATGTATTGATAATACATATGAAGTAGAGGTGATTGATTTTTTTAGTAGTGATGATTAACAGCTTAGGAACAATGTGTTATGTAAAAATAAAACGCCCATGGCACATGCAATATTGAACATAAGATGACAATCAGATGATTTTGATTTGATTTATTATGGATACACTTTTAAATCTTACCCCAAAACTTAACTATTAGAAAAATTTAAACATTTGTGAACTGTATCTTTCTAATAAATAGTCCTACTATATGTGACAATATGAATATATAACTATGAACTGTTACCATCTCCAGAAAATACCTAAGTCAGTGCACTTGAAAAACATTATGGGTGACATACATCTTACAAGATAGGAATGTATGAGTATGAACTATGAATCAATGCTTATAAACTTGTTTAATGATTTAGATATGGTTTTGTACATGTCATAAAGATATATCATGGCCTCCTGCTAAGGACAGTAATTTGTTGTAATCTATGTAAAACTATTTTAAGAGTAAGGCTGGATTTGTTAGCTTCTTTTACTGAAATATCATTACATTTTAGGTGAACATGACTGAAACAAAATATGTTTACATTGATTTAATGTTTTATTTGCCAAAGCATCAGCATGGATATCTGCTTTTCATGTATCAGATAATGGTACACTTACCAGTAATAATTTATAAAGTGTATTTAGGTTCTCGTTTTGCATTTAGTGAAGTATTAAAGTATGATGTCAGTATCAGTAATCCTTATGTCATGTCATATTGCATATTCCACTGTGTATATGATGTAAGGTATATGCTTTATATGTATTGGTGTTCACTTTCACTGTACTTTTTCCAGTTGTCATTTTATAATATTCTACAGCAAAGGAAAAATAATGATGTAACATGCATGATTGTGATGTGGTATATGTGTATGCAGAGAAAAGGAAGTTGCAGACTCAATATTGCATGGCCATTCCTCATCTTTCTTGTGAAATTGGGTGAATAAATTATTTGCATGCTTTTAAACATTGAAAAGTAGTCACCTTTCAAGCAGTTTGAAAAAAAGCCTTTGCTTGTCACCAGTGTCCAATCAGTATTTTTTGCTCTTAATCTCTTGAACATAAACTATTATTATTTAGGTGCTGTTTGTATTGGAATGATAATATAACAAAATCTTTAGCATTGAACAGGCCTATAGAGAATTTGTTCCCTATCCAACATGTGACCCACTTTATTCTATCATGTCTAAATCTGTCACCTGGGAGTGGAATATAGTCAGCCCTAGAGAGAACTTGTTAGGCAAGTTAGAAGGCTGGTTCAGCTATTGTCATCGCGACGATACGCCTTTCATGCACTCAAGAGGGCAGGGCTTCGAGTGCTCATTCATGAAAATCTGGCTTATTATCATTGCAAATAGCAGCATGCTTTGAAATTTCTACATTTGGGTAATATTTTTCCAATTTTGAGATATGAATGGAAAAAGACATTAAAATGACTTCGATAACTGAGAGGTGATAACTGTTTCTTTATATGAGTGACTGTCTTGTCTATCCTAATGAGTGAATAACATTGGAATTCATTTGGCATTAGTCTGTAAATGTTGTTTTAAATGTTAATCTGTAAATGTACAATTGTGTAACCACTGGTATATCATTTCTCTTATCATTTCTGTGCAAGTTGTGAAAATGAAATGACAACATGTTTACTGTATGTGCAGTATGTCTATTTGAAACATTTGATACATAGTAGACAAAATACCTTGTATATTCTTTATATCATTCACTGAGTTTACCACTCTAACCTTAGTATGTTAATAGAGAGTTGGATATTTATGTAATTTGGCGTGAAAGAAAATATTACAGAGGTGAATAGATGTTCAATGTTCAGAGTTCAAAGATCTCGATATGATAATTACTACTTCATGATTGTTGGATTGAAAAGAATTATCTAATGTGAATTCGAGTAACAAATAGCATGTCTGCCTTACTTGACTATTTAGATCACTTTGCAGGTATTGTAGATGCTTTTCAGATAAACCAATATCATGATTCAGGAAAAGACATTATGTTACGTACAAATTTGTTTATCCAAATATTGGTTTATTTACCACATGACAGACAATGAAATAAGATCAGGAATTGTATTATAGAATCTGTTGCAGCTACCTCCACCTCAGCTCCAAGGGAGACACACAAGATGGCGACAACGCCAGTCAGCACAGGCACCGGTTATGCTGACCTGTGTCCTAATACTGCTGACATGTATACAAATATCACAACAGCAAGTCAATTTTTACAGTAAGTATACTATTAATATTAGTGCAGTACTTCAATATACCTTGGTTTTATAAGACACAGATTAATCAGATTTGCCCTAGAGCAGCTTCTGAGATTAGTTTCTATAGATTAGAAAGTACAGAAGAAAGAAAGGGATTTTACACCAGGAAAGATGTGTCATAGTTTTGTCCCAACCCATAACATCAATATAGTTGCATGTTTCTGTATTTTCCACAAATATTATGTCTGATTACCTGCTATATATTTGAAATTATTTGAATTCTAATTCATAAATAAAAATGTTTAATGCTTTGCGAGGACTAGCTAAAAAGGTTGATAATCAGAAATGTCAACGATGGGGAAGATTATTAATGAATATCGATATGAAAATTGTTTTATCGATAATATCATACATAAACTATTGTAATGAATTAATGTTTTCATTTACTCCATGTTCATGGTCTGCTTCTAATTTATCTTCAGGGCAGTATTTTGTTAGTAATCCAAGCCTTAATATGTCTTCTCTCACCAGAGATGTGAAATATGTGATTTCTTTCAGATTTATTGACATTTTCCCTCTAAGTTACTTCTCCGATATTTTTACGAAAGTAGTAATTAATAGATCAAAATTCAGCTAAATATTATTGAGCTCTGAGATCTATACTGACTGCCAGCTCTAATATTTTGTATATTGAAGTTGTAGATGAATATATAAGTATTTTGGGATCAAAGGATTGTTTAATCCATCATAGAACAGTACACGCATATGATTTTCAATATAACAGAAAAGTCATACTGCAACATGTACTGAGTCCATTTTAATATGATAGCACAATAAGTGTAAGCATAATAAGTCTTATTGTGAAAGATTACATGCCTAGTTTTATTAATTTTACATAGTAATGTCATCTGATAATCATTTGACAGTCCTTTTTAGTATGTTGCTACATTTGTATCATGTTGTATAATATTGTTAATTCTGCGTATTTACATGCTAGATACACATAATAGTTTAGGAGGCTTGTGTACAGAATGTGAGCATTGAAAGACTTCCTGATGTTTGTCTCTCACATTTAGACAAGTCTTGGGCATTGGTGGACAGCTATTCCCACCAGTTGGACCAAGTTTGGAACTCAAACTACAACTTGGATCACGAGATATTTGGGCACTATTCTGAGTATCAGTGTCTATATGACCCCAACACGTTCCTGTGTGCTGATGGCACCTGTGTTGCTCGATATTGTAAATGTGATGGGATTGTACAGTGTCCTGACGGGTCAGATGAGAAAGATTGTTCCATGAAAGGTTTAGGTACACCAAACCTGCATTTTCTGATCCATGGATATGGTTTCTGTGCTTGGTGTTGATGGATATGTAAACTGTTTGGAACATACAAGTTTGCGTTCTGAGACTACATAACGTGCATCTTGAAGATCTTGGCTGCCTGCATAGGATGATGGAAAGATGTATTTCAAGAATTTGCCTTATGTATTTCTTTCATATTGGTCCTGAAAGATTAATGGATCTGGGTTGATGGTTATGTTATTGGTTTACGTTTGTGCAAATATGCATGGATTTAACCTGTTTCAACATGTTCAAGCATGTGAATTTAACCTATGGATTGGCATGATTGCATATATTTTATACTACTATTTGTTACACTTTCTGAATTGCCCCTTTTGCATGCAAAATTCAATGAAACATGGTATCATGGTGATTCGTATGAGCTATTACCAAAAATGCCATAGAATGTTATTGCAGTTGTTCCTTAAACACGTATTATCAACTTTCACCTTTATATATAATGTTTGCAATACAAAATGTTCCCTGTGTACAGGTTATTCAAAGACAAACATTCATAAGATATAATCATGTTCTATATGTTTATATATCCCAAAACTTTCATGTTCAAGAAGAAATACAATGTAAAGGTTATTTTTCTCATTCATTTAATACATGTCAGTAGAAAATATAAGTTTCTTTGTATTAATGTCAATAGTTTTTTTTCATGACATTCATGGTATTAGATTATATATACACAATTAATGTAAGGGATTATGAAAGGTATGAAAAGCCCTTTGGAAATGGATGCAAGTACGTTGTGATAATGTGAGTGATATGTGTATTATTTGTTTGTAGACACTTGCCAAGATGCATCTGCTGAGGGAACCTTGAGGGTGTCTATAAATGAAGTAGATAATCAGGCAACAATTGATGGTAAGTTGTACATAAACCCAGTAGTAGTATAAGATGATTATGTGCTTGTTTAATATGACATGCTCACATTTTACTCATATTATAAAGTGGATATTCATACTCACACAAAATCAATACCGGTACAGTGGACTCTGGCAATACCGGCCTCTGTAAACACCGGCACTCTGTCTACATCGGCACAAAGTTTCAGTCCCGGCAGAAATGCACGTAATTATCATTTAGAAACATCTGTAAACATCGGCATCTGTCTATTCGGGATATCGGCATTGTTTTTCAGTCCCAACGAACAAGTTGTAAAAACCGGCTCATGAAAGACGGAGTAACCCTTTGATGCAATTAGGTCCAAATGATGTAACAACACAATTCTACATGGCTGTGACTCCCGAGATTATTCAGAAACGGGAAGTGTTAATCAGTGTCTTGTTAATTAGTGAGTGGTACGTGTCACTTACATGGGCAGTTTGACTGTCAAAACTAGCAAGAGTTTAGTTGATTCGACATTGCATTCGAGGCATCGGCACACAAAATACAAAGTAAAATCAGTGACTTTTTCACAAAGTAAACAAACTATATCTTGTTTTTATTTGAATGAATAAACATGAATGTGCATTCAGACACTGCCTTGTTTCTTATTCAGACATGTTGTTAATGCTAAAGTGACAGTACGACCATGAACTTCCCGTGTGCGCCGGCGTCATAAGCGAACTTGCAACCCGACTAAACCGGCACTCTGTCAAAACCGGCATTTTTATTTGGTCCCGAGTGATGCCGGTATTGACAGAGTACACTGTATTTCAAGAGAATGAAAATTGATGACTTTGTTTCATAAGTAGAGAGTAAAAAATGTAACCTTAAAACAAGATTGAGGTAGCAAACATTGTTTTTATTTTAGCTTCACCAAATGAATACAGAGCTGGACTTGGACTGGCAGGCAATACACAGAGCATAGGGCTTCAATTTGATGCTAATACTAATGCTCAGCTTCCTCCTGCGGAGTACTTTGCTCTGGAGTCTGGTCCTCGAAGTGGCAGCGTAACTGGAAGGGAATGGTTCCTGAGGCTGAAGAAACCCATTGACAGAGATGTATGTTGTGACTTACACCTTGTGTATTTCCAGCGCTAATATTTTTGTGTGCAGTAATTATTGTTCATTTTGAAAAATGAGAAACCTTTTTGTTAATACAACATGTACTAGTGAATTTAAGGCACAAATCACGTTTCTCTTGGACTTATCTCAGTTGTCCATTGGTCACATGAAGGTTTCATGTTCTCATTGTTTGAGTCTCTGATTTTCACAGATATAGTATTGCAGTAATACTTTAACATCGATTTGTGATCATTCTATAACTAACAGTGCTTTGGAGAACAAGAACAGGTGTTATATATGATATATATTCTTGACTTTAGGGTGATCGTCCAGACTCACTTGACGACAATACTGTGTTTGAGTATACCCTCCAGTGTACAGATCTCACCATAAACACAGTAAGTAGTCCCAAATCTTGCTTAAATTTAGTCATGTATGGATGAATTGATCATTGACGTATCTTTAATATGTATCTATTGGTAAAACTTGACATTCAATCATGTTGATACATTTTTTTCCAGATTTTAGTACCATGATTTGACTTTACAAGGTCATCCATCATGATCTTTTCTGAAAACACCTTCATAAGTTTTCATGCAGTCTGATTGACTTTATTCCTGACATCATTAATGAAACAAAATTTGACAATTACATTGATGGTACCTTCTGGACCTGCACAAGCATGTTTAGTGTATTCTTGACACCTGCATTGATAATGGCACTGACTGGCTGACCTCAGTATTGATGCTGACACTGCCATGAGGGCCCCACTGCAGCAGATGTTGACCACATCTTCATAGGACCTTGTCATTGATGGTGACACAATCATCATGTGACCATGACAGTTTTGACACTATTTTCATGACTTGAACGCTGATAGTAGAGTCTTCATATTATCCTGACATTAACATTGACAGTTTGATATGGTCAGTCATCTGCACTTCTGTTTTAATTGTCTCTGTCATAATTACCTTCACTATTCATCTTTACAGTTCAGCCATACATCCACCAAACAACCTATTTTGTAGCTTTGTTGGTTCCTGAAAACTCCTTATGTTACTGTCTGCCCTTAATATGTATAGGCTTTGCTTATTAGATTTGTAGAGTAGAAGTCCTATTGTTTGTTTAGCGATACTCACCACTTGGTCTTTTTGCAAATCCTGACGCAGTGAGTAGTATGTAGGGCATGCGAACGAGGGTAGCATGCTGTTGCCCTGTGTCAGTAAGAGCATTGGGGGTAATGAGGGTAGCATGCTTTCACCCTGTGTCGATAATTGTATTGGGAGGAATGAGGGTAGCATGCTGTAGCCCTGTGTCGATAACATTGTATTGGGGGGAAATGAGGGTAGCATGTTGTCACCCTGTGTCAATAATTGTATTGGGGGGAAATGAGGGTAGCATGTTGTCACCCTGTGTCAATAATTGTATTGGGGGGAAATGAGGGTAGCATGTTGTCACCCTGTGTCAATAATTGTATTGGGGGGAAATGGTAGCATGTTGTCACCCTGTGTCTGTAACTGCATTGGAGTGAATGAGGGTAGCATGCTGTCACCCTGTGTCTATAATTGCATCGGGAGGAATGAGGATAGCTTCCATGGGTAATTAGGACTATTTGCTTTGTTGATACCGTATGTTATAAACAATGAGTACATAGCAGTGTTCATAAATAAGGGGATCCTGGGGTCCATGTTGTTTGCTCCAGGAGCATTTATCACATACGTAACTTCAGGATTATGACAAGGATCCCTTGAGCTGTATGCACAATTTCAAACACTGAATAGCCATGATAGCTTGGATAAAAATCTGTTTGAGGCTGTCTGTATCTCTTTTCTGTGTATTCAGTCTCCATCCTAACACTGAATTTTCATTCGGACATCAAATAATAAAAAAAAAGTATTCTTATCTCAATTTTCCACGCACTATATGCCCTGATGTATCCTTTGTACATACAACCAATAAACAGGTTGACTTGATCTTTCTTCAGCCAACATTTTAAAAAGAAATATCCAAGGGAAAACGACCTGATGTATATCATAAATTTATTGAAAGAATATTACCAAGTGATCTAAATTTTAAAATGTCATAAAATAAGTTACACAATTAATGAAAATCTTTTTTAAAATGTCATAAAATAAGTTACAAAATTAATGAAAATCTTTTCTTTTAATTTTCAATTATGCTTATTCTTGTTTCTTGTCGGTTGAGGTTGAAGATGAGAAACACAACAAAAATACATATGGCCTAACATGATTGGTAAGCCAACATGATAATATGAAAACATTTATTCAGGATTGATATGAGGACTATTTCACAAACATATTACAAATATTATAAATATTACCTTGAGGAAGACCTACCCAGATCCACTCTAGACTTTATCAAATCCTGACAAGAGTTCGTGTTTTCACAATTTCTCTGAAGTTTCAAACATCTTCATACATTTTCTGATATGAACAGCTGTGGGCAGTTCAGGACAGTGCATACTAGGTAGTTTCCCAGGCACGAGGCATGTTCACTGCGGCATTATCATCAAATTCTTTGTCAACAAGAAGCCACAAATTTGTATCAAGTGTTTCTTCAGTTAATATTGCCTTCAACTGGTACCACTACACCTACACTATTGTAACTGACACACACCCCATCCCACTCCCACAATCAGCCGAAACAATCTCCAATTCCTTCTTGTTCCTACAAATTCCAGTTTTGCTGCTCAAAATGCTTATTCAAAATTTGCCCAACTGCAGATTTTTGAATTTATACTAAAGTAGCTATCTGACAATTCTTCATACTATTCTAATGTCGTCTTTCAGTGGCATTTAGAAGTTGTACATTGATGTCCAAGATATTTTTATGGATTAAACTTCTTTTTAATTTCTCTCACGACGTCATTCTAATGTCATTGAAATATTCTTTCCTTTTGCTCATCTGTCCATTCTTTTGCTGACTGATCCATCTCTGCTACATACAGGACTGATGTATACACAGCATGTGGAGTCATCAAATCTGCGTCAAGTGAAAAAGTACATCCCAAAATATATTCAGACAAAATATGCTGTACCATTGTCACCTGGCTTAAAAACATGAGTGATTTTTTTTACAGCAAAGCAAAGTTCATTTTGTATCTGCAGCTGTGATTGTTGCAATACTTCTGGCACATGACTGTACCTATTTGGCATCTGACATCAACTATATTAATCATAATCTAATATCTCACTATTATGCTTGCTGTAAGAAACAATTAGAATGATTATCAGAGTTTTTTATATCATGTGATCTACTTAGTTATGTGCCATTCAAACCCTGACTGCATGAATAGTTGCTCATGCTATTAACCACTGTTTTGCATATCCAGACATGATTATTTACAGGCTGCCATTGTGTGGCTGGAATACTGATGACAATACCTTAACTTATTCACTCACAATGCTCACTGTTATTACTCCTACAACTATGGTTCATATCCTACTGCTAAAGCCAGTGTTATTATTACTGGTAGTAGTACCAGTAGGTATATTTATTGTTGGTTTACGATACAGTTAAGGGTTTAAGAGGTAGTTCCTTTTTTTAGGGATCTGAATTATAAGTTACTTTTGTCTATGATTTACAGCATTATTTATATCATTTTTTTTTCTTTGCATTACAGAGTGGACAAGTTTGTATATTTCTGAATTGAGGCTTCCTAATATTTTCTTAGCTTTCATTGTTTTGTAAATATTTGTTGCTGAACTTGAAGTGGTTGAAACAGTAAAAGCTACTTCACTTGAAACCTTTTACCATGCTTCTTATTATCCACAACTTTAGCATGTTTAGCCTTCCATAAATCCCAGATCATCTATTTTCTTGTTTAGTCTAGTCAAATCTTTGGAAGTGTCAGCAAATGTGTGATGAAGTTTGTATTTGATTGAAGACATCCTTACTTTTGACATACCTACATTTGATAATGTAGTTACTATTTCCAACAGCTAACCAGAAATTTTATTCTAACTCATATTTAGATATTGTTTCTTTTTTATTGTTTCTCATTTTTATGGCTCAGCTTATGTCTCAAAACAATAGGTCTGGAGTTCACATTGAAATAGTAAATGTTAAATTAACAACAGTCGAAAGTGATGCTGAAATACAAGTTTGGACTTTTAGTCTCACAGTATTCTCTTCTTCTTTTTCATTTTTCACCATTGCTGTTGTATCAGATAACACATGAGTGTGAATCTTTTGAATTTATTTTTCTTGACGTTTTCAGTTTGCATTACTTGCAGTGAAACAGTATGAAGTGTGTAACTTGCTGTTATTGTTGAATGCTGAACTTAATGCTGCAGATTTTTTTCATGCTTTCATTTGCTTTACATGTTCAATTAAGTCTTTATAAGATTTTCATTCTGACCCAATTTCTTTAAGATGATTATTCAGTTAGATGCAATTATTTATTTTTTTAAATTTTATCATTAAGTATAAGAATTAGATCACTTTTATCCATATTTTATAGGAATTAGTATTACAGATCTTAAATTACAAATACACAAATATGACCACAACTACACAAAGGTCACTAATGTATAATATATGTCTTGTGTTAAAAATGCCTATAGTTGCTTTGAAACATGTAGAATAGGGTTTATGCAGATACTAGAATAATGTTAGTAGATCAGTGTGATTGAATACTGTGGAGCTATGTAATTACAGAATACTACATACATGAAGTGAAACACATCATATGTATATTGGATGGCACTTTTGTCTTCAGCTCAAATAATGTAGGTCCATTGTATATGACATTTTCAAATGCTACAGAATTCCTATTTACAAGATTATGTTACATCACCAAATGTCTGATGTAAGGTTCCTTCCTTTTTTGATAGACAAATGATGCATCATTTTTGTCTTATTTTATGACAAGTGTTGAGTTGCTGTCCCTCAGGCAGGTGTCTGTGTCATCAAGATGTGAATATCAAACCGGTTTTAATTGTCTTTTTTGTCTTGTTAGGCTTTCTTCATGTTGCTGAGGGTTCAGATTATAGATGTCAATGACAACAGTCCTGTGTTCCAAAATGATCCATATGCTGTCTCTGTCAATGAGGTAAGTTGCTAATGCTTACTAGATATAGAGAGGTAAAACATAGATAGTTCACTCTGATCATGGGGCTTTGATCTATATATGGTTTACCTGTAAATTCGCCAGCGATAGCTGGATGTGTTCTGAAGCTGGATGTTTTTACTTGCTTGCAAGTCTTAGATCTAGCTTGCAAAAAGTTGATAGATTTCTCCCAATTAAGATTTTGATGAATTTTGTTACTATTTATCTAAAGTTCATTTCTGTGATATGTGAAACCCCACTTCCCTAAATCTGACTCTCTTTTGTTCCAGTTAACTCCAATTGGTACAACAGTGTTTCGAGGTGTTACAGCCACTGACCTGGACTTCGATTTCAACAAGAACATTGTGTTTGATATCATTGATGTAAGAGCTGCTTTATACATAACTAATGTTCTTTTATAGTGCCAACTAGTGTAAAGAAAAACAACTTTATTCGTTATTATAACTATTTTTGTAGCTTTAGTTTTTTGTAAAGAAATAAGTTGTCTGTTGTCATGATCGATAATAATTACTTTGACTTTCTCTTACAGGGTGCAGGATCAGATAAATTTGCTATTGACATCCCATCTTTGGGATATGTGACAGTGAAAAATACTCTGGATTTTGAAAGCCTGAACTCAGCTGGGAACACCAACTACCTCCTGTCAATCAGAGCAATGGTATGTTTGCATCACAGAATATGACATAAATTCCAGTTGTCTAAACCAAGCATTTCATTGCAATACTGTTTTAATCAATTTCTTCCCTTCTGTAGGATTCTGCCCAACCACCTGAGGTTAAAAGAACTGCTATAACCACCCTGAATGTCACAATAACAGATGGAGACGACCAGAAGCCCATCTTTGTGTATCCAACATGTTACACTGATAGTCAAAATAGATGTTTCAACCCAACGTACACTGCATCCATGGTATCAGGACAGTTGGTAAGTCTATCTAAACTACCAGGTTATCTTGTGTTCACCTTGGGTTCACATACAAGTGTCTTTGACGTACATGTCTGATGTGATAAAGAGGGGACTGATTTAAAACAGAAAAAACACATTGATGCTAATTCGTGGAGTTACCAGTATGCAGAAGGTGCAGCTGAATATTGGGTACATTTGGTTATGTGTGTGAAATACATTGGTTTGTGAGGGTTTGCTTCAGATAACTGTATGGAACATGTGTGAGACCATTAACGACAAATATTGTAATCTTTGTTCTAGCCTGGCGAGATTTCTGTTTTCCCGTATCCTGCTGCCAACCCAAATGTTCCTGTCAACATCCTAGCCAGGGATCAGGACACTCTAAACAGCCCAATTATCTTCTCAGTGGAACTGAGTAAGCATCATGTCACTTACACATAAATATCACTGATCATTCCCTTGTTCAAAATCGCTGCAGTTGTCTACATTTCTGTAGCATTTGTCGGTACTTTCCTTCAGTCTCAATTTCCTACTACATGTATCATGCACAAATTAACCTATCATACAATGCTGATGTGAATTGCTGTCATGAGTGCCAGGATTCAAGCAGAAATCACAGATGCTTACTGATTAGGAACACAGGTTTATTGACATGTTACCAAGTGAAATATGCTTATGGATTCTTTGTATTGAAACAACTAAGATCTGCATCATGTGATATAACTAAGAGAAACATAAAATGTAACTGAACAAGTACTCAAAGAAGCATTGTGCTATGTTAATACATGTATATATACATGTATATTGGTACATGTACATTGTGATTTTAAGAAATTAAAGTCAGCTATAGGCTTTGGTAAACACATGATATATTTCTGATTGCATAATATAATTTTAAAAACATGAGAGGTATAGTAGAAAAAATCAGTATGATTGCAACAAGTTTGTTTCAATAAGTGGTAATCTAAAAATGAAATAGAACAAAAGATGTGCTTTTTGACAGCTGAACCTCGTGGATACGAGAACAGATTTCAAGTGGCGGGTGAGCTAGTGGCAGGTACCAGCACCTACAGGGGACGTCTTCAGTTGCTACAACCCATTGACAGGAGTGTAGTTGGAGAACTGAGAGTCATCATCCGGGTAAAAATTCAGAATTAACTTTCTCCTATCTCAGTGTTATTATGCTGGCTTCATGCACATGACCACTTCTTATAAAGTTAATTTCAATTGTAGTTAAAGAATGTTAAAAGTTAAAGTTACTTTTATGTCCATTTGACTTGAGCCTCTCAGGTGTAAACATTATGAAGAAAATCAAGATTCTGTTGTGACAATTGTCAGTTACTTTATTGGTTGTAGACAAGGACATTAGCACAGTAAAAGCTGTTGATTGAAAGAAGGAATTGAATGACATGGAATAATAGTGACTGATTCTCGCACTTCATGATGTGGATACATTTCTTTTTGTTGGAGAGATAATGGGGAATATTCAACAGTTGGGATCGAAGATCATGATATTGAGAGCAAGTAATAAGAAAATGAATTTCATCCTCAAGTACACAACTTTTGGACATAGACAAACAGTATTTACACACTCTCTCATCTCTAATAATTCCTAACCATCTCCCTGTTTCAGTAGCAAGATCATGATTTGTACATCTAAATCTGGTTAGAGCTATTCTATATCTGTCGATTTGCACCACATTAAAATATGACTCCATGTCAAGTGAAGATTTATACTGGCAATAAAGAGATAACTTGTTACTTTCCTTAATGTTTACTGACCAATTTTGTCTCCAACAGTCAATAACTCTCTGCTTGAAAATGGTTAAAAACAGTGACTTGTCTCCAACTCCTTGGTTTTCCCACACAATACCAAAACCATAAGAAAAGAGCAAACATCTAATAGAAGAGGCCCATGATCTTCTCCTTGCACTGTCCAGACCACAAAGCTTTGAATAACATGCTTTTGGATATCTATTACTGGGCATAGCTTGTAGTTTAAACCAAAAGTTCAACAATCTGACTGATAAAAAGTGGAAACTTGCCAAGTCCTCCATACATGACTGCATTACTTGTGCTAGATTTGACTTATAAAATCCTTTTGCAAAATTTCAAATGAATGTTGAATGAAAACCTGTATACATATATGTATATATGAAGGCATTGTTTTCCTATCATTGTTTTTTGTTTCACAGATTCAAGAAGATTCTCCCAATCAGAGATACAACCGTGCTATTTTGTATCTGACTGTGACCGCAGCAAACAATAACCCACCCTCTGTGTCAACATCCATCGGCTCTCAGATTGGCTACATCCGAGAAAATGACCTGACTGGAGCATATATTAAGGACCAGCAGCTTCAAAATCCTCTACAGCTTATAATTACAGATGCAGATATTGTAAGTTGACAGATAATATGTGATACAGCTCAGTTATTGTGAGGGAGTGAGTATTGTGTAATGCTGAAACATCAGTTATGTTACAGTGACTTGTATATAATCGGATTTGAACTGGTAAGCACGAGGTTGATAACATGAGCATTGGCTCTTGGGGTGCAATGACACAAATCAGGCATTTCACCAACCCTCTTCACCTAATCCAATGTAGTCTCTTTCCAAGGGAATTCTGTCAGGGAAACACTGTTAGGGTGAAGCTGTAATAAGTTGATGGGTAAGCTGATTTGTGTTTTGGTGTGATATGGAGAAGGTTATGCATGTCTAAACAGTTCCTTGTGTCATGCTGTTTCAGGCTTCTGGAGACCCACCCCAGCAGTATACATTTGAAGTTACACCAGCAAGTCCATTCTATATTGACAGCAACAATTACCTTCGATTAACAGCTGGACCCTTGGATTATGAATCTGTACAACAGTACACATTCAATGTGAGTATCTTTTGAATGAGAAGACATCATGGAATTTCTAACACACACAGAAATCTTTTAACAGTGGAAATAAGTGCTCAAGATTATATATAACAATATGTCTCCAATGGAATCTGATCTAATATATTTGCAGAGTAGTCAGTTTGTTACATGGTTCTGATCATATGTCTCGATTTAGGTGATTGTACGGGAGCAGGGTACAGCAGAGCAGCGGTCAGGAAGCATCAGTCTGACAGTCAATGTTGTGGATATCAATGACAACACTCCATTCTTTGTTGGAACCCCCTACAGAAGATCTCTGCCTGAAGGAGACTACACACAAGGGGCTGGAGAATTTATTGTCCAGGTGGGTTGTTGCTTTTGTGGGTTGTTGACATATAATGTGATTTACTGACGTGTGTTGAGCTAGATGCTTGATCCTCAAACTCTCCAAATGGTACCCTTTCTGGATGGCGGCACATGTAGTTAGTTAAAAGTTATTTAATGTAATAATTAAGAAAGTGTACAAATATAACTTTTCCTTATACTGACTCATACTAATTAGGTTCTTGAGAGGCATAAAGAAGTTGGTATACAAGTATAAGACAAAATATTATGGACATCAACTTCTTTGAATTCTTTATTCTATACACAACATTTCTGGGCTATTCCTTGCCCCTTCGTCAGGTGTAAAGAATGAAGAAGAAGTTGACGTCCATAATATTTTGTCTTGTACTCATACTAATTTCTTTGGTGTATAAGTCAGCTTATGTATGAAATCATATGTCTACTCTAAGAATACATGTTTGTGGCTCTTAAACATGAAGCTGCTGATTCACAGACGTGATACATTGCCGGTTTTACTCATATAGGTACAAGCCCAGGACCGTGACTCAGTGGACACAAGTATTACTTATCAGATTCAGAGCGTCTCTGATGGAGGTGCTGGCAAGTTTACAATTAGTAATACCAATGGGCAGTTGCTTCTTCGGACGTAGTGCAAGTTGGTGAAGAGTACACGATCATTGTCAATGCTACTGACAGCACCGTACCAAGAAGGAGGTATTTCATTGTTTTGAAACACTTTCAAACTCAAACACTTTAGCGAAATAATTCTTCATAACTAGCCATAAGTGTATTGCTGGTTTTATTTATTTGATTCGATGGTTGTTCAGTCGATACATTGCTGAAAACTTTCGTTATGTCTGCTTTCCCATTATGTTAAATGTTTTGAGTGTATCACCTCAGAAGTGCCTTTTGTTCAGTAGACTTGAATTTGGACACTAGATCGGCCAAAGTTTAATTGCTGTAAATTTCAATCAAATCAGTGAAATAAATGTTGTAATGTATTTCTACTAAAGAGGTTCTTGTGAAACAGATTGCTTAACAGATGTTTGTCCCTTATGGTAATTGTGACTTGTATTGCTCTTGTTGCAGTGCCTCAGTACCTGTGTATGTCACAATAACTTCCTCTGGCAACAAAGACCCCCAGATACCAGCAGGTCTCTATACAGTCTATGTCAGTGAAGGCATTGATGTCAACAGAGATATCTTCACAATACCGGTTTGTTTCATCTGTTGATACTAATTATTGTAACATTCAATCATTAAGTACACTTTTTCTGTGTAAAATGTTTTAATAATGGTTTCAGATGCTTGTATGTATGAACAGCAGTTTTTGCTGTATTAACTTTTGTAATTTGGATTTATGAATCACATTTATCAGTAATGTTATTTTATCGTGTGTAATATTGAGTTTTTATATTGGAATGTTGGTATCTGATAGATTGTTGACAATGCAGGTAGATAGGTTGATTGGAGAATATGCATTCTACTTAGTAGTGAAACACGTTTTATATTCTGTTTATATGATGTGAAAACAAAGAGAATATGAGATTATTAATGTCTGTTTCTAATCATGTTGATTATTCTGAATTTTTTTTGACAATTTGGTAACATCTTTTCCAGGCAACAGATCAGATAACCAGGCTCTTACCTTTTCCATCATTAATGGAAATAATGGCAATACATTAAGCTATTAACAAGTAAGTGTGTGTCCCTTCTTTAAATTTGAAATGTTGAGGTAATGCTTTTGGAGTAGCTTGTGCTTGTTAAACATATGTAGGGTTGGAGGTATAGGTACAGAAGGGTTATAAGAAGAATGTTCAATAGTGCTGATAGCATTGTATGCTGCCAATAGAATAAGAAATACCTACTGTTTTTAACAGCATCAGTGGTTCACCAGTGATGCTGGGAATGTCAAATATTTGACGATGGTATTTATATTGTAAGAGGATTGATGATGATATTGATGTTTTTCTTCAGTAATGGCGTTGTGAGCAACCGAGTGACACTTAATCGAGAGACAGTACCAGAGTACAACCTCACCATCACTGCTTCAGATCTCGGAACTTCTGTAAGTATCACTCACAACTTCAGATAAATTGCTAATTATCATGTTTCTAACAATTTCATGCAATTTCACTTAAATAAAGTTTGACTTGAATGTGTGAAAATGTTACTGTTACAGCCAGCATCCACTGTGTTGAGAGTCATTGTCACCGATGTCAATGACAACTCTCCAGTCTTCCTCAACAGTGTCAACAACAGATATTTCTTCAATGTCCAAGAAGGTCAAACACCCCCTGCTACAGTTGGAAGTGTTGCTGTATGTATTTCTCTGTAGCTAGAGTATTAGGCTTATTTATATGTTGGTCCAGGGTGAAGGAGTGTGGAAGTGATCAATATTTTAACATGATTCCAAACAAATAGAATTGTAGCATTTCCAGATAGAGTTGAGCTAGTTAATATATCAGTCCAGTTTTAAGGAGTGTGAAAGTGATTGATTGCTCTAGATATTTTACCATAATTCTTAACATACAGATTTGTTGTAATTCGAGCTGGGTATATTTAATGAATTTCTTTGTTATGATTCCAGGCTGTGGATGGTGATCAGAGTGGTACACCCCAGGCGACTGTCATATATGACATGGTCGGACCAAACACATTGTATGTCAAAGTTCTTGGTTGAAATTAGTTCATTGCAGAGAACTGTAGACATGTGTTCTCATTTATTTACTGAATGTTATTTTACCTTCATATGAATCCCAAAACCGGTACCTGTGTAAAATATGGGATCAATGATCTTATGAAAATAATTTCATGAAATTCTGAAATATGTTTGCAACTTTTATAAGGATTGTCTGAAACATGTTGAAATGTGAAAGATACTTTGATGGTTGAATTTGTTGATTAGTTGATATGTTCAGCAATAAGAAAAACAAAATGTTGTTTTTTACCATATCCATAGTCTTGTGGATAGAGAGAGGGTGGCGTCTTGATTCCTCTCTGGCCATGTCATGCAAAAAGACATGGAAGCATGGTGCTTGCAGTAACTCGGCTTGGCACTTGGCATTCTTGGATTAAAACTAGAACTGGTCAGCTCAGAGTCAGTATGATTGGGGTGTTCATTTTTAACTAAGTTGATTATCTCAGAGGGCTAGCACTGCAGAACTGTCATTGTCTGGAACTATTACAAGCCACCACACAGACAGTCTCAGAGACACAAATGTATATGCATTTCTCATAAGCGCAATCAACTTGAATGGACATCAAATCCTATTTTATCTTACCTCAGGATTATAATTCTATTGTACAGTTAACATGTTTAGGATTTAATGACCAAACGTTTTCATTGACTTCCCAGCTTCGTATTGATGGTCAGACCCGGTATGAATCACCACACTTGTTCCACTTTCGACTATGAGACCCAGCAACAGCATGAGTTCACAGTGAGGGCCATTGACTCGGGGCTTCACCCAGGGCCAATGTAGCCACTGTTGTTGTCAGTGTCATCGACACACAGGACAGCATACCATTGTTTGTTAGCGTTGACTCTGAAGGATCCATACAAGAAAATCTCAGCGGAACATCTGTTCTCACAGTTTCGATGAAATTACTACTGTGATTCATTTCACCTCTGCTGAAATATGTTTGTCTGTCTTTGAGCACATTGAAATGATCAGTTACACCATTAAATATTCCTCAAGCCAGATGGCTCTCTGACCTCTGTGAACACATAAACATCTTTAAAGCTTCCCCCCATATCATGAATGCATTCATCAAGATAAGCAGGTGTGCATCATACATTTTTGTGATTTTCAGGCAGTCGATGCCGACCAGACAGACAACATAGTCTACCAGTTTGCTGGTGGAGAGTTCCAATCATTTTCGATAAACCCAACAACTGGTGTTATCAGCACTGTCATACCACTAGACTATGAAGTTAAGAATGCGGTACTTGTTCACCGTGACAACATCGGATGGGGTGAACACAAATGCTGTCTCCTCCACTGCCACTGTCACCATCAGTGTTATTGTAAGTAGAACCTAGTGTTTACTGTTTGTTTTAACGATGATAATCAGGAACTAATATTCATCAGGAAGATGTTGAACTTTGTGATGAGAATTAAACTTATTTGTTCATAGCTATCAGATCTGTTCACATATCAGTTACACAGTTGTGGATGTTCACAAAGTCGTTTGTTAAATAAGTAGGAAATTGATGGCCTACTTGACTTCTGTATTTCAGGACCAAAATGACTTCACCCCAGTGCTAACAACAAGCACTCTGGTTGACACCATCTCAGTATTGGAGAATCTGGGTATCAGTGAAGAGCTGGTAGATATTAATGCAGCAGATAATGACCCACCGGTAAGCAGAAATTGCAGGAAGATTTAGTGCAATGTTAAACATGATATTGTTGGCATGTTTAAATGTAGTACTTTGGGGGAATGCATTATCATATCCTGACTTAAAAAGATCAGGGTATATAGTTAAACTCTGGAATTTTGTCCACTCGCCCATCCGAAGACATTTATGCTCAACCAATAACTTGAAAGCTATTGATTGAAGGAGTTGTGAAAGAAACCAATATAATTTTTACCCTGTAACCTTTGTTTTCTATGTGTAACTTTATTTTTTTAATGCATCAGAACACTCCTAACAGCCGTGTGACATTCAGTATCAGCAACGTGTCACCCCCTCTGGCACACAACTGTTCTTTATCAACCCTACCACAGGACAACTGGTGCTGCGGAATCCATTCACTGATGATCCTGGTGTTCCAACATATACGGTGAGGTTCTTGGCTACTTGTTTTGTTTCTCATGTACAAACACAAATAAACTCATCCTTTACAGGTGTCAGTCCATCAAGTAATCTTGGTCTATGTAACTTTGATTTAGGTCACCATCTTAGGCACCAATGAAGGATCCCTTTTAGAGCTGGAGTTCTCACCCTGACAGTAAATGTGATCAGGAACCGGCACCTGTGTTCAACCCTACCACTCTCCGGCTAATATTGATGAGAACAGCATCAATCAGGTTGTTTCAGTCATCACAGCCACTGCCACTGATGTGGACACTGTAAGTAAGTACTTTCCTATACAATTTTGTTGTTGATTATATCGGACTTAATGCAGTATGTAATTATATCTAAATTAAGATATTCTTACAGAAATCTTTATTGTACAGTGTTACAAACAGTGCAGAAACATATATCTGGAAAAAATATACACACAATGATATGATTTAGTTAAGATTGAAATTTCTGAGACTAACCATTTAACCTGTCACTTCTTTCAGAGCCCCTTCAATGTGCTGACCTACACACTGCGTGGTGATGGACCTGCTCTTGATTATTTCCAAATCAACTCTGCCAGTGGAGAAATTCAAACCCGAGCCTTACTGTCTTCAACTACTGATAGATCATTCACTGTAAGTTTAGTAAGAAGAAACAAATTGTGCAGAATTATTTCTATTATTGGTTATAGCAAAAATAGGTACAGTTAACAATGTTTATAACTAAACCCTTATAAACAAAATGAAGGATATAATTAATTGTTTTTGGTCAGGCCACTTACTGTATATTTAGTGAATGATCAATGGTTATAAATTATCAATGGTTATAATGAACAAACATTAGTGTTCCCTTTGAGTTCATTATATCCATAGTTTACTGTATTGAAGATTACCCTTCTATTTCATAGCTATGTATGGAGTAACACAGTGGAACACATTGTAAACATTACATGTGTAGAACAATGTAATATATGAATCACACTGTTAACATGTCCCACTATGTACTCCCACAGCTGCGTGTTCGAGCAACTGATGGTGGAGGACTGTTTGCTGATTTGCGGATTGATCTCACTGTGAACAAGAACCTCAATGCACCCACACTGAGTCAACAGAACTACACTGAGACCATCTTTGAGAACCGTGCTTTGGGATCTGTTATTACTACAATCAGGGCTAATGACGCTGACAGACAGGTAGAGAATAAAACTGTTTGCATTCTTTCATTTTATTATTCATCACCTTGTTTATTATGCGATCATGTTATGATTCTGTTGTTATTCATCTGTACCTGACAATTTCTCGTTGAATGCATTTTGTTTTACAGCCCCCTCACAATGAGCTGTCTTACAGTATAACTGGGGATGCCACTGCTCAGCAGTTCTTTGCTGTCAACAATCGAGGTGAAATCTACCTCATTAGATCTCCTGCCGAAAACCAAGCCATTAGCAGATTTAATGTGAGTTCTGCTTCAAGCTATCTGGAGCTACATAGCTCTAAAAGTCTTTATTAAGTGGCTACTTGATTATAATGATGTGTCTAACAACGATGTTTGTCCTTCACAACTACTGTGTACTCAACGCTACAACACAGTACTTATATACAAAAATCATGTCTGCTGGTGATGAATGGTGCAAGTGTATGGTACAGAAGTAATCACCTTCCTTTGTTTCAGATGATCGTTGATGTCCGTGACCAAGGCCTTCCAACCAGCAGGCCAGCAAATCCAAACCCAGCCTTTGTCACCATCAATGTGATACGCAATGCCAACCCACCCATCTTTTTCACAAGAGAGTACAACAGGGTCATACCTGAAAACACAACAATAGGCCAGTTTGTGGAAACAGTCACAGCTACAGATGCTGACTCACAGGTAGTTGTATTTCCAGGAACTTTATTCATTGGCTGATGGTGTGAACTATAGACGATGGAATTTAGTAAACCAATGTTCAAATGACTAGATCCATTTCATCACAAACTAACCACTGTATGATGGTATATGTTGATTGACTGAGTTGAGTGGTATTATTAGAATATTATTAAGACAAACATCATTAATAAGTTATGAATTCTTGTATATCATTGGAGTATCGGACAACAGTGTTAACTTTGGCTATATAGTGACAGACATTGTAAATACTCTGTTGAAGGATTTTTTCTAAGATAAATTGTCTATAATTGTTTGTGCTATGATCATGAAAGCAATGTGTGTTCTTAAGTGTCCCGAAACCCATAACATGAGGATACTTAAAGATTATGTTATCTCTGTAAACTAAAGTTTCAACACCAGAGTATCAGATGAAGAGAGACATGATTTGGTCCAAACAAATGGCTACCATTGTCAATGTTATATGTAGAAAGTAAACCAATGATCAAGTTTTGAAAGTGCCTTAGTAGAGGTAAAAGATTGCAAGTCACAAATCAAATACTGTTTAAAGGTTGCTTTTCGTTTGACATTACAGGGAAACTTTGGTTCTCTGAGATACAGCATTATTGGCGATGGCACAGCTGATACTTATTTCCAAATAAATCAGAACAGTGGAATTGTGTCAGTGAGAACTACCCTGACAAACACACCCATCAATGATTTCACAGTAAGTATGGAGTAGCAGCATTCATTTAGAGTATATGATGTTTGGATAAGTTTGAAAAGACTTTGTATCAAGGTATTTACTTGCAGAGGACATGAAGAAGGGCTGAAGAGGTTAGTTCTGTCTTTCTTGTTAGTTCTGTAGTCTCACTGTTCTGTTTTAATTGATTCCAGGTCCGTGTTGTAGCACAAGATGGCGGAACCCCTCCGCGGTCTGCCACAGCACTGCTGTATGTAACAGTTACAAGAAATTTTGAACGCCCTGTATGGAGTTCAGCAACGTATACTACCAGCATCCCAGAAACAGCCCCAGTGCTTGAGAATATCCTGCGTGTCACAGCCACAGATAGAGATGCCCAGGTATTGATTACCTCCCTTGAAAACATCCAAATCTCAAAGGTGTCTCACAAATGTGTTTAAACTTGAGACATTGCTTCATCTAGTTTTGCACATCATTACAAACATCACATCTTACATTTCAGCCCCCCAACAATGATGTGACGTATGAGCTTATAGGAGATGCTGTTCAACTCTATTACTTTGAGATTGTCAGTTCCACTGGTGATATTCGCCCAAGGCGTCCACTTACTTCCGATACAAACAGAAGAAGTCAGTTTAATGTGAGTTGTTTTTGTGTACCATCATGAAATTTTGTTCTGGTGTTCCTTACCATTAATCTTGGTATGATTAAGTGAGATCACAGAGAAATTTCCTAAAAGTCATATAATATGCCTACATACTAATATTGCATAGGTTTTTGAAGAGTCTGAACTTGTTTGTTTCAGTTTGTTGTGATTGCTAGAGATAAAGGCAGCCCTCCTCTCACTGCTGCATTCAATGCCTCTGTGACAATAGCAGTGTTCAGAAACAACAACGCCCCTCGGTTCATCCAGGATCCCTACTCCATTACAGTATCTCAGGGCCTGGGCAGTGGCACGGTCATCTCTGTCAGGGCAGTTGATGATGACCCTTCTGTAAGTGAAATCACGATGATTATTTGGCAACTACTGATACTATAAAAAGCCTTGATCATTTGTTCACCAAATAGCTGTTTTTGCATTGCTATGATGAACAAAGACTTACCCTTTGACAATTATGATAGGTTGTGATGAACCGTTTTAATAACATCATTGATTAATTTCATTATATCTGTAGATTCTGAGATAACTGACTGTGTTTAGCTTCTTAATTTATACCCATGAGACAAACCTGTATTGAAACTAATACAAATAAAGATATTAAAGATGGAAGGAAAGAATTAACCTCAAATAAGTATAAAGTGAAACCTGCCAACACCGACACCTGTCTAATCCGGCACATTCACAAAACCGGCATACAATTTTGGTCCCTCCATTTTACAACGTTATTATGATCATTAAAACATTATCTAATCTGGCATCTGTCTATTCCATATTCCGGCACGACTTTCCTGTCCCAACAAGCAATTTTAACTGTAATTAACACCGTCTAAACCGGCATGGGTATGAGTAGTCCAATCAAGGAACCATAATCCAATACACTAATTAATCCTCTTGGCATGCTAGATAATCAGGAGGTAGTGATTGCCCAGTGAATCAACCGCTCTACAGCTTTGTCAGCTTGATTTGATCAAGTGAATACTAATGCATTGCATGACCATGTTGCAACTGGTTGGGTCTATTATTGTGAAGGGCTGCACCTTTGTCAGTTGATTGTCAACATGTCAGAACAGCCGAGACAAGGTCGCCGTTTAATATTATCTGCTCCCCTATTTAATGAAGTTAACTCGACCTGCTGTTTGTGCCAATTGACCTCCGAGGTCATGCATATGTAGAGTAGCTCAGGTGAACCCGCATGAACAAGCTGTCAATCAAGGCCCCCTAATCGAATACACTCATCTGTGAATCGATAATCAGGAAGTGGTATTTTCGTAGAATCAAGCGCCTGAAGGATTACAGCGGTTATGCTTTATAAACCCTGGGGGATTGCCTCAACTGTTTTCAAGTGAGTGGCATGTGTCAAAGAGTAAATAAATAGGCATTGGTTTTATTAACTCATCAGTGATTTTGTTGTCAAATTGTTGACTTGTACTTGTTATTTGAACAATGTTTAGTGCTGAATAAAGAATAATTATCTGTCATCAACATTGTTTTAGTTTGTTGCACAATTGCAAAGGATCATAGGCATTATAGAAATAAAGAGATTGACGAGTGTAAATGGCAGCCATGTTGGAAAATGATCGTCTCCATCTAATCCAGCACCCTGTCTAAACCAGCATTTTATTTCGGTTCCCTGGGGTGCCAGTTTAGAAAGGTTTCACAGTATATCGCTTCTGCAAGTCACATAATGTTTTCTTCTATTTGAGTTCTGTCAAAAGAGATTTACCCTGTCATACATATATCGCTGTGTTTCCTTCACAGACGGATTTCAACCAGATATCATATTCCATCGAGGGTCCAGCAAATGCTCTGGCTCTGTTTACAATTGATGGCTCAGGAAATATCCAACCAACAAACCCTGCTGCTATCAACAGTGCCTCAGAGACAAATTATAAGGTATTTGTTAACCTTGTATCCATTTACATGAAGACATGGAATAAATCATACAGGCATCATATTCCATTCACAGTTTGCAGATGTGGAGTTCTTTAGAATCTTAGATTATTGGGATAATTGCTTACATATAAGGCTCCATCTCCAATTGTCTCTATGAAACTGTGTGCTGGATGAGTTGCAGCTGCAGGATGTGTGCTTATGTTTCAAGACTTAGTTCAGATCTGTGGGAGTATCCTTGTTTTGAACACTATAAAAATCTTACTCATTTTAATTTCAAGAGGTATTATGCATTTCACATATTTGCATTATTTTGACTGACTGTATTATGATGTGCAACCTTACAGATTTATGTTCGAGCTGAGGACAATGGCAGTCCCAAACTGTACGACATTGCCCTTGTTGAACTCACCATCAACCGGAACCTGAACCCACCCATCTTCAACCCCGTCACCTATGAAGAGACCATTCTGGAGACCAGGCCAATTGGAGACGTGGTTCTCAGAGTGACAGCTTCAGATGCTGATAACCTGGTAAGCAGTTGTTGTTAAATGAAATGTCATCTATTAAAAACTTACTTATTTTCTTTAGTCTTTGCAGACTCTTAATCACTTGTTTTTCACAAAGTATAGTCCATTAAAAACTGGTTTATTAGTGAAAATAGACAGACTTGTTGAAATATGACCCGTTAACAAAGTGACGTTTTCTGACAATAAATACATTCTTTAGTCCTTTTGTGTGTTGGTAAACATATGTTTAATATGATTATAGTTCAAGAATAACATTGTCAGTATTCCAGGTAAAAGAGTTTTGTTCTTTTGGGTTTTATCTAAATTCTTGATGTGCCACAATCATTCTCTTTCAGAGCCCCAACAATGAGATTACATACTCTGCCTTTGGATCTGGCCTGACGTTTTTCAATGTTAATAGCCAGACAGGAGAAGTGACAGTGGTCAATAACCTCGTCCAAGATTCCAACACAAGATATCAGGTGACTCAGCTCTCTCCAAGAACTACTGTTGCGATAGAATGTCTATGTTGTTCTATGAAATTGTTGTAATGACTTAGCATCTCCTCTTCTGTCTGTTATCAGAGACCATATAATAGATCTGTTCACATTTCTGACACTCATAGATCTTTGTAACTGGAAAGAGACATGTTTTTTTATATTGAGTTAGTTATTTATGTATCCATGTGCACTGTTTGGGAAAAGAGGAATCTGATCAAAGAATGTAATTTGTCTTTCTTTATTATATGCATTTTAAAGTTTGATATAACATTTAAACATTGGTTACATCTAGAGGTATCCCATTACATCACCTGTGTACAAGTTGATCTTTGATTAGTATTGAACTGGTTCTAATATTTGGTTATAGCTACAAGTGTTCAACCCAATCATTTAATGTTTCTGATTATAGGGGAATTTAAAATCATATGGTGATGGTTATAAATCAAACACACAAAAAAGACATATTGTTTAATTCAACATTTCAGCAGAGTGATTTTCATGCAATAACCTTGTTATATTCAGAGTGACTGTAGAGTGATTGTAAACAAATTACTGTTTGTCTAATCAGCCTGTATGTTCTTCAGCTGACCGTCCAAGCTACAGATAGAGGTGCCAGCCCTCTGTCATCAGCCCAGCCTGCATCTGTCACTATCAACGTTGTGAGGAACCAGGCCTCCCCTGTGTTTGTACAGACCCCTTACGACACCACTGTGTTGCGAACAGCAGGAGCCAACACCCCAGTTGTCACTGTAACTGCTACTGATGCAGACACAAGGGTACATTTCTTTTTGAAGCATTGATTTAATTTCCTTATAGTTTGTGTGTAAATATTTGGCTTATTTTCATGTTCATCTGTTATATATTTCATCTTGTAAATGTTTCAGAGTCCCTACAATGAAGTCACATATGGTATTGCCAGCATGACCATCGACAGATTCCCGAATCAACCCAACAACAGGGGAGATAACTCTCACACAAGCTATTGCCTCAGATTCTCAGGCTCAATATGGGGTAAGAAATGTCTTATTTCAAGATTTGTTGAGATGTTTTCCCAGTTTTCCATTCACTTTTTTATTACTTCTTTGTATGTTTATGATTTGATTATATACGATTGTCTCTTCTTTTTTCAGGTAACAGTTTTCGCACAAGATGGAGGAAACCCAAGGCGTGTGACCTACAACACATTTACTGTGGGAGTTGATCGTAACCTCAATGCACCGTTCTTAACAAATCCTTCAGGACCAAACTTTGAAAATTCCACCACAGTACTGGAAACTATTGGCTTTGATTACCTTATCTATGATGTGGATGCCTTTGATGCAGATTTATCGGTAAGAACCTTACAAGTGTGATTGTAAAGGATGATCAGTTAGATATATAATGTCAACCTGATAGACACAGGACTGCTTTAGAGTCACATTTCAATTCCTGTTTTGTTTGTTTTGTTGGTTGTTTTTTTGTTGTTTGTTGTTTTGTTGTTGCATGGACTTGCATGTTCTTCATAATCATGTGGATTGCTTGTTGTTCTTTGTTTTGTCATTTCATTTTAGTTAAGTTTTGGTACTGGACAAGAATATGCATTCACATACACTAGAATGGGTCTCAGACCTATCTTCCAAATGTGTTGTAATGGAATTCTGTATTCATCAAGATTTATGAGGAAGGTACATTGAAAGAACCTAGTTGTATAGAGTTTCTTTAAGAAAATTACAGCTCTATCTGTTTGTTTCTATAACATATGTTTAGATAGAGATGCTTCATTTTTTTTGTTCTGTACAGGATCCATACAGGTCACTGCGCTTCTCCATCATTGGAGAAAATACTGCATCAACCTACTTCCTGATAAATCGTGACAGTGGTGAGATCCGTCTCAAGTCTTCTCTTCTTCAGGACACCCTCCAGACTCGCCAGTACAGAGTAAGTACAGAGATCATCTGTTAAAGCAGTCCCTTTTTTCATGTGGATGTTTGTATATACTTTGCAAACCATTACATTAATAATTGTTGTAATTTGTTCTGCAGCTGATTGTAGCAGTCACAGATGGTGGTGATCCACCAAGGCCTGCTCCCTCCACTGCCACCATTACTGTCAATGTCATCCGCAACCTGAATACTCCACGCTGGGTCAATGACCCTTACAGTGCCACTATTGATGAGACTATTGGTGCAAATGTCAACATTGTCAATGTCCTGGCAGTTGATGACGACACTGTAAGCATGTTTACTGTTGTGTATTACCAAACATTCAGTAACTGGAGGAAGTTATAAACGTTAACTGAAATATCTGTGCAAACTAACACTTGTACCACAATGGAATGTAGCAATAAATTAGCAGAACAAGGGTTTAATTTTCACCAATCTGTGTGTCATTACAACTTTAAAGTATACATTAACTGCAATTTTGGAAATAGCAGTAACTGAGATAAAGCATATGTTAATGATATAATTAAAGGCATTGCTTAGATAAATCCAAGTGCCAGAGCAATACATTTCAGTGCATTACATGATTTTTACCTTCAGAATGCATTCAACCGCGTGAGCTATGAAATTATTGGGGACAGCACTGCACCTGCATACTTCGACGTGACACCAGGTGGTAGTATCATTAGGAGGCAGTCACTACAAAGTATTCCAGACACCAGGTTCTATGTAAGTCTTATTTTGATATATTAGCTGAAAATACTTGTACATTTGATAACGTGATGTGAATTAGTACAATAACCCAAATCTGAATAGTCCAATTATTAGGATACTTATTTTGTGTTATATTTTGTATTTGATCAAGGAGTTTTGGCATACTTAAAGGAATATTTTTGGAGAGAGAAAGATAAATGCTAATAACAAATACCTCTAGCTTGTGGTTTACATGAAACATGTATTTTTGCAGTTGAGAATTGTTGCCTCCGACAATGGTGTTCCACCTAAGACCAACACAACTGTGGTGTCGATCATCATCAATCGCAACCTAAACACCCCAACCTTCAGCCAGTTGTTATTCACTACGGAGATTGATGAGACTACAGAAGTAGGAACGGCAGTTCTGAGCATATCAGCCACTGACCAAGATTCTGTGGTATGTACACACTTTGACACAATGATGTCTTATCATTAGACTACTGCCTCAGGCTAATTTGCTCATCATGTTACTGGAGTTTTCTCTTGTTTTTGTACAAATGGGCTTTTTCTGAAATCAGGGCTGACTGGTCTACTGGATCTGTTCTGTATAATTACACCTTTGATGGAATTCTCTGGCTGTGATGTATGCTGCAATGCGTCAAGTCATATGGTTTTGACCACAATGTTAAACGTCTTTATTACATTTCAGCCCCCATACAACACAGTAGAGTTTGCCCAGATTCCCAATGGTGCGACCGGTCTCACGTTTTTCAGTCTGGAGGCTGATACTGGTAATGTTGTTCTGAGGAGACCTCTAACAGGAAACCCAGATTCAGTGTATGAGTTCCAGGCTCTTGTACGTGACAAAGGTGTACCATCCCGGGAGCAGTCACACGAGAGCAACTGTGAGAATTACTGTCCGCCGCAACAACAATGCCCCCTTCTTTGTTGGTAGCCCCTACTCAGTTACAATCAATGAAGATCAAGCTGTAGGGTCACAGATCCTACCTGTTGTTGCACAGGACTCTGATGTCAATGTAAGTATTAGACCGGGTTCACAGTGCAGTTATCATGAACACAATCTTCCTCTTCTGAACAGTTTTCAGTATGACTCAAAGGACATTCTCAAATTTCCAAGCTTAGCAAGAATATTTTGACTGACTGTGGATTATGAGCCACTTTAAAAAGCATATCAGTTACACCGTGGCATGTCAGCATTAAGTGATATGAGTCCCAAATGTTAGCCATTTAAGACAAAGGTATGGTGTTGACAATCCATTGTCACAGTGCAACAGGGATTAGAACCCATGATCAACATATCTGATCATGACTAAATCCTAATGACAAATTTTTGCACAGCCAGACATTTTATACTGTAAAGTTTCACAGTGCCATACCATGCCAAGTACACCTATGCATTTCTCTTCTCACTTCAGAGTCCATTTAACCAAGTGACACTTCGTGTGATTGGTGATGAGAAAGGACCAATATACTTTGGTTTGGCCAACAATCAAATCAATGTCACTAGGAACCTTATTTTGGACGCAGGAAATGATCTCCGTTATACAGTAAGTATAATTTTCACTTACTTTCTTTGTACATGCAGTAATTATTGTTGTATACCACTATTGTGAAAGGAACCTAATTTCTTATTGCTTACATACCTGTTATTCTTCAGCTGCGCATTGAAGCAAGAGATGGAGGGTCCCCTGCCCGTTCTGCCACAGCGTTGGTTTACATAACTGTCAACAGGAACCTTAATCCTCCGGTGTTCACTACCCAAGCTTACAGTGCCAGGATACCCGAGACACAACAGCTTGCAGTCTCTGTTGTACAGGTTCAGGCAACAGATGGAGACAGAGTTGTGAGTGTTGTGGATGTCCTTGTCATCAATTTTCTTACATGCTTTAAATAATTACCACAATTGAGCATAATTTTTGTGAACATTTTTATCATCCAAATAATTATGAGTATCTCTTTCCAGGCCCCATATAACACATTGCGGTATGAGATCAGCGGTGCTCCATTCAGTACTCTGGGACGCCAGTACTTTATGGTCGATCCGGTAACTGGTGTTGTGAGTGTGAGGCGTAATCTGGAGACAGACACCAGTGACACATCTGTATACAGGGTAGGTGTCTTTAGTCCCTGTGTGCACACGATTTCTTTGAGCTGCCACACGACGCTTCTGAGTTACGATTAACACACATGACAGAATCAGTGGTTCGATTCTATTAAATCATTCTGTTGATTTTTGGTTCTACTTTCAGTTTATTGTTGATGCCATAGATGGAAGTGGAGTGAGGGCACCACAGCCTGCCAATGTTGATATCACTGTGGACAGGAATCTCTTTCCTCCAGTCTTTATTACCACCAACTACACAGCTGTCATCAACAACACCACACCACAGGGCTCACCAGTCTTCACTGCTTTGGCCAATGATGGTGATTCTACAGTGAGTACAACCACAAAGTATCTGAATACATACAATCCGCAGTCAAATGTACATAAGCCAAATTTTTCTTCAAGGAGTATCTACAGTCCAATGTATGTAAAATTCTCGATTAAATGATTCTTTAGCATACAACAACTTATATCTGTCTATTGATCAACTGCAATCTGAGTGTACAAGTTTTGATAAAAATGGGAATTTTGGTTAAGGTATCTGATATGAAAACCCAATAGATACTTATAGATAATTATACTATTTTCAGAGTCCCTTCAATGTGGTGCGATACAGCATCATTGGGGATGATGGGAGTCAGAGCTTCTTCAGTGTTGATGCTACCAGTGGTGCAGTGTCACTTGCACAGCCAGTGTTTAACATCCCGAATACACAGTTCAGGGTAAGTCAAAATGTGCCTCACCAACCTCATGAACATACTTATAAATGTATCAGGAACATAAATTTGTATTTAAATGCACTTTGATAAATGTATCAGGAACATGCATTTAATTGAAACACTGTCACATGTGTATCAGGGACATGCAGTTTAATGAAAACACAGTGACATAGGTGTTTGAATATGCATTTTTGTCACAACATTGTCAAAGACATACATTCAAGTCCAGTGCCACAGACAACTTTATCAGGAACATATACTTTGGCACTGAGACAAGTTCAGTTGTGCCAACAAGTGTCAATAGTCTGTGAAGATAGATTATGTTTTGCAACAGGTGCGACTCCAGGCTGTGGACGACTCAGGTCTTACCGATGTGGAAGTACTCACTGTGTTCATTCAGAGAAACCTCTTTGCTCCTGTCTTCACTCAGACTTTATACGAGCGTGTCATTCAGGAAACAATTCCTGTGTCCACCAGTATTCTCAACGTGTTCGCCCAGGACAGCGACCAAACAGTAAGTACTGTGTTCATGATGACATGAAAGCTCATTTTAGCTCAAATATACAATGATGTCTTGTTGACATTACCTTTTCATTTTGGAATAAAAGGAAGACCCTGCTCCATTTTGAAAAGAAGATACCAGTTTTGTAATTGTTTAAAGGACTGTTTGTTAGCTTTTGATTCAGATTTCTTTTATTCCTTATATTTCCTGTATAGTGGTGTATACATTTGTCTGGTTAACTTACATCATTAGCTTTAGCTTAGCATCATAAATTTGATTATCCTCTAAAGCATATGAATTTGAATCATGATTTTGTGTTGATATGTGTCAAAAGTTAAGAACAGTGTGTATGAAGTATCACTCTGTTTCCAGGCCCCCTACAGTACAGTCAGCTATTTTGCAAGTGGCTCATCAGACAGGTTTCTTGTGAATGTCAACAATGGAGCTGTAACTGTTAGACGCTCACTTATTGGTGAATCTGGCCAGACTTTCACAGTGAGTAGACAGTCAGTCATTGCTTTAGTAGGTATAAGAGATTATTGATAAAGATAATGCATGCTGTAAATTTTGTTAATGTTTTCTGTTATATAAGGTATGATGACAAAAATGTAGGATTTTCCATCAATAAGAGCAATGATTAATCTTCAGTTCCAGGTGTATGCCCAAGATGGTGGTACCCCTCCACTGCGTAGTCAGTTTGTCACAGTTCGCATCAATGTAACTCGCAACAATTTTCCTCCTGTGTTTGTCAACGAGCCATACAGCCAGTCACTGCTGGCAACAGCAAGTGCAGGAGATGGTGTAGTCCAAGTTACAGCCACTGATGCAGATGTTGAGGTATGCCCATATCAGCAGAATTGCTTTACAAAATATTTGGGTGTGAATAACAGTATCAGAGTAGTGTGATATTAAAAAGTTGTTAATCTAAAGCTGACAATGGACTGGATCCTCCTCAACTTATATAAATGTTCCTAATAATGTGAGGTTATGTGTTCCCTTATTAATGGAGATGTGTGTTTCAGTTTCCCTTCAATAATGTGAGGTATGATATCATTGGTGATGACAATGCCCCAGCCATCTTCCAAATTGATGAGAGCAGTGGTCAGATATCTCTCCGAAACACCTTTAGTGGTGATGGTGCTGAGCTCTACAGGGTAAGTTCACCTACTGTGTGTAAACAATATACAAGGGCATAGGCCTGCTTCCTTAATGTTGGTACAGCAAGGAGGAAAGGGGAGCCCTGAACATGATGATGGACTGTAGAGAGTGTGTCTTTCACATAAACAGTACAAGGTCAAGCTTTCATTTTCAACAAGCGTTTTTTCCTTTAATTGTCTTCTACCATTTAAATGTCTTTTGAGAAAATACTGGGTTTTTTTTTACCATTTTAGTAGTTTTATTTCAGTTAGTATCTGCTCATTATCTGTCTTTGCACCATATATGGGCATTTATTGTAAATTTTGCTCTATTATGTATCAGATCCGAGTACGAGCACGAGATGGTGGCAACCCACGTCTGTCTGATATCACTGTTGTGTCCGTTAATGTGACCCGAAATCTTCGTGCACCGGTTTTCAACACCCCAACCTACAGTGCAAGGATTTTGGAGACCATAAACTTTGGTGAAGTTTTTATCTCAGCCACAGCTCAAGACTTGGACACTTCGGTATGTTCATGTAACCAATTCACAGATTTAAGCTTGCTTATTGTAAAGAGACTTTTGATTAATCTTTTAACATATTTTTTTTATCTGTAGATGCATTCTGTTCTGTGTATGTAAACTGGCAGTACAGAAAATGTCATTGATTTTGAAAAAGGTACATTGTGTGTAGCTGTAAGTTGGTTCTTAAATTTACTTTTGGCAAACACTTGAATATTGCAGGCCCCCAACAATGCACTGACCTACCAGCTGACTGGTAATACAGAATGTCAACGATACTTTGGCATCAACAACAATGGGGGACTGTATGTACAAGCTGACCTTGTCACAGATCCTACAAGGGCCACATTCTACACTGTAAGTTCATGAGGTTGCCTGAGAAACATTTTCACTCTGAGATGCATCTTCATGAGTTGTTTAATGGCATCTTTTTATTTGTCCATAATAACATTGTGTCATAATTAAACGTTTTATATATATAAGATCTTTCAAAATAATTCACTAATAAGTGTGTACTCAATTGTCTTATCTTTATATGATTGGACGTCAATATTTTTAGGGTGTATTATGATGTGTACTTTACATATAATCACAGAAATATTGAAGTCAGTTCTTATTAATGAATATGTTAGCAATAATCACTTCACAGCTGCCTATTTAGTGATTAACACAAAAATGATAACAATGATATGAAAACAGAGACATTGTTCAGTAATGCAACACCAACAATTGTAAATGTCTATCAGTCTCAGCATAAGAATTTGCTTGGCTAAAAATCAAATGCCATGGAATCCCTTGTTATTTATATATTTTGTTTCAAGATGGGTTTTTTTGACACTGGTTGTAGAATGATTTTATATGTGCTTCAGTGCCAAGTATCAGCACAGGACCAAGGCAATCCACGACGGGACTCCACCAACCAGGCCACAGTGAGCATCAATGTGATCAGGAACACAGCCCCAGAGTTCACTAATCTGCCATACAATGCTGTATTGCAGAGAAATATCACCACTGGCACAGTTGTCGGAACATTCACAGTTACTGACAGTGATACAGATGTAAGTATAGGAACTGTTTGGTACAGTTTGAATCTGTTGTATTGCTGCTGTGTATAGACTGCTTTGATGAATGTCTGATGACTTTGGATGATTCAGCTTTTGTCTGGTTCTTTTACCTACTGTGGGTCTGTAAATGGCACTTCTCTCTTTTCTAAGGTATATTTCCACATGTATATATAGTAACATTGTTGTTTTTCAGGCACCTTTCAATGAACGGAACTTCAGGATACTTGGCGATGGCAACGCTCCTGCATTATTCAACCTAAATGGAAACAATGTGGTGGTTACCAGTGCGACTGACCTTGCTGCAGATACCACCACTTCATATACGGTAATTAAAGTTTTCTGTCATTGGATGTCAATATTTCATTTTCAATTTAGATTTTAAAGTGTCGTTTCCATCCTGTTTTCGTCTTAGACATTTCAAATTTGACCTTTACATATTTGTTTCAGGTTCGTCTTGAAGTGAGAGATGGTGGCCGCTCTGCTCTATCAGGAACAGCTGTGATGGACATTCAAGTCATCCGGAACCTTGCAACACCAGTCTTAAGTAATTCATTCATTGAGCGCAATATTAATGAAAACTATCCAGTGGGTGGACTCATTACTATCCTCAATGCAACTGATAGTGACCCGCAGGTAAGAAGTTATATAGTCATTATGGCAAGCAACAAGGCCTCTAAATTTTTATGCTCCTGATCTAATTTCTCTGTGTAGAAAACATGAAATTATACAGGATTTTGTACACAGTGTAAAATGACAATGGTTTAAACATATTTTTTATTTCGTCAATGCAGAAATCTGGATAGGCGAACAAGCCTAGTGGCTTATATAAACGCCGCTCCAGTACACGGTTCCAATATAGCTGGATACATATTTGAAATAGACGGACAAGAAAAGAATTATATTTAGACAAGATTACACTCAGAAAAATGATTGAATAATAAATATGTGGTTATGGTGTTGGTTGTGCCTAGCAACGAAAAGAGCTGCCGCAGAAAATCAAGTTATATAAATCTTTTCTTGCATTGAATATACATGTATATGTAGAGATGATAATCACTGGAAGCGCTTACTTTTAGAAATAAACTGGTGTAATGAGTTGAGAATGTCACAATTTGTTGAGTTATCCAATGCGTCGTTACCGTATAAGGTAGTTTTCACATCGTATCCTTGAATATAAAAATACACCGTTGTTCTTAAAATGACAATCCATAGGTTAACTCATTAAGCCCGAGAGCCCCATCACTACTCAACACCTGGAAGCCCTCGCTGATTGCCCACTCTCTGTGCCGAGACTAATTAGTGCTAGTCACACCTGATTTCCCTGGCAGGTTTCGGGGGATCACAGGAAACTGTCTAGTCGTACAAACAAGTCCTGATTGTTTAATTGTGTCGTAAAGATATATGTTGAAAGAAATCAGGTGTGAATACATGTCGTGTATTGCAAGCTTTATGTAATTTTATTGCAAGTTTCTCTTGTAGATCTTTTGTCGGCTTGTACATTTATATTTTATCACAATATGCATACACATGTATTCTTTGTATGTAACAGATGAGACACGTTAACAAATTCTCTCTCTTATATCATTGTGTGAGGTTTAAATTTACAAAACATCATGACAATGACATGTGTAAAGAGGTTTAATATTTACAAAAAAATAACATCTATGACAATGACATACTGCTAAAGAAGAATTTATCTTTCATACTTTATAATCTTCAACTCAAGCTATCATGTAACAGCGGTTTTACACACTGGTATCTCAACTGTTCAGTATACTGGTCATATGTTATCTGCGACCAATCGGTCATGAGATACCTTCACAGAGGAAAACAGGTGACGGGCGGAGCTGAAGAGCACGTTTGGTCACTCAGCAGCTTGGATAGAGATTGGTTATTGGCTATATCCTTGACCAGTCGATATGCTGGGTTTCGGCTTTATCAACTCAAGCTATCATGTAACAGTTTGTGTATTGTAAACATACACACTGGTAACGATGTATGAAATATACACATAAGACAAATAGGAGTAGATAGTCACTTTGGCGAGTTTATTTGTCCTCATTTTAGTGTTTTTCGATAAGTGAAACAAAGCGATTGAAATCCAACAACTGAGTAGAGGTAGTATTTATTTTCATATACATTTTATGCACACAACTAGTACATAAAACATAATGGTTTGCTGTACATGTAAATATAATCTTCACCTTGATACGAATGACTATCCAAACTAGAGTACACGCATTACAGAATTCACGAGGTGACACTATACTGAATTATTATAGTGTATAAACTTGCAGTTGACACCCCCACCCCCAATATTTATAAAGGTGGGCGTGCCTATATCTTTACTGAATGCAAACAAGGTTCATAAGATTACAGATGTGCATGCATGTATAAACATCACAGAGAGGGGCGTGACTCCATAAAGCAAGATGGCCAATGATATAACAGCGCATCTGTTTATTTTACACTTGTCACGGGACAAACAAGGACATAACTACTACATATGCATTCTACCGGAGGCTGTTATTTCAAGCTCGAAAGAGGCGTACAATTAAATCATTACTGTAATCTGCTTGAATGATTATACGCATGTGTATCGATACCGTAACTGATGTAGTATCCAGCTTTTATTGACGATGGATCAATAGAGACTGAGTTGATTGATACACGTGATAATTGCACCGGATTTGATAATTACACAGATCAAATACAAACGTTTTACAGAATGCTCATGTAAATTGCATAGAAAACTGACAATTCAAATCAACATGAAACTTTCAACAGCTTGGACAAAAATGCTTGAAATACCTTTGTATGGCTTACATGTAATAACTTATGAATATTACTTCTGTCCATGTGTGACAATGTTTTGAATTACCAACTTACTGTCTTTTGACTTCAAATTAGTAAGTTCAATTATGTTTAATCTATTCAAGCTTGGATGTATAATTACTTGTGTTTATACATTATGTTTCAGTATATGAAACATGACAACTTTATGATGCCTAAAAAAGTAAATTCAAACTATTCTATTGTGTTTGAATTCTTTGTATGTCCTTGAAATTTCGTATATTGTTTCCTATTTATTAGGTAGTTGAAGGAAATATAATTTTTATTAACCTCTAAACCATTACATCTAATTCAATCAAGGTGCATACGAAGTATTTTAGTATCCATTCCCAAGGAAGAGTACCAGGCACTTACCTCTGTAAAAACATCATAATCCCCTTTCTCGCCGACATGCGTTCATTTGCTAAACGCTGTACAAGCCTATGATAATGATTAGCAATTGTTATCAAAACACTTTAAATACTTCTTCTGATTGATACTAAAGGTGGAATCTCTCGTAAGAAAAGCTAACATTTGCTCAGTACTGCTAAATTGGTTGAAATAATAGGTACAGTGCGATTTTTAAAAGTACAACACACATGTGCGTCTCTCGCTGAATAAGAGGTGCTTTCTGTTGACGACTGTATGGGGCTCTCGCTGTGAGAAACTGCTAATTACCTGCCCCATAAACACGTCACTCGCTGTGAGGAGTTGATTAATTTGCCCCATATATGCGTCTCTCGGCCTTAATGAGATAACAAATGAGAGAGTTCTGATTTGTATAGTGTGTAACATGAGTAGAGTACTGAATTGACCCTTATTGTAATTTATGATGTTGACTGATGTACCAAATGGGGTTAAAATTTATACTAATGAATGTGTTTTCCAGGCTCCGAATAACGTGCTGACATATCTGGCCCTGAACCCGAGTAGTACAGACTACTTATATGTCAATCCCATCAATGGAGAAGTTCGTACACAGAGGTCTTTTATCGGGTCAACAGTCCGTCAGTATGATGTAAGTTTATGTCATTTTTTCTGTCAATCTATTTTGGATCCTGCAGATTTCAGTGATTTTCTTGTGCAAACTACAAATTCTGGAAGCATAAAGTAATCTGTGTTGTGTTTTTTGTTGCAGTTTTTGGTGAGGGTTCAAGATGGTGGTAGCCCCCCTAAGACAGCTGTAGCTACTGTGCGTGTTAATGTGGCTCGTGATAGCCAGACACTGGCATTCCGGCAGGACAACTATGTGTTTACAATTGTGGAGAACACCCCTGTCACAAGCAATATCATCAATGTTGAGGCAATACCAGGGGTAAGAAATATTACAGTTAGAATCTCTATCAGATTCTCTATTTGAAGCATATCTGTTATGATTTCCATTGTTTTGCCATGGCTGTATGAAATATATATTTGTGTTTTGTCTGCAGCCTGATGTGATATACCGGCTTACTGGCTACAGTGACTCCGGAGATTACTTCAGTGTCAACCCCAATAATGGGCAGATAACTCTCATCAAGGACCTCACAACAGATGTTTCAAGGCGGCCAACTTTCTATGTATGAGTCAAGTTTATTTCCATTTCAAAGTTTCAATGTTTTAAAACTTCCTCTTATGAAGAACTGGGTCATCTTGTTACAGATCCCTGAAAATAATTGTTGTGTTCTTTTTATGTTTTCTCTTACTTCAGGACATGAAACTAGCACAGTAACAAATGGTTATTGAATATATGACACTATGTAGAAATTAAACCTATTAGGCTCACCTGGGATTGTATGTTTCTTCTCAGTTACAAGTTGAAGCAGAGAAGCAGTTCACAGTCAACCTGCAGAAGGCTATTGCCAATGTCACCATCACAGTGCAAAGGAATACAAATAGTCCTATCTTCAATGAAACTGATAGCATCTATGAGGTGATAATTGATGAAACTCGTGCACTTGGGTCCACTATCCTTCAGTTGTATGCTCCAGATGCTGATGGGGTAGGTTGAGTTACACTAACATATTTTTTGCATTCAAATTACATCAAAGGTTCTTATCCAGTGAGTTAAGCCAGTTTAGTTCTGGATTTATTAGGCCCAACACCTATTATGAGATTTGCTGTTTCTTTTCGTTTTCTAAATTTAATTGTGCTTTATATACCTGATATATATATGATGACAATTGAACAGAATTTAAATTTTTAGCGATTGGTAACAAATGTACATATTATTATTTGTATGTTACAAAGAAGCGAACTAAAATATAGCTGTTTATTATTATATCAATGTTTTGTTATTTCAGGATACAGTTCGCTATGAAGTGATAAACTACCAGGCTGGAGAAACAGATTTCCTCTACCTAGGACCTTTCAGTGGCCTTATTCGTGTTGCCAAACCTTTGACATCCACCAACACCAGGAGGTTTGAGGTAGACTACTTTTTGTCTTGGACTATTCTCTTAAGTGAACAAGTTTTGATTGTCAGATGCAAGTTGTAGTAATTAATCAACATATACATTTAAAAAAAATGTCACTACTTAATGTATTCACAGGTGATGGAAGAATGTATATGCAAAGCTGATAATTATTTGTGATGAAAAAAGATGGAGCAGATTGTTTATGTTGTTCAATTGTTTTCCAGTTCACAGTTAGGGCTAGGGATGGAATGAATCCAGAAAGATCCTCAACTGCCACTGTCATTGTCAATGTCCGAGGTGACAACCAGCCACCAGCATTCATCAATGAACCATACAATTCTCGGCTCAACTTCAGTGATCCAGTTGGAACCCGTGTGTTTATTGTACAGGGAACAGATCCTGACCTCATTGTAAGTTAAGAGACCTTATCTCACTAATATAATGTTTTCTTTGATTGTACAATATTTTGTGCATTATGTATTTCAACATCTTCTTGTTTTGAGTTTGATGTATACAAAATACATTTTGATAACTTGTAATGTGGATATTTTAAATAATTGTTGTATCTATTATTCTCTGTGTACAATAATGAAATGAAAGACCATACATCATGATATTTGGAATAAATCTTTCAGGGACAAATGAATTACGAGCTGACTGGACAATACTTATCAGCACCAGCCTTTTTCCGTGTGGACAGAACAACAGGAGAAGTATTCCTGTCTTCCTCAATATCAACTGAGAGTACATCCACATACACTGTAAGTTTCTTAGTATACTAAAAGCTGCATTATCATGTATGTTTCCTTGTCCTGTGTTCATTTTACGGCATTTTTCAGTTGTGTAATGTCATTTACTTGTGACAGTGGATGCTTGCTATTGAACAAGTCCCTTGTCACACTTTAACATATCTCTGCAATATTGCTGGTTCATGCTCGGTGTCTTGATTTATTGTATGTCATCTATCCCATGCTAATATATCAATGCTCATGTTGTCAATCACTTGTCCAGACTCAATTAGTGGCATAATATAGCTAGAATATTGCTGAGTGTAACCATGCCCCCATATGATATTAGTACCATCCTTTGCTGCATTTTGTATGAGTTGAACACAGTAAATATGAGTTTATCCCTTCATTAATTCAATTCATTATTCGCAATCACTAGAATCGAATATGCATGTTTTTGGGTTTTTAATTGATTTTTTTTACTAGGATTTAGGTGTTATTTATGAAAGTACAAAATGGTATATATCCAGTCCAGGGGGGTAATAGTCAACACTCTTCTATATTGAATTTGACAGAGATGTTGGCACTGGTCATTGTCATGATGAAATATCAATGTTAGCATGGTCAATACATGTCAAAGAATTTATTTTGTAATTGCTTCACTGAACATCATGAATAATACATCAACTGCTGAGTTATTTGCATTCGATATACAGTATTCAATATTCCAGATATGTATCATATTCGCCTCATAGTGGATTCATTGCAGCCCTCGAGTTGGGTGAACACCCACAAGGTGGCATTTGCTTAGACATAGCAAAATAACTACTGTTACATTCTGTCATGATCTATTAACACTCAATGTCCGTTCAAGCATTGTCACTAATCTAGTCATCTTTTCTATTCCAGCTTGGCCTGTCAACTTTTGACTCTGCTCGTCCTACGAGAAGAGACTTTACCAACCTGACCATCACTGTAAACCAGAATCCCAATGCTCCAGCTTTCACAACATTCTCCTATGACAGGACGATCTCGGAGACATATGATCTTGGTGTGTCTGTCATCCAGATTGAGGCTAGTGACCCAGATGGAGTAAGTTATATACATGTCACATTTCCATTGGCAAAAGCTATCATTGTTCAAACACATTACGAATAATTCAATAATGTGTTTGTTTTCATGGATTTAAATGTATATAATTTCAAACCTTTAGATAATATTGATCAAGTAAGCTTAGCCTGCTTCATGACAAAGTATTTGAAGACCATTATTTATTGGTTTAAAATTGGCTGTTGTAGCAAATCCTGATCTACACAGTAGAGGCGGCGAATCCTACAGATTGTGATTCCTACTTCCTGCTCGGAGCCTCCGGACTCATAGTGGCCTCACGTGCTCTCACAACTTCCTCATTTCCCCAGTGCACAGTGAGTATATCGTGATCATATATACCTTTGACACCATTTTGTGCTCATCCAGATTGTCCGGGACTAAATGTTGGTTCATGGTTGCATGTTTCTGAAAATTATGCAAGTTATAAAGATATCATTCTTCCCTTAAGTTACTGATGTATTGATGCATCACAATTTGCCTAGTGCTTGATAGTTTTGTCAGTACACATGTTCACATGTTCACAGTTGTATGCTACTTGAAACTTGTTCTGATTCTGTAACATTGATGTTGTACTGTTGGTAGTATGGCTGAAATATGGACTGTGTACTATATTAACCATTTTTAGTTTCAGAATATGTGGCAAATAATGCACTTTTTTCTGTTTAAAGATGACTGTGAGAATCCGAGACAATGGTGTTCCTGTAAGACAGAGTGTTGGTCTTGCCACAGCAACCATCAGGATTGATAGAAACAACAATGCTCCTGTATTTGGAGGTGGTCCATACACAAGAACCATCCCTGAGACACAAAATATTGGCTTCACAGTCTTCCAGTTCCAAGCCAGTGATGCTGACCAACCGGTGAGTTTCTTTGAAGTTTCATATATCTAATACCAATGGTTATCGTTGCAACTGATATTTTTAATATTATTATAGGTGTTGAATGTCATTTGTTTAGTATTGTAATCTCTGACATTTTCCCCCATTCTTTTCTGATTGTTACTGTTTTAAATTGCAGAACACTGAATTCTCACGTTTAGAGTACAGTTTGATTGGAGATGACAATACTGGCAATTTCTTTGAAATCAATAGCCAGACTGGTGTGTTCACAGTCCGAAGTCAACTGGACAGGAATGATATAGACAGATATGTGGTATGTTTTAATTCTCCTCAGACTTTTAGTATGAATGCATTTTCAGCTAGTTCACATGTTTTTGCAGATGTAGATTACTTCTATATTGTCAGTGTTCATGTGGTCTTTCACATTACACAAATGTGAAGCTGTCCATGAAATAAGGTCAACTGAATGTGCAATTGATACTAAACAAAATTATGCAAATTTTAAACCATCAACAGAACTTCTACTGAGGTTTTTGCATGGTGTTGTGTTGAGAAGGAACCAAATAATGCTACTCTATCAATAAATGAAACTGAAGTGTGGTCATAGCATGAAAATTTGTTGTCAATGGCTCTGATTTATAACATGTCAAATTGTTTTTAAGGCACGAGTGGTTGTAAAGGATGGTGGATCTCCAAGCAAGAGCGCTACAGTCACTGGAATTGTTAATATACTGAGGAACCTCAATGACCCTGTGTTTAACCCAACCTTTTATAATGCGACTATATTTGAGACTCACGCCCTCCGTGACAGTATTGTGCGTGTTGTAGCAACAGATGCAGACAGATCTGTAAGTTCATATTAACAGTCCTCTGACATCAGTTAAAGGTTTATTCATCATATATTTCAATAGTCAAAGAAAACCTGTTGCATTTTATAACTGACTAAATGATCTCCAAAGAAGTTACAAAATAAACCATGTGAATTCCAGGGTTTTGCTGATATTAAACAGTGGTGTATATATGAGAGAATTTGTGGATATCACTTCTTTATTGTGAGGAGCACAGTGTTTTCAGCAGATGAATGAATGCTAGGATCCAGGCAGCATATATGTACTTGTAAAAACAACAAAAGTAATGAGATAAGAAAGCTGGAAACATAGCAGTGAAAGCAGACAGTATATTAGCTCTGATTGGTGAATGGTAACTGACAATTGGAAGGCGGGATTCCCACCAGTGTGGTAAATGCACTTTATTTTGTTTTTCAGGGTCCTCAGAGTACATTCACCTTTTCGCTGCAAGACTTGTCTGGAAACTTTGCCAGCACGTATTTCCGAATTGATGCAACTAGTGGCAACATCTTTGCCCGTTTGCCTCTTACCCAGGACCTGACAGACACTTCTTTTGTTGAGGTAAATACTGACCAACCATTATCAATAATTGTCAATCATTGTCCTGATATATTTAGATAATACCATTCATGTTTTGTTTGTATTTCGTTTCACTAACCTTGTTATGTTCTGGATTTCAGTTCTCAGTAACAGCCACTGACCAAGGTGTACCAGTGCAAATTTCAGTGGCACCTGCACGTATGCGTGTCAACATTATCCGCAACCTGAACCCCCTGTCTTCCAGAGTGAACCCTACAGTGCAAGAATTGACTTCACTGCTCCCGTAAACTCCCCTGTCATAAATGTGCAGGCTACAGATGCTGACATTGTGGTAGGTATAAGCAGTTCAGTTAACAGAAACCATGGGCCATCTGAGGGGAAAGTGAAAATGTATGGTTATCAACTTCTTTGTTTGTTCAACGCGACGTTTTGGACTTAATTCTTACTCCTTCAAAGCGTTGTGTTTAACAAATAAAGAAGGTGATATCCATAAGAAAATTCTGTGACTCATGTTGATCATTTCTAAATGCTCTTAAAAAAATCACATAGGGAAAGTGTTCATCACAGCTAAGGCCTTGATCCAATATTATCATAAAACTTAAGTCACTTCTTAGTGTCCTACTCTGTTGATGTTACGTGGAAGTTTTCCAAGTCACTTGCTTTGAAGGTGTCCTGTAGCTGTTTGGATTGTATTCAGTATTATTCCTCTTACAATATGTTAGACATTTTCTAGTGCTCAAATATGTATTCCCCTACCATTTGGGTCCATATGTAGCTTTGCAATAAAGATTTTATGATGACATGAATTTCAACAGATTCGAATTCGATCTAAATTTTTGCCAGAATTTGTTTGTTTGGATTTTTTAAACATAGAATTTATTTTACAATGACTATTCTTTTACTTTCAGGATCCATTTAATCGGGTTACTTATTCCCTGATTGGTGATGGTTTGGCAACCAGCTTGTTTACAGTTACGCCTGACACTGGTGCCATCAGGACTCAAAATACCCTTAATTCTGATAACAGTGAACAATATGTGGTGAGTTCCCTTCTACGGTTATCAGTAACCCATGTATTGCAGTTAAACAATTGTAGTTAAAATGCATATGTTTATGACCTCTTGTCAGGATATGTATGATGACTGTGTCTCTAATATTGTCATTTTTCTTCACATCAGCTTCGAGTTGTTGCCATGGATGGAGGAACTCCAAGACTCACAGACACATCAACAGTGCTAGTAACTGTAAACAGGAATTTGAATGCACCACAACTGCAGCCTCAAAACTACAGTGTTGGGATTTTGGCCACACAGGCTCTCTCCATACCCATCCTCACTATTAATGCTGCTGATGCTGATGTTGCGGTAAGATCATACTTTATTCTAATATCATGACATGTACCGGTATATAGCATTGTGGTCAAATATTGATTTATTTCATATAACTGTCATCTAATCATATAACTCTATCTACTTACAGGTACCATATAACACAGTAGTGTTCAGGCCAACATCAAGTCCATTGTTTAGTGAGTTCTTTGGTGTGGATCCTTCTTCTGGGGACGTGTATGTGAAGAAAGATCTAGCCCTCCGGTCTGATATTTCAACCTATATTGGCACTGTGTCAGTGTGTGACTCAGCCTCTAGTCCACGTTGTTCTGATGTGCTATCCTATGTGACCGTCCTGGTGACACATAACCAGAACACACCCTTCTTCATCAATGAGCCATACAGAAGAGACCTCCAGCGCACTCTTGGTGCCGGAACAGGAGTGTTGACAGTTCAAGCAGAAGACAGGGATGATCCTGTAAGTTCCACATTCAAGTTATATACACACATTGCCTTTCTTGCTTAACCACTATGGAGACATTTGAATAAACCTTTATTCCGTGATTCAAATGCAGTTATTTTCTGTTCAAATTCCTACTCTTATGATCAATAAATGTTGTTGTCTTTGTATGCACATTTCACTGTGTTGTGAAAAGGAATGATGTTTTTTATCAAATTTTGATGTATACATGTTTTTGAAAGCATTGATTAGAAACTCATCAGTAAGTTATGTTTCATGACTGTCTTGCTTATTTGCACCTTGATTTTACTCTCTGTACATCAAAGACCCTGACCCAGTTATTGTTATAACACAGGGACATGAGTATGACATGAGTATTGGTTAATGCTGATGGTATATATTGCATCTGTTTCAGAGCACAATCTTTGGGCAGATTCGTTACACTCTCATTGGTGATGACCAAGCCCCCAACTTCTTCAGTATCAACCCCACGAGTGGACTCATTGAGATCAGCAATGCACTGGGTCAAACCTCAGACAATCTCTATCAGGTAGGTCATTCTATATTCTGCTGGTGAAGAACCCATGGGAACCACAGGCGAGTATATAGGCCCTCAGCAATCTATGCATGTTGTAAGGGATGAAACAATTTATTTAATTGTCAAGCTTGCTGATTCGATTAATTGCATGTCATCATATTTTAGTGGAATGATGTTCAATCACAGGTTTGTCTGGTCCTAATTATATTATTTAGAGACTGATATGATATATCTGAAATATTGCTGACAGCAGCATTAAACAACAATATAAACAAACAACATTTGCCTGAAACTCTTTAGTTTTATTTTCTGCATTTTGAATTACATGTAAAAATTAAACTACAATCAGTCTGATGAATTAATGATGCACTCTGTGACTTTTTGTCCTTGTTACACAGTACGGTTAAAGAACCTTGATATTGTTTCTGTTGTAGCTTCGTGTCCAGGCATGTGACCTTGGTGGTCTGTGTAACCGTACCACAGTCATTGTGACTATCACTACAAACTTTCAAGCTCCCATCATCTCCCCAGCTACCTATACTCAGACTGTGCAGGAGACCATCTCACTAGGAACACCCATCATTGATGTCAATGCTACAGATGCTGATCCCACGGTTAGGAACTATAGTTTTAGTCTTGTCAAGTAAAACATGGCGTTTGATATACCATTTGTTGCTTTTTTATTAGAACTTGTATGCTGTACAAGTATCTTTATGCATACACTTGTTACAGATGTCCCAACTGATTACTATTGATGAGTACAGTAATAAGATGTATTATTCACTTTGCATGATATAGTTTAAAGTGTATTTTGATGATTCTTTTCTGTTCATAGGCTCCAAACAACCAGATTACATACGTCATATCTGAAGGCCCTGAGGACCTGGAATGTTTCACGATCAACCCGGACACTGGTGTCATCACTGCAAGACGCTCATTACTTTACAATCCATGCACAGCATCAGTTTACTCTGTAAGTTTCCACTTCATTTCATTTACATAGCTTAGTTATGTTGGTATAATCTATATTTGAAAGATGTCTTTATTTACATGTGTAATACATGAAAACTGATGTTTTTATGAATGTACTCCTTGTACACAGATGCTAGTGGTTGCTCGTGACCGTGGTTCCCCATCGCTGGAAAGCACTGCTGCTTCTGTGACCATCAATGTACAGCGCAACGACAACCCTCCTATTTTCACCAATGAACCATATATAACCAGTCTGCGGGAAGATGCCAGTATAAATGATCCTGTCTTCACAGTAACTGCTGTTGACACGGATATTGTTGCTCCGTTCAACACCATTCAGTTTAGTCTCATTGGTGATGACACAGCTCCAGTCTACTTCGATATCCGTCAAATTGATAACAACAATGCACAGATTTTCGTGAAAGCACCAGTCTTGAATGATGACAAGACAACTTATATTGTGAGTATACATGCTAGCTTTTATGCTGTAACTGTCAGCATCTGAATGTAATCCATTTTGTATATTCATCTTTATTCAAGAATAATGTATAATATGTTTCATTATGGCTGTCTGGGGCAGTGCTGTTTAGTGAACATTTTTTGTATGAGAACACTGTGTATTTTGATGATGAAAAACTGTGTAGTGTCTCTGAAAAGGATTTTTACTCAGTCAAATTATGATAGGTTGATAGTTTATGTAAGAAGAACTACTTCATTTTGTGGGTGGTTGGGACCATTTATTGGTATATTAAATGTAAACAAAAGGAAATAACAGTAAAATCGTACTAAATGTTAAAAATAACAAAAATTTATTGTACTTTTGTTTCAGTTCTGAATTATTTGTTAGTAATGATCAATGGCAGGATAATACTGTTGTTCAAGTTTTTATTCTCTAGACAAAACAGTTTTGAAATTTGTCCAAAAGACTCCATTCATAAAAGAGAAAAAAATAGTTGATTTCTGTCAGCACGATCATGTAATCCCATGGAGAAATGAGAACACTGCAAATTACTTTTGTATTGTTGAATCCTTCAGCACTCTATAATACCCCTGAATGTTCACTTTTTCTCATGCCTCATAATACTAATTGTGATCCCAAGGTGAGAGTCCGAGCGGCTGATGGAGGTATTCCTAGCAAGTCCGACACGACCACTGTTCGCATCACAGTCAACAGGAATCTGTTTGCTCCTCGCTTTGATCCAATTAATTACAACATCACCATTTTCGAGACTCAGTCATTGGGATTGTCCATCTTCCAAGTGACTGCTACTGATGGTGACAGCAAGGTAACAAAATAGCTACTATGTTTTAATTTGTTTCTTAATGTTATGTTTCAGTTGTAGTGAAGTTGTTTGCTAAATGTATTTCTCTGATTTTGAAACATTTAGTATAGTGGAATGGTTATGGTTTTGTTATTACAGTTATATTTCCATTTTTCTGTTGAGCCTTCTCAGCCTTTGGCTATATGGTTCTTAGTCTCATGTGAATGCTCTTAATAGCTGTAATATGGAAAATATAGAGCAAAAGGATTTTAATGCATTTATGCCATGATCTTTGTGTGATTCAGTCTCCCCATCGTGATGTACGCTATGAAGCTACAGGAGATGGCACAGCACTGACGTACTTCAACATCTTATCCAATAGTGGTACTCTGTATGTACAGAGAGACCTACGAACAGACACACAGAAGAGGACCACATACAATGTGAGTAGTCCTGACCTGCTGCAAACTTACACTGTGGGAATATTATACCCTCAATCTTTCTTCTGTTTAGTATGTTGTTTCTTTAAAGCTGTTTTGAGATGTCAAATGATTTGGTATATTCATATCCGACAGTCTGCAATTTTAGTAGCTAGTGAGGTCCCGGGGCAGAGTAACACTCTGTTCTGCCTCATGAGGTCAATGAGTGAAACCGCATATACTAACACCAAAATGTAGAAATATTATGCTGAGAGCCAAGGTTTAGGCTAGTGGACTTAAAGTTATTTTACAGATATTAATACTGTTATCTAGTTATTTTACCAATGTTTATTTTCTACTTACAGTTTGTTATCAGCAGTCGTGATCTTGGTGTTCCTTCACTCCCTGGTTCCAATATTGCAACAGTTACTATTAATGTGTTGAGGAATCTGAATTGCCCAGCATATACAACACTCCCAAGGAGCATAACTATCAATCAGACAGCCACCGGGGTGATCTTTAATGTTGATGCCACTGATGCAGACACTGCGGTAAGAACTTGAATGTTGAACTTTTATTTAGCTTAATTAAGTTGTTCATGTTTTTCACCAGAGCAGGAATATCAGGATTGATGTGTGAAAATGGCCTCTAAAATAATTGTTATTAATATCCAGTTTTTTTAAGCTTATAAAGGTTTAAAATTAAAAACAGTTTAGATTACATCTTTACAGAAAGCACATTTCAAGGAGAGTTTAGGATGTTGCTAACAACAACATTTACAGGCAGTGTTGCATGATTGTTTCTTCAGTAAACTGTTTATTCAAATTTCCTAATTCTTTATTTTGATGCGTGTGTTATGTTTTGTGGGAGATACAAAAAATTCGGAAGAAAAACAATACTCTGCTTTCTACTGCCTGTTCTGCATGCACTTTATATTATCTGTAATATATGTCGCCTGGTGTATCCGATTCCTAACATGCATTGATAATGAATTGATGTTTCTGTGCATTGTTAGAATGAATACAACACAGCATCCATCAGGTACCAGATTGTGGGGGATGACAACGCCAACAACTTCTTCAGTATTAATCCTTCAAGTGGTCAGATCACTGCACTAGCTTCAATCAGCACTGATACCTCCTTTGTGTACAGAGTAAGTGGAATATTCTACTGTCATATGTTAAATATGTTTAGTGAGTGAATTTAGCTTTACGACACACTCAGCAATATTCCAGCTATATGGCTGTGTTCTGTAAATAATCAAGTCTAGACCAGACAATCCAGTGATCAACATCATGAGGATCGATCTACACATTTGGGATACGATGACATGTGTCAACCCAGTCAGCGAGCCTGACCACCTGATCTCATTAGTATCCTCTTACGACAAGCATGGGTTACTGAAGATCAGTTCTGACCCGGATCTTCATGGGTCATATGTTTACTGAAAATTAATAACTTTAACATAGATAAACTTATAAGTGAATTTTTATACAGTCCAATTCTTTCTTGGTCTAGGTTCGAGTGAATGCAGCTGATGGTGGTTCCCCTTCATGTACGGCTGTTGCAGTGTTGACTGTCAATGTGCGTCGAAACCTCAATCCTCCAGTCTTTACACAGCTGAATGTTGTTGCCACTATCCTTGAGACTCATAGTGTAGAGGCACTTGTCTCAAACCTCCTAGCAACAGACTTTGACACAGGGGTAAGTGTTTAGAATGGCATGGTGCGATGCACATGATTGAAGTCAGGTTAGATGCTGACATTACCATTTATCTTTCTAGATACAGAATTTATTCACAAATAGAGGTTCAGATCAAAGGTACAGATTACAGGTAAAACATTGCTCAAGTATGTGTCAGGAGCCATGGTATTAATATGTTCCTTATTTGACTGCAGAATGGAGCTGTGATTTCCTATGGATTTGAAACCTCCTCACAATGGCAAAATTTGTTCAGGATTGATGCCAACACTGGAAATGTGTTCCTTCGTAGAAGACTCATTGGTGTTACTGGGAACCAATTTGTGGTAGGTATATTAGACCAGTTACTTCAAACAAGGTCGTATTCTCTGAGATAGAGTGCAGGCTAGCAATGTTTATATGGATGGCACCAGTTATAATACTTTTACATGTGTGTGTATATTTTTTTCTTCCAGATGCAGTTCCTTGCAACAGACAATGGCAATCCACGGCTGACAAGTACACCAGCAACACTGACAGTGAATGTTCTGAGGAACAGCTTCCCTCCAGAGTTCCTACTAGAACCTTACAATGAAAACATTCGCCGTGATGTTGGACCCAACACTCTTGTAACAAGAGTTGTAGCAAGAGACAATGATACTGTGGTAAGTTGAACATACTTATAATAATTATACATTATGATTGTGGACACATTTCAAATGATGATGTTGCATGGTTACACACAAATGCTTATATTTGATGTTATATTCTTTCTATTACAGTCACCCTTCAATAGGACATCTTTCACAATAATTGGGGATGAAAATGCGAATGCCTACTTCCGAATTGACCCCACTACTGGGCAGATCTTCACTACCAGTGCCATTGATTCTGTTGCTACACCTGTGTTTAATGTAAGTGAGAGGCTGTGGACTAGTTCATGCTGATATTTGCTGATGTTTGGGGCTTTATGTATATATGGAGTAGAATTATAAGATGTGTTGAATGTTCTTCATAATAACCATTACAAAAAGAGGGTTAATGGCCTTTGTGAAAATGAATAGAGCTCCTGAGATCCTTGAGGTTTCACACTGTAGTATTCAAGTGGAGGCACTCAAAAACTCAGATAAGGACTATGCCAGAGATTCCATGGCTTTGGTTCTTACTTTTAAACTCTGTAAAGCACTTTAAGCTCTACTTAGAGAAGATGAATTACCAAATTACCATTATATCATGAGTCAGTTATTTAAATTATGTCTATGGTAGTCCTAGCACAAAATTACAAAAATGAACATGGTTAGGGAAATTTGTAATGCATGTAAAATGCCATTTTATGTCAGGTGACAGTAGTTCATGAAGTAGTAATTAGTAAGCTTGTTCGGTTGTTTATGCAGGTACGTGTTGTTGTATCTGATGGTGGAGAGCCTGCTTTGACCGACACTTCTGTGGTGCGTGTCTTTGTGAATCGGAACCTGGCCAGTCCTGCGTTCAATCAAGTTCAGTACACAGTCCGAATCCTGGAAGACCAACTTGTAGGACTGCCTCTAACCCCTGTCACATGCACAGATGCCGATAACTTTGTAAGAGCATACCATCTCTTTCATACATTCTATTATTCGACTTTTAACACAAAGTTGACATGTTAAAGAAGGATTCATGGCATATATGTGCCCTTGTTGAACAATAACTTATGAACAGTGCATTTAATTGGTATAGTCATGAAGTGTTTTTCTCTGAACTTATTGGACTCATTGTATCAGAAGCTGTATTGTGTTAATACTTTGATTTTTAATATCCTTATGATTTACATTCTAGGCACCATACAACCAAGTGCGTTACGCACTGACAGGAAACAGCACTGTTCTACAGTTCTTCCAAGTAAATACAGTCAGTAACGTTGGTACTGTGTCATTGAAGAGAGCGATATATGATTACCCAGACAACACTGTTACACAGCTGCAGGTATGTGACAAATCTTCTGAAAGCATGTTCAAATCATCAGCAGGTATGACATTACTATAGAATTGACAATAACACCAACCCTGTCTTATTTTCAGTTCCAAGTGACTTGTGAAGATCTTGGAAATCCAAGCCAAGCAGCCAGCAACTCTGCAACCGTCTTTGTGACTATTGTGAGGAATACCCCACCATTCTTTGATGGTATACCATACTCTACAGTCATCCCAGCTACACAAGCAGCAGACACGTCCGTGTTCCAGGTGGCTGCCAGAGATAATGATGTGGATGTAAGTTGTCTTGAGGAGCCCATGTTCAAATGTTCTTTTATCTTAGGAATAGGACTGAAAACATTGTTTTCTTTCTGTCTTTACCTTCACCATTGTTTATCATTTAGCCCTGTTCTATTTTAATAATATTTGGTATATTTTACACACTAGTCTTCATGGTACAATTTTGACCGAGATGCTGGAAAAGTTACCAGATTACTTTTTAATTTTAATCACTTTTGTCTTTTTAATCAGTGTATTATGAACACTTTAGATAACATGTTTAATGTATTTTCTAGCTTTTATATGTTTACAAAATGTCTGATTTGTGCTTCTTGTTTCCTCCAGGCCCCATTCAATGAAATATCCCTGTCTCTTTTGGGTGACTCAAATACACCATCCTACTTCACATTGAGTCAAACTGGCCTTATCTCTGTCAGAAGTGGAGTCAACCTTACTACTGACACCAGGACAAACTATGTTGTAAGTACAGGAATTGTAATACTGGGCATGTGTGTATGTGTGCATGTCGATCTGTTAGTGTCTCTGGGTTTGAGTCTGTGTCTGGGGTGGTTGGGGATGCGTGCTTTGTTTGTTTGTTGTTTAATGTCGCACTCAGCAATATTCCAGCTATATTGCAGCAGTCTGGAACCGACGAACCAGTGATCAACAGCACCAGCTTCGATCTTCACACTGGTTTACAGTGACATGTGTCAACCAAGTCAGCAAGCCTGACCACCTGATCCCATTAGTTGCCTCTTGCTGAAGACCAATTCTAACCCGGATCTTCACAGTTAGGGGATGTGTGCAGGGATGGGTGTAGTTATATGTGCAGAAGAAGGCTGGGATTCAAAACTAAGTTCTGAGTATGTTTTAAGAAAATTTATGTGAACTGATTTGTTTCTAATTGATGTTTTCATTTAGGCTCGTGTCCAAGTGCGTGATGGTGGCACCCCATCTTTGACCTCAACAGCCTTAGTTGCTATCTCAGTCACACGGAACTTCTTTGCCCCAGTATTTTCAAATTCTCGGGTGCAAGAGACCATACCAGAAACAACTCCTGTCGGCACCACCGTCACCACTCTTACAGCCTCGGATAGAGATACTGTGGTTTGTAACACTTCCTGTCTCGTTTAACTCTTCTTTAAAGTCAATTGTACGATTTCAAGAGACAACTGTCAGTTTGATCAGTCTTTAATGTGATGTCCTTCCATATCAATCCCAAATTAAGAAAAAGAGTATTTTGACAAATAGCAGTGAAGAAGTTCCTAGAATCTAATGTTATCCCATATGACAATGACAATGACAATACTTTATTACCTGTGATGGAATTCTTGTGTAAAGTACAGAGCTCAAACATTGATAAAATGATTAAATTGTTTTCATACAATAAATAACACACATATAACACGCTAACAAGGTAAGACAAACACTAGGAATCATTTAAAAGATTAATACTGGCAGGAACAAAGGATTTCATGGTACGATTGGATTTAAAACGGGGTAAATTATAACGGCGCCCAGAAGTCAGTAATTTATACTCATAGTACATGGGATGATCTGGATCAGATATAATCTTACGGGCTGACTTATGTTCATATGTATTACTAATGTCAACTGAGTAAATGGTTAATAGACAATGAATTGTATCGTTATTCACTATTTACTTAGTCAATCAAGGTCTTATTATTTGCATCTCTTACCTTACTTTTGATGTTATGTAGTCAGCTGTCACTGGTGAGGAACTGTTGTTATCAGCATTACTGAAAGAGAAGATTTTGTCTGAATCTGATTTTGTCTATGTATTGATCCAGTGTCACAATGCTTTATCCTTTACAGGCTCCCAATGGAAACTTTCAGTACAGGCTTGTGAGTGGTACTGGTGTAGGTTTCTTCTATGTTGATCCAAACAATGGTCAGGTTGTCCTTCTGAGGACAGTTGAAGGACTTTCCACTCAAAGATTCTTCACGGTGAGAATTATATTAAATGTCATTATGGCATAAACTCTTTCTTCAGTAACCTTCCATACTTTATCTACATTTCTGTGTGTCAAAGTGTCTTATTTTTGAAAGCTGTCATAATGTAAACATTCTGTATGTCAGGTAATGTACATTATCAGGGATGCAGTCCATTATTTGCACCTGTTCTGATTACAGCTCAATGTAGAAGCACGAGATGAAGGAACACCATCACTCTTTGCCACAGCCATTGTGGAAGTTACTATCTCTTTCGACCCAGACCAGCTGGTCTTCGGTGCTGGAGAATACAACATAACTATCAGTGAAAACACAGCAGTGGACACTGTCATCACAACAGTGCAAGCTCAACCACAGGTTGGTTTATATTCTAGTACACAAACTGATATGCAAACTTCATGGAGTTTTTGTGTGCAATTTCACATAATTGTAAATGTAATCATTATTATCTTGCAGATATTTTTGTCCAATGGTGAATTGACTCTTTTGTTCCTTGATAGCTTAAAAGAACATTGTAAGAACATTTAACTCTCTACTAAGATGGGAAATTTCATTTTGTATCAGTTAGTGACCGTATATTATATGTCTCCATTACAGGCAGGAGTAGTATACACAGTGACTGGCCTTAGTTCAGGCCCAGACTTCTTCCTTGTGGATGGATCTACTGGCCAGGTCCGTGTAAAGACTCTCCTGACCTCAGATGCTGCTGAACTTACTGGCTACCGGGTGAGATCCTTGATCAATACTTTTGATATGAAATGACAAAAGTTCAACATGCATGTACATCTGTAACATTTTTTCCTTTTTACTCAATTATTTGAATGCTTACATTTCTATTTCTCTCTAGTTGAGAGTAAGAGCTACCAGGACTGGCGTTTCATCACAGACAGCCTTCACCACAGTCAACATCATTGTCAACAGAAATATTAATGCCCCAGTGTTTGACAGAGCACAATACCTCATCACAATACCTGACACCACGCCACTTGGCAGTGTCCTTGACACTGTGAGAGCCACTGATGCTGATGGGGTATGTGTCTTCATAGTTTGTTATAATGTACTTGCTGACAGAGTGTTTTCTTTATGTTGTTTAATGCTGCACTCAGCAATATTCCTGCTATGTGGCAGCAGTCTGTAAATAATTGAGTCTGGACCGGTCGATCACGTGATCAACAGCATGAGCATCGATCTACGCATTTGGTTATAATGACATGTGTCAACCAAGTCAGAGAGCCTGTCCACCCAATCCCTTTAGTCGCCTCTTTCTGACAGCATGTAACTAAGTAATTAATCAGGTGGTGGTAATATTTGTTTGACTACACAAGGTTAAGCGTGGTTGAAGACATATATTATTCCCCATGGAATCTTGTTGTTCACAAGAGTAACTATAGAATATACAAAACATTATTTATCAAGTTTTTGAATTATATTTTAAAGAAAGAATGAGTGAAATGATTTCCTTTGTAAGATATACACAGTGATACACATTAAGTAGTTCTTGTACATCTCGCTTGGAATCAGGATATATATATTTCTGTGATAACAAAATGTGACGTTGCCCTTACAGGATGTGATAGAATACACCCTGTTGACTGGACAGCCAGCATCAGATTTCTTCCTTGTTGGGCCTCGTGATGGAAGCATCACCCTCAAGACGACACTCATTGGCACTACACAGAATGTCTATCAGGTAGAAATCTTGTTTTATTTCATTGTTGATCATTATCAAAATTTGATACAGATAGAACTGAAATGGTAGCAGTATCTAATGCACAATAGATCGGTGAACTGTTTTTTAATATAGTCATTCAGTGGAATGAATAATCCCTTTGAAATGACTGCATGAACAAACAGATGAAAAAATATGTTCCTGAAACTGTATACATTTTGAACTTCCCTATTGTAGTTGATTACATCAGAGCTGTTGATCAGTTCGTGATGATGTGACTTGTTGTTGCAGTTTACCATTCAAGCTGATGATCAGAAGGTGCCACGTCAGAAAACTTCAACAGTTCAGGTGACAGTCAACATCACTCGTGATGCAGGTGCTCCACGTTTCATCGGAATTCCCTATTTTTTTAACATCAGAGGAGATGTAGCAGAAAGTTCAAGCATCTTCACAGTCACTGCTACTGATGATGACCTTAGGGTGTGTATTCTTCATGGCTAGTTTTCAACATTGACATTATATTTGCAGCTCTAGTATTTATTTCAGGGTAAAAGTGATCCCGTATTCTATATGATTACTGAAAAGTAGGATCACTTGGGTCCCAGTTGTCCAAGGCACCAGAATAGGCTGTACAGTGTTCTGTCCCTTGTGCATTTTACCAAAGTGGTAAAACATCTGAGACCCTCGTTACATCAGGTTTCCCTCCCAAATCAAGATAAAATATTGTGATAAAGTTTTTCCCCTTTGTGATCTGTGCATTAGAAAAAGAAATAATTTAAACCCTTACTTAAAAAAGTCCTTACTTGCAGTGTTGCTGGTCTGTTTCATATTGTTAATCTACTGCTAATAAGTGAATAAATTAAGAATGCTGTACTTGAACATAAATATGCAATAGGAATTATGTTGCATATTATCAGGGGTGGAAATAACCCATTGCCCGACGCCCGAGTCCAGTGTTTTTTTCTGTCGGGCAAGCAAATTTGTATATCACACTGTACCAGCGTCCAGTTGACTTTCCAATATGAATTATGTTGTTTATTTAAAAAATCAGCAAGAAAACGGTTGGTTTAGTGGAAAAATTATCAGGGCAAGTGATTTTACATGTGCCACTGTACTGGAGTACACTAGCAATTATAAAGTTATTTCCACCCCTGATTATGTTATTTATACTATCAATTTTAACCAAAAGATTTGCTCATTTGTAATGAAATGTCACTTTTGTTTTTCTTAGGGTCAGATTGAGTTTGTGACCATTGGACAAGGTGTAGCTGAGGCATTCTTTACATTGAACACTCAGCCTGCACAGAATCCTCGTGAGTCCTTTGTGATTGTACGGGATACCAGTGCCCTGAGGAATGATGTGACACAACAGTATACAGTGAGTTTCCTTGATTATTTTTGTCAAGTAGTTGCTTCACTTTTTCATATATTGTGTATCTGTCCTTATAGTGAAACCTGCTCTGTAACATCATATTTATGAAAACTTCAGCTCAGAGTCCGGGCCTATGACACTGCTTACCCCAATAACCCAGCTACAACTGATGTCACCATCAATATCGAGAGGAACCTGAACAGCCCACAGTTCTCTAGCCAAAGATATCAAGTGACCATTTATGCCACTCAGGTGCTAGGTGTACCCATCATACAAGTGAATGCTTCAGATGCTGATGGGGTATGTACCAGATCAAATAAGACAATTTACATTCATTCCCGTTATGTGTTTTTAGTGTATCAGATTATCAAAAGTATAATTTTTCCTTATCCTGACTCATGCTCTTTTGCTTGTCCCCTTCCTCTTGCGAACATAGTGGAACACTTGTATCTCCTTAATTGAAGCTCCCTTCAATGTAAAATCACTAATTGGTACTCACCCACGAGTTACCTCCCCTGCCGTAAGCTCGGGAACAGGTGTCGCCACCCTCTGGCCTCATGCTTCACTCTCTCCTTCTTCGCCCAGTGAGCAGGATGTGAGAGCGCCTGTGTCTCCTTACACACTATATCCTTTGGTTTTTCTTAGTTAGTTACCTTTTATAGTTTACTATAAAGGTATAGCTAGTATCCTTCAGTTATTTGCGTTAATAATTAATCGTATTTCTACTGTTTATTCACGGAGTTCGTGGATTGTTCAGCTAGTTTTACATTGATGAAAAACTGTACTATTTGTAGATTACGTTTTCCGCTTCGCGATCCGCATGTGGTATGCCCTAGTTGTACTACGCCTTGTGCGCTTGACTCACGCTTGCAGTTACTGCATAAATTTAACCAATTCTGCCTTTGATAAATACCATCTTTGCGTCTTGAGACGTGTTGCAGATAGGTCACGCAAACTAGGTGTAGACATGGCCGATACGCCGGATTGCCCATCCAGTCAACTGTTGTCGAAGTGATCCCTCCCGCCTGGTGTTCTGCTTGAGACCCCATCGAAGAGGGACGGGATGCAGTCCGTCACCTCTAAGAAGCGACCGCCTCTCCAGACATCCAGTCATCGCAGACAAAGTCCAAGAGGGCCTCAACGTCTTCTCAACGCAGACTTCGTACTTCAGGGCAGCGCCTTCCTCCAAAGGGAAATCTACTTAAGTCATCGAGAACTTTCTCAGACGAGATCGCTCCAGCAGCAGAATTGGGCCTCTACGATGACCAGCCGATCATCATACCCGACATACGCCACAAGAAGCTGCACCAGTGACAGCGACAGTGACGCCAGCAGAGATCAACAAGCAGCCTGATGCCTCTACACTGATGTCAGACGAGATCGCTGAGGGCCCCACCGCTAACACAGCAGAAAGGGCACCATCTACTACGCCGCAGATCATCCCAAACGATCTTATGAAACAGATCATGATTATGATGGAAGGCCACTATAGACTGGAGAAGCAGCCATCCCAGGGTCCGAGCCCGCGAAGGCTCCAACGTGACAGCACCCCAGGGCACCATCTGTCAACGTAGCAGCCACGATAATGCAGCCTTCGCTGAAGGAAGTCACAGACCACCTCGACGGCGACCCAGATGTACAGCCTTCGCTAAGGCCTTCGGGCGGGAAGAATCATCACCTTCTTCGGCGCCATACTCAGATATGGAATCTGATCACCAGACCACACGCAAGCCTTCGCTGAAGGTCATATCATCGCTCCCAGGACCGGACGATAATGGCTTCGCTGGCGCTCGCTGGCGGACACCTGAACCCAGATCGCCTTCATCTAAAAGATCAGCAAGGGACTACACAAGAGCTTCACAGCGGCTATCAGTCCCTCATAGATCGCCAAGAAGGTCAACCTATCGATATAGATCACCAAGACGATCACCTCGCCGATCACCACGCCGATCACCTCACAGGTCTGCACATAAGCCTACAACTAGATCTCCACAAGCGCCAAACGATATAGAGATAGAGCCACACAGCCCTACATCAGAAGAGCAACAACCTCTTATCTATGATGATGGAATGGAAGATGATGGAGGAATTATTTTCTCAGATGCAGAGATAAGATATTGATGGTCAATAATCTAGATCTCTCATCACCTTCCAAGAGTGGCAATAAGGCGCAGACTTATCTGATGAAAGAAGATGACGCAGATGCTATTACACTACCCCCAATCGACCTCGATTGACGGTACCTCAGAACCTAGATACAGCATTTAACAAAGCCACAAAGGTTCAGACGCCACATCTGCCAAATTTCAGCGCCAAGAAGTTCTCCACGCGATAATATGGAACCCTTCTTCAAAGCGCAAGACATCGATGAGAACTATAAGCTGATCTCCGATGCCAAGAACAAGTACTACAAGATTGATGATCGGAAATTGGTTCAGATAGAAACCATGACGCAGGCGTATGTTCTTCGGTCTAAATAGATCTAGAACAATAAATGAGACACTTATCTCCAGATTTCGGAACACGACCTCTGAAGATGACAGAATGATTTACTCGGCCCTACTGATGCAAAAGAAGGACCAGCAGTTTTTAACAGATCATCTGACGCCTGTCTCAGCAGCACTGACCTTAGCTCGTCGTCAAGGCCTCCTAGCTTCCTGCAACTGGGGTGAGAACTTTACAGCTCCACTATATACAGCCCCGTGGTCTTCCCCATCCATATTTGACGGAGGAATAGACACAGTCTCCAAAGAAGTCACCAAGGATTCTAGAGAAGTCCTGATGATTAAATCGATGGACACGCTAGCCAGTGTCATTCGACAGACTTCACAAAGATACTCAGGAGATCTAAATTCACGGGCCTACAAAGAGCTAGAGACAGGAAGATTGCCAGTTCCAGGGGAAGAGATTCTTTTCGTCGCCCATATGGCAACTATAGAGGAGGGTCAGGACGAGGCAGGACACCCAGAGGTTCCCGCAACTATAAACGCTGAAAGACAGGTTCGAACGACTGGAGTCTTCCACCCCAGCCGCTCCAGTACAACCGCCACAAGTGGGTGGACGCCTTCAACTACACTGGGAAAACTGGGGAATACTTCAAGACACCTATGTCTCCAACATTCTTCAACGCTGATTTCAGATCCCACTACAGGCCAAGCCTCCACTAACAGTCAACCCTCACAAGTTCGAGGTAGAGGCACAACAACTACTAAAGTTAAGAGAGGCGGTTACATTACTCCTAACCAAGCAGGCCATAGAAGTAATAGAGCAAGGAAACATCGAACCAGGTTTCTACTCCCCAGTTTTCCTAGTACCCAAGAAGAACTCCAAGGAGAAATACAGACTCATTTACAACATGAGCTTCTTCAACAAGACTTACTTAAACAAACCACCCAGGTTCACTATGCTACATCTACCGCAGCTACGGCAGATGATTCTGCCCCATGGACTACATGGGCAGTATAGATCTACAAGATGCTTATCTGCACATCCCAATACATCCCGAATCCAGGAAATACCTTCGGCTTTACGCTAGACGGGTTACATTACCAGTGGAAAGTACTTCCATTCGAATAGCATCAGCCCCATGGTTATTCAATTTAGGATAACGAAACCGATTGTTATCTATCTACATCGTCAAGGGCTACGCAGTGCTTTCTTCCTCGACGACGGGATACAAGTAGATCAAGATCCACAGCATCTCAAACTACAGTTAAACTACATCATAAAGCTACTAACACAGCTGGGATGGTTAGTAAACTTACACAAGTCGGACCTAGTACCATCGCAAGATCTGCAATTCCTAGGAATCGATTTATCACCAATCTCAACCGTGATAGTCGTACCAGAAGACCGCTATTCAAGATCCAACAGATCATTCCACCAGCTCTACTGTCACCGCTACCACTTCGACAATGGCAGAGCTTACTAGGTCTTCTAACATCAGCCCAAGACTTGACAGTCATAGGCAGATTACAGTTACGCCCGTTACAGGTCTTCGCCAATACACATCTCGACGACCTACAACCATTCAGTCTACCGATACATCTCAGACCTCATCTATTATGGTGGACAAAGAAATCGAATGTCTGCGAAGGGATTTGTTTAGCAGAGCAGGAATTCAAGACCCATCTATATGTAGACGCCAGCGTGCCGCTCAAGGTTGGGGAGCTCATCTCTCCAACCGACGGCATCAGGGTTATGGACTCAGCTAGAAAGCAAACTCCACATAAACGCATTAGAGATGAAAGCTGTAATCAACGCCATAAGACATTGGAGCAACATTCTACAGAATGCGCACCTGATGATACATACCGACAACTCCTCACAGTGGCGTTTTATGTGAACAGACAAGGCTCAACGAGATCGCCGAACCTTTTGAATTTAACCTTTCAACTGTTCGAATTAATCCAAGATCTAAATCTACATGTCAAAGCATGCCACATTCCCGGAGCCAGGAATATACTAGCAGACGACTTCTCTCGCCACATCTACCGTCGCCCGACAGAATGGATGCTCAATACAGAGATATTTGCACAGATAATCAAGCAAATAGGAGCCGCCTAGTAGATCTATTCGCCACAAGGTTCAACAATCAACTACCGACATTCGTGTCACCAATGCCAGACCCACAAGCATGGGCAACAGACGCTTAAGCATTTCATGGAAGGCCTCAATGCGTGCGCGTTTCCGCCCCAGCAATAATACTTCTAGTATTACAGAAAATCAACCAAACGCAGAGCCTACAACTCACTTTGGTCGCTTCCCTATTGGTCGGTTAGAACGCGGTTTCCGCCCTAATACAAGATATCGGGTCAACCGGCACTAGAACTACCTAAGCTGCGCCAAACCTGTTAATACATCCTCACACCAAACAGGTGCACAGAAACCCAGAAGTATTCAAACTTCACGTTATGGACTGTATTAAAATGTGTTTAAACAAGAGAGGATATTCTACCAGGGCGGCAAAAGCGGTCACGCTTTGCATTACGATACTCAACGCGTATCCTGTACGATGACAAGTGGCAAAGTTTCAAAATTATGCAACAAACAAGGGTTTTACAGCGAGATGCTCGCATCCTCAAGTGGCAGACTATTTGTGTTACTTACGGCAAAACAAACATTTAAAAGGCTCGACATTGTCAACATATCTTGCCGCTTAGTTCTGTGATTTCTATGAGAACGGTGTTAAATTAACAAGAACACCAGAGTTACTGGCCTTACTACGTGCTTTCCGATTGGAGGACCAAAAGCTGAAATTCCACTTCCAGCTTGGGATCTGAATGTAGTTTTACGACACCTCACAAGTGAGGATTACTTAACCATTGGAATCGACAACGTTTGAATTTCTCTCACAGAAAACAGTCTTCCTGTTATCGCTAGCCACGGCAGCCAGAATATCTGAAATTCATGCTCTAGATTATGAGAGGATACAGTTTGATGAAAATCAAAAGACAGCGCACCTGGGATTTAGATGGGATTTCATCGCTAAAAATCAACTACCAGGTCAACCAGACAGGTTATTTCACATCCCCGCGCTTATCCTCAATTCTTGGATCTCAAGATACATTGGACTTATCTCTATGCCCAGTACGAGCTCTCATAATCTATTTACGCCGTTTCCAAAACAAGGCGAAGATCGCTCAGAAGATTGTTCATCCCGTTATCGCCTACAAATCAGACAGAAGTCTCTCGTACCACCATATCAATATGGATAAGAACTGTCATTTTACGCGCCTATAAGGCAGCAGGACTGGACCCTCCAACAGCATCAAATCCTCATGAAATCAGGGCATTGGCATCCACCCTCTTCATGGTAACTGTTCATTGAATACAATTATGGAAGGATGCTTTTGGAAATCTAACATGGTGTTTGCTAATCACTATCTCAGAGATATCACCACCGAGGACGCCTCTGGCATTCATCATTTCGGTCCTTTGGTCCTCGCTCAGCAATTGACAGTCCCTCGTAGGCGTTAATATTCACCCCCACGAGATTATTAGATATATGATACATATATTCACTAGCTTATAACTCCATGGAGTTCTAGGGCTATGTACATATTTAGCTTAGGTTATTCAACCTTAAGCTCATACTGAGTTATATTCAGTGTACAGCTACGTTAGAGTAGCAGTTTATATATATATATTGATATATCAGTATATTAGTAAGGTAATACCCCACTTATAGTGTATATATCTATGGCTTATTATAAGGAAATATCCTAAGTCTCAATGCCTTATGAAGTTCCCGCAGGGGTTATTACAATATCACTTACTTAAATCACTAATTAATCCAAAGTATTCTGTTTACCCACCACCTCTCCGGTGGATTCTACAAGCAAAAGAGCATGAGTCAGGATAAGGAAAAATATGTAATTTTCTGAGTAAAATTGATATTTTATACTTATCCTGACTCATGAGGTTAGCCTCCCATCCTCCCACATAACACTTTGGATTTCCTGTAAATTCAAGTGTTGGGCTCGCAAAATCAGGAGAGAGTGAAGCATGAGGCCAGAGGGTGGCGACACCTGTTCCCGCGCTTACGGCAGGGGAGGTAACTCGTGGGTGAGTACCAATTAGTGATTTTACATTGAAGGGAGCTTCAATTAAGGAGATACAAGTGTTCCACTATGTTCGCAAGAGGAAGGGGACAAGCAAAAGAGCATGAGTCAGGATAAGTATAAAATATCAATTTTACTCAGAAAATTACATTTTCTTCTAAAAGCTGTATATATGTATGCTGCTACCATGGTGGATTGTGTGAGTGAATTCATTTGTGTCGGTGCCGATGTTGATGTTATTTGTATGGTATTGCTATTCCAGGATAACCTGATGTTCGAAATAACAGGGAGTAGTCAGGCTCAAGCATTCTACAATATCAACCCACTCACAGGAGAAATCTATGTGAAGAGGTCACTGCTGGAAGGCAATCAGCTCAATGACCAGGTAAATCCTTTACTTTGATGTTACCATTAATGTCATGTCTAAGACTGTTTCTATGTGTCATTACTACAAGTTTTTAAGGCTCTGTTTGATACAGTTATGCATATCTACTATTTCCAGATAAGTCTGCGAGTGCGAGATCAGAGGACTCCTGAAAAATATGGCACAGCTGAAGTTGATGTCACTATCAAAAGGGACAGATTTACTCCAGAGTTCCAGAATCAGCCCTACATTAGAAACAACTTCCCATATCGATCAAATGTTAATGATAATGTTCTGACTGTTCTTGCCACAGACAGAGATCTTGAGGTAGGAATTAATCTACAAATTAGAAAGTAGAGACAGAATGTTAAAGCAGCATTGAGAAGTAAACAAAGTATGTCACTTAAGCAATTAATATGTAAGCGTTACAGTACTTCATGGTGATTGTCACACTTTTGTGAACAGTTTATCCTGTTTCTCTTTTAGCCACAAAGTCTTCATTGTTGTTTCCGCTTTATCAATGGTGCAAAAATTGTTATTCATTTATATTCCAGGGGACAATTGTTTACGAAGTGACAGGTGTCTATCCTGCTCCATCATTCTTCAGAGTAAACAATGAGACTGGCTTGGTTGACCTCAGCCAGCAGCTCACCACCATCAGCGGAGACTATAGGGTACGTACAAAACTTGAATTCTTCACAGTCTTTTACATCATTTACTTTTCACATTTCTTGTGGTAGAGACCAACAGTAGAAATATCATTTTCTTTTCTCCTTTTCAGTTACGGGTCATTGCATATGACAGCTTCTACCCAAACAATGCAGCCACATCAACAGTGACGATCCTTGTGGATACCAACCCCAACACTCCTATATGTAACCCACCTGTTATCAGTCAAAGCTTGGACACTGGCTCACTACTAACTCCAGTTGGATTTGTCATTGGGACTGTCAATGCAACGGATGCTGATGGGGTAAGTTATAATTACCATCTCATACATCTCCAGCCAGCTTTGTTGAACCTATATACCTATTATTTATGCCTTCCAAGTACCCCCCTCACAGATTTGAGCATATTTATATAAGTGAATTTAAATTTCAGGATCAAATCTCCTATTCCATAGTGAATGGTGACCCTGAGGATTACAGATACTTCATTGTAGACCCAACTGATGGCACCCTTCGTCTCCGTGAACCTATCGATAATACCTTCACTGGCTTTAACGTAAGTTGTTGTTGTTTATGTCTTCATAGGTCACTTCATTAGGATTTATATTGTTACCTACCTAGCATTCTGGTCTACGATGCCCATAATAATCTGTAATAGGTCAATGTTCTGGAAATGGGTCTATGATCATCATAGCTCTAGGATAACTTTGGGGACCTGGAACATATAGAGGCTATGAAGTGGTGATTACTTGTGACAGGTCTTGTAATCGCTTCTGTACTATAGATGAGATATATCTATAAGCAACTATGCTACGTAAATGTTGACATATGAGGGCCTACAGCAATGATTTCTGTCATAACATATCACTCCCTGTGGGTTCTATGTTCTATGTATATAACAGTTCCAGATTCAAGCCTCAGACCGTGGTGTTCCTACTGCCAAAGTGTGTACAACATTTGTTAGCATCACAGTTCAGAGGGATGACGCTCCCTTCTTTGTCAATGAGCCATACAGTAACACCATTGATGAGACAGTCACGACTGGTACTCCAGTATTCCGAGTAGAAGCCCAAGACAATAATCTCAAGGTATTCACAATTTGTTGTTGTAACATGACATTTTTCCTTCAGTCTGTTAATTTACATTTCACTGAAACATGATGCCTTGTGCTTTCTTATCAGCAAGTATGATAATTAAATGATTACAGCATTTGAAAATACTGAAAGAAATGGTGCATTGTTCTTTTAGGGTCGAATTGTGTATGGTTTGGCTGGTGATCTGCGTGCTCCCTACTTCTTCACTATCAATGACACAAATGGCATCATCACTCTAAGGAACAGTATACGAACAGACACCTTCATGTCATACAAGGTAGGTAACAAGTCCAACAACTCACAGTCATCAGTTAAGCTTAAAATTATAAAAGGACAGCAGTATATAGTTATACCAATTAATTTTTAAGAGTTTTGAACTTAGAAGACTCATGGAATTTTTTGTTCAACCAATAACTTAAACACATTCAAATGGATTGTTTTCAGATTGTTTTCAAACTCTATATCTATAGGAGAGGTGCAGTGCAAAGTTTTATGTTGATATTTTTAATTTATCAAGAATTATATCTTTGGAACATGAGAAAAGGTCCACATCAATTTGTCCAACCAATAACTTTACAATCATTTAATGAATGGTTTTCAGATTTGGGTAATGGGTTCTTTGTGTATATGAAAGGGGCAATGCAAGGTTTAATAAAGATATTGTATTTTTGACTAGAGAATAATAATTATCAGTTGTAGTTCAGCTGAAGTTGGGTGTCATAATTGGGGGTATTAGTAAGTCCTGCTCACTTTTTTTGCTTGTTTAATTTATGTCACTGCTGATTTCAGGCTAGAGTAACAGCATACGACTCGGGATCAACGACACGTACTGCCACAGCAACTGTAGACCTCACTGTGAATCGCAATGCTGGCCAACCAGCATTTGGTTTACCTAGTTATGATACGACCATTGAGGAGTTGACAGCAGTGGGAACAAACATCATCAATGTCACAGCCACTGATTCAGATCAAGTTAGTCCAATAATAACTCTGCCTTTTTACATCCATATGTAGCCTCAATTACTCATCATTTACACTTAATATGTTGACTGATATTGATGTGATAAATGTTATATTTTTTAAAATCTTGTATTTCATATGATATATCTTGATATATCTGATCTCTTCAGGATGTCCTCCGCTACACTCTTGAGGGCAACCCGGTATCAGTGAATGGGCTACAGTATTTTGGCATCAACTCCAATACAGGCAGGATCAGTGTCATCAGACCATTGACAGCTGATGTGGCCAGAACAAGTCAATATGTGGTCAGTAAATGTTTCTTAGGACTTGTGTACTTTGAAATCCTGGATATTAAACCTTTCATTTCACAGCAGTCAGATAAAATCATACTAAATTATAAAGCTCTTTAAATATTTACTCAGTTGAAGACCAGTTAATTCCTACTCTATGTAGCGAACAGAGTTCACCCAATCAAACATTGTCAGGCATTTTTGTGAACAAATTAAGTATGTTTATGCATTGTGATCACTAAATTGGACTATCCACATTCAGAACTAGATTTCTGGATGTCTTAAGGAATTAGTTTTATTTTTAGAATGTATGTTGTGGAAGGAGGGATATCAAGATGTCTGAGGGCTGTGCTCACTTAACAGTGTTTATTAAGAGTCAAGTGAATCTCCCGTTCCAGTGTCAGCCTATGTAGAGATTGTAAAACATGAGCACTGAGTAATAGAGAGTCCATGTATGCCTACAGATTCATTTTTCTTTCAGATGACTGTACGAGTAACGGACCAGAGGCAACCAGTTGAGAAGTCAAGCACTGCCCAAGTGACAGTTAATGTTCTCCGTAACCTCAACAAACCATATTTCAGAAACAACCCATACTCTCGGCAGATCTCTGAATTAACCACAGTGTCAACTTCAATCATCACAGTCACTGCTGTTGATGATGACCTCAAGGTTAGTAGTGTGAACAAGACTGAGTATTAAATAGAGGATACTAAATTATCTTCCGTGTAATACCATTTCACTCGTTTGATACTAAATCTTTCACGAGTTTAATATAAATGGTATTTCATGGAATTGAGTTTAGTATTCTGTTTTTTACTCTCCAACATAAATTGCAATTGATAGAAACTGTATACAGTGTGATGACTCTCAGCTTTCTGCGAGTCAAGCAAGGTCTCATACCATTGTGACAGAGGTATTAGCATTGTGACGTCATAACTGTAAATCGTTATGACATCATACGTCTAGCAGCATCACACCAGTGTAATATTGCCGTAAAAATATTACACTGCAGTATCTTTCACGGGTGAGTAATAATGTAATGTATTTTAAAGGTGTATCGTATGTAAGGAGTGAGTTAAGATTTTAAGTCACATCGGCAGTATTTCAGCCATATCGTGGATGTCATATGTAATGCATTCCTGGATCATATTATATGTTATGTATTTGAGGGGGCATGTGTTTTGTGAGTGAGTGAGTGAGTTTAGTTTTACGCCGCTTCTAGCAATATTCAAGCAATATCACGGCGGGGGACACCAGAAATGGGCTTCACACATTGTACCCACATGTGTGTTGTATTTCAGGGGGCATATTGTATGTAAACTATTTAAGGGCCCATATTATTTGTAATGTCTTCCAAAGGGCTTATTGTATGTAATGTATTTCAAGCTGTCTATGTAATGTATGGAGTGTATTGTATGCAAATTATTTGAGGGTGCATCTTATATGTCATGTATTTCACTTGGTGTATTGTGATATGTTGTCTATTTCAGGGGGTATATTACACATAATGTATTTTATGGGGAGTTTATTTTGAAAGTTTATTGATGTACAGTCATTTGTAATGTTGACTGAACACTAATCTTGTATACACTGAATGTAATGTATTTCAGGGAGATCTAATTCTGGACGTAGTTGGAGAAGGATCAGCACCATCCTACTTTAGTCTCACACCAGCCACACGAGTTGCTACAACCCGAAATGCTCAGGTTGATCTCCGGAACAGTGTACGATCTGACAGAGGGCAGTTTCAGTATGTGGTAGGTATAGACCTGATCCTCTTCATTAATGTGCAGGAAAATACTTCTGCCTTGTACTCCCTTCAGGTAAGGGACTATTTGGGACCAAAACAGATGGAAAAGTAGATAATAATCAGTAGTTTTTACATTTATTTTACATTTATTGATGCTTTCAATATGGCTTGCATCATTGACATTAACCTTGATATTTCATCTTGACATGTTTGTAATGTCATGGGCCATGGATAAGTGTGATACATCACCCTGCATGTTGGATAGAATAATATCAGTATGTCATCTGCATTATGTTTTATTTACCTTCCAGCTTGTTGTGAGAGCCTATGACTCCTTCTATCCTCAAGATTTTGTTGAAGAGCGTGTAGTTATTGATGTCACACGCAACGAATTTGCACCAGAGTACATCAACACACCCTATCGAGTAACAATTGATGAGGACACACCAGTAGGCAGAGCAGTTATAGATGTGAATGCTACAGACCGTAATGGGGTATGTATGCTACAATTCATTCAAACAGACTTTATTGTTGGTATGCTATTTCAGGTCCAATATCAGGTGTTGCGAAGTAATTAATGTTATAAACCAATGCTTTTAAATTTGACAGTGCGGACAATATGTAATGCGAACAATCTGTCACTAAACTATTTTTTAACGTCATTGGACTATATGTTTTCGGACAGCAGAGTTTACTGTCGCTGTGATGAGGTAGTATGGGTAACATTGTAAAAACTCAGATAATGGCTTGCGTTTACGATAAAGTTGTCTTTAATATGTTTGTGACATTTTTTGCAGTTGCACATTCAATAGTTAAGTGATGAAACATGTTACTAGATGTTGTTCAGATATGTCAGCAGTATGTGCTGTTTGTTTCAGGATCGCATTTACTATGCAGCATATGGAGAAGCAGACACCATGCAATTGTTCCAACTAGACCCAAACAGTGGAGTAGTAACACTGATCAGACCCCTGGTGCCTGGAACCCAGATGCAGTACACGGTAATTCAACATTCATTCCCTGTATTAGTACCCCATTTGATTGCCAGTTGTAATGTCCAAGATCCATATCAGGATTTGTTCATACTATAATGGACTATTGTCATTTATTACCTACGAGGGCGAAAATATCGTGGTTCATATTTTTCATACGATGCCCTAGGGCAAAATATCACTTTGTCATGGTGACATGACGTCATGAACAATGCTATGTAAACAGCCTATGTTTGAAAGTAGATTTGGGTTTATTTTTCTCAATTTGACGACTTCCGGTAATAAACAGAATATTATGTTCGAGCCCATATCATACTATGTTTACGACACTCGTGCCTAAATATTGGTATATCCCTCTCTCTCGCTTGGGAAATACCGACATTTAGGCACTCGTGTCCTAACAAAGTATGACATGGGCACTCATATCATATCCTCTATGTATTTCTATAGTTTCATTATTATTATCATGATTTTGATAAGGCAAGTGTTACACTGGAGTTTGATCTTTGTGTTTAATTTTGCTTTCTGCCTCCATCTTCAGATGAGAGTGAATGCCACTGATGGAGGTCTTCCTGAACGATGGACGCCAGTGGAAGTCATCATTACAATCAGACGAGATCAGTTTGCACCCATATTTATTGGAAACTATCAAACAAATGTCTTTGAGACCCAGGCAGTACCATCAGATGTACCAATTGTTGTACAGGCCACAGACCAGGATGGAGTTGTTGTACGTATCAAAAGAGCTTATGCTGTTACCTAAGCAGTGCATTAAAGCTGTAATAGTGTTCTAACCATAAATGGATTGCTTTTGTTCTGGTTGAATATTCATGTCATGTGAATTGTATTGTAGGTTATGAAATATGGTTATATGCCTACATAGACTACATTTCAGTGTTTGTTTGTTTGTGCCTAGGGCCAGATTGTGTACAAGGCTACAGGCATCTACCCAGCACTGAGTTTCTTCGAAGTGGATGGAACATCAGGACAGATCAGACTCATCAGAGATCTCAAAATGGACTTTAGCAAGCCCAACCCATACTTGGTAAGTCATGACATCAAAATTGTTCACAATCCTAATCACAAGTGGAAGTTTAACCTGGCATGTAATAACAGCTTTGAACATCTTAGGGAATTGGAGCTTTGAAATAAGAAACGATATTTATCTAAGTAAGGTTAAAGTGTGGGGTTATTAAATTTCATTGTTTCTGATTCTGAATGAACTGAATTGCATATTCTAGCTGGAAGTGACAGCTGAAGACAGTGCAAGGCCAAGAAAGAAGGGAACAGCTACTGTCACCATCAATATAATCCGCAATCCTAACACACCACAGTGGGGTTTGCGTAGCTACTCCGCCAACATCCCAGAAGACTACCCTGTCCCTGGACCTGTTGTAAATGTTACTGCAACTGACTTGGATGCTGGGGTATGTCCACTTTATCTTGAAGTCATACTGGTATTACCTGTTCACGGTAACCATAAATTACTGTAGATAAGCCTAATTTTGAGGACCACAGAAAGGCAGTCTGTAAAAGGGGTTGGCTTTATTTACAGGTTACATTTTTGTCAAACGTTTTTTTCAGGGGGTACACCTCTTTGGATGAATAGAAGTCACTGACAAATACTATAGAATCATAATCTGTCTTTATTGAACATGAAAGCATTTTTCTACATTGCTGACTTTTCTATTGCCTGTCTGTTATTCGTCTCTGTATTTTCTAGGACAAGATAAAATACAGTTTGAACTCAGAGGTGATCCAGAGAGATGTGAATATCGGTCCTATCGGCTACTTCTACATTGACACAGACACCGGACTCATCTCACTGAGAAGGAGTGTCCTTGGCAGTGGAATTAGACAGTTCACGGTCAGTACCTTCTCTGTATTCTTGTCTAGAGTACTATCAGGTTATCATTTTCTAATAAATGCCATATTTTGTGTGTACCTACTGAACTTTTTTAATTTGTGTTCTGTTACAATTTTATTTGCCTTTCATGTTGAATCTTGTTACATTGTTGGTCTTAAAAGTTAACTGGCAAAACTTTTTTCCTTTTAATTGTGGACTTGATAATGGAATTATTACTGTGCAACAACTTGACCTTTGTTACAGCTTGGTATCACTGCCTGTGATAATGGATATCCAGTTCGCTGCATCAATACGACAGCAGTAATTACAATCAACCGTGATGGTCAGTCACCCGTTTGGCAGAATTCCCCCTACAATGTTCAGATCCAGGAGACTCACGCTGTTGGCACATTCGTTCTATCAGTCCGAGCGGTTGACCCAGATTTAAAGGTATTTTTAGGACTACAAATTCATCAGAAACTCTAATTCAAGAAAAGCTCTAATTGGCTGATATTTCTGGTTATGTAATAAGATGGGTGCTTTAGTAATTATCATTTATTTAGTTGTATATTTATTATGTAATTTTGAAAATGAATATTAAGTAGAAGATTCACTGCATCAGTATCCTGTAAAATGTTGTGTGTTGGCCAGTGAACCTAAGACCTCTGTAGTACTATGTGAGACAGGAACATAAGACAATTGATATTTAGCCTGTTATCATCCTCTAAAGGGATATCTTGACTGTTTCAGCCCGGCAGCCAGGTGGTATATGAGTTTGTTAACCGGCCTGCCTTCTTTGCCCTTGATGAGTTATCTGGGAACATCACTCTGGAAAACAGTGTTCTCTTTGATTCCAACACACAGTATAATGTAAGTTGTCACAGCTTGACCTGATACCAAACTGTATTTTGCCTTTTAATTTCTTTTTTGTGTTTGTACAATAAAAATTGTGTTGTTCAATGCCAATGATGTTTTCTTATATGTGTATGTGTATTTCTTCACCAGTTCCAAGTTCGAGCATATGACAGGTTGGACAAACCTCGAAGTGTGACAGCTGATGTGACGGTGTTTGTCATCAGGAATGCCAACGCTCCAAGCTTCCTACGTCAGCCGTATCAGACAACTATCTCTGAGTACTATACTGTAGGTTCTGAGGTCCTCAACACTACAGCAGTGGATCTGGATGGGGTAGGAAGACCATTTCTTGTCAGCTAGTCACTGTGTTGTGAAGCTATTTGCGTCCTGGTTAAGCAAAAATATTTTCTCTCATCACTGGAACACTTATATTTTCAATCATCATGGAAATACTGTCACATTAATTGTTCTATGATTAAAATGTAGCATGTTTCTTTGGTAAAATTGGACATGATATAAATGCTAAAAGAAAATATCTGATAGATGCGTGCATGATTCCGTTCACTTTTACAGATTTTATGAACAATAAAGACCTAATGTTTCTTCTGTTCAGGATGTGCCACTGTACTCCTTTGTGAACCCGACAAATGAGTTTGCCAGCAAATTTTACATTGACCCTCGTGATGGAATCATCTACCTGAGGAGTTCCATGGAGAGGACCCCGATTACATTCTACAATGTAAGATATAACATGACTCCAGGCTTTTCTAGTGCTCTGTCTCAAGTACATTAAATTAGAAAGGCAGATACCTTATAGGATGAAGAAACAACTTAATAATTGCATCATTTTGTTCAGTTTACACCACCCCTATTAGTCTCTACAATGTAAACTATAACCATCATCACTCCTAGTATTTCTAGTGTTCTGTCTTAAGTATATTCATACAAAATATTTGAAATGTATTATTAGAATCATTTTTATTGAAATTTAGAAAGGCAGACACCTTATAGGATGAAGAAACAACTTAATAATCACATCATTTTATTCAGGTTACCATCTCAGCAACGGATCAAAGACTTGTGTCTCCCCGAAGTAGTAGTACATATGCCGAAATACGAGTGGATCTAGATGACACCCCACAGTTCACCCAGAATCCATATAATCGACCGATTCAGGAAAGCTTTACTGTTGGCACCTCAGTCATTACTGTCCAGGCAGTTGATCCTGATCTACAGGTGGGTACTTCTTGAAGAAGAATGATAGATATTTTACAGTTATGGATGGAAATTGATATACTGAAACTAATATATCTTTCATATTTCAGGGTGATATTCGTTATGGCATTGATGGGCTCTACCCAGCTGAATCCTTCTTTGGCATCAATTCCACATCTGGAATAATATCACTCCGACAGGACATCAAGAATGAGCCTCTTCAGCTGTCCAGCTACACAGTAAGTACATGAGGATATCTTTCCAATGGACACACTTGAGTATTAAAAGCTGAATAACACACAAAGTCTTCGCAGTGATTTGTTTGAGCTTAGACACACAAAATAATAATGAGTACTTTTCTGTTACAAACGAGTGGTGTTTCCATCCAGTCTTAGAACTTTCAGAAATTGTATGTCTTTGCGTTAATGTATTTTGTCGTGTAAACCAATGTTTCAGTTGCGAGTATTTGCTTACGATACTGCACACCCTACCAGCCGAGGATCCTCCAGCGTTCTTCTTAGCCTGGTGCGAGATCCCAATGCACCACGCTTCATTCCAACTGATCAGTATGAAACAATTGTGGATGTGAACACGCCAATTGGGGATAGGATTGAAAATACCACTGCAATTGATCTTGATGGAGTAAGTATAGTTTACAAAGAACAAGTAATAAAATGTTGTTCTGAGGATGTTATAAAGTGGATGTTGATGATCATTTGTCAGTGTATATCCTTGATGTTGGAATGCAAGTCTATGTCTCAGTATGCAGTAGTGTTTTGAAAAGATATGCATTGTAATGATTAGTTAGTACTATAGTATACTGTTGTATGTTATCATCAGTTTTTGCAGTGTTTGTTACAAGACCCTGATGTCTTTAGGCTAATTAGATATTTGTTATAAATTTGCATTGTACTGCACTTAGGGTATGAAGACTTGATATGCCATGCTCTCTTTAGTATATATAGAGCTATAGTTATATGAAGCTTTATTGTGTTCATGATTTGTAAAGCCACAGGGCCTTAATGTTCAGGATACATGTCCCAAGGTATATATTATCTATAAAAATAAAGAATATATAGAACAGCACAATTTATTGCGGAGTTACCTTCAGGATCTGTGAAGTGTTTGGGCAAAATTATATTAATTTCAGAATATGTAGATGGGCTGTTATGTGATATCTTGCTACTTTCGGGCTTTGTAGAAGTGGTGTTACGCAATACCAGTTTCTTGACATGATGCAGTGTACTTATGCTATGACCTGTTCTTGCCTTCAGGACACAGTGACATATCGTGTGGTAACTGCCTTCACCAACACTCTGAAGTACTTCTATCTTGACCCTGACACTGGGGATATCCATGTCCGTGCTCCACTCACATCAGCACCTGAGAATTTCTATAGTGTAAGTTACAACAAGTGTTATTCAATATTGTGATATATCAAGAAGTATTTTTGTAAATAGTTGCCATGTCATTTAGACATGTTACCATTAACTATACTACAACAGAATTCTAAAGATGCTGAATTTTGTTTATGAATCGTGGTTTTATTAACTTCCAGGATTATCTAAGTGTTCATATAATTTTCCTTTTGTCAAAGATCAATAATATTTCTTTTCAGTAACATTGAACAAAGGAACTGAAAGCTACTCAGTACCAATAATTAATGCACAAAGTCAGTTTATTATTATGTAGTGTTCACAATAAGTGGCTATAGATGCCTTATTGTGGATGGTGATGTAGTATTAGGTATGAGCACCTAGTTTTATGGTCGGTATGTTCAGAATTAATCCCAGTCCTTAAATACCAAGGGTGCCTCTGCTACAAGGAAAAACCGATCAAACCATGCAGGATTCTCTTACGTACATATCCTCTTGTGATAGATAATAACTTTGTACTACACAGGACCGTAATGGTAGCTCGTTTGTAAGTATTACTATCAATTTTAATGTGTACATTATGAATACATTGTTTTATTTGAACTAACATATTGAATTGCTTTGAGATTTTGTCAGTGCTTTATTGAACCTTTTAACAACCCGCCAGTTTAGTCCAGTTGGCCTGAAAGGTTCATTGTAATGTCATATTCTCCCTTGTTATCATAGTGATAGTTATTAAACCATTTACATTTTTTGCTTATCCAGTACCGCCTGATGGAGTGAGCTGAAATTTGGTTTAGTTTCTAACCATAAGAGGGTTAAGCTTATTCTAGAATGCAACCTGTTGTCATCTTTGATTTTCTGAAATTGTTTTATCAGAAACTACTTTCCAGGTTGAAGGTTTCGGGTGATTGAATGATAAAAGAATTATTAGTATATTGCTGTTTAAATATCCTGAGTAATCTGACATTTGTGCTTGTAGTGTTTATTATAATAGTATTATTTTTTGTTGTATAATAGCAGTCTGGCTTTATCACATGTTTGACCTGTGCAAACAACCCAAATGCATTCCCTCCCTTAATATATGGTTGTTCTCTTAAAAAATGTAGTTTTGTTATGAAAACCTATGAGCTGCCCATTCTTTTCAATTAATTTCGAACAAAAACAGCATAGTTTCATGAAAAAGGTTTCTTAGATAGTTCACACTAATTCTACATTTTATTTATCAGAACAGTCTTAAGTTCCTCTTGTGCATATCAGCTTATTTAGGCTTACATTTCTACCAATGTTTATTTTGTTCTTGGTAGAAAATATATCCCTAGGTCTAGTGAACACTGCCTCTATTTTGACTGAATAGTCGAAAAGTTTGGTTTTGCTATTTCATAACCCAACCTGTAATTTCCAAGTGTATTGTTGATTTACCAATTGCATGACTCTGTACGAAATTATGTTGTTGTTTTTTTTTTCGACCTAAATTCTGAAAATTGTGGGTTTTTCTAACAAACATGTGAAGACAAACATTGGGATGAATATATACACACAGAAGGCACTGATCTGTTTGTACTTAGTGTGATTTAAACATATGTCTTAAACCATCAAGTTTAACATAACAATAACTGGATGTGACCTGGTTGTATTTAGTACCAGTTGTAATATACCAGTATTCTGTCTTTTCATTGGATTCCTCACCGTGACCCTGCCGACATTAAAGCAACAAAGAAAATGTGACTGTCCCGTGCTATTCATTTGAAAAATAAATAACAAAATTCGTGTATTTTGGATTAACATTTCTCATTAAGTCTGGATTCTAGTACCTTTTGGGGGGATTGAGTCCCATACAGGATTCGTAGCAAAATTAGAAAGAAGGTAAATTCAAGCTAGTAATAATCAATATTAACACGAAGATTAAAAAAAACATACAGTCTGAGGAAAGAATAGTGTATTCCTACATCATGAAAATGTGGATTTCATTCAAATCCTTGGAAACAGGGATATCAATTTATGATTCCTCATAGCTTCAAATTTGGTGCATAGAATGCAGTTTGCTGATTTTACAGTTAATTAAATGTTGACCTTTTGGACAGTGTCACTCATCATTGATTTGTTTATACTGGTGAGTAGTACCTGTGAATGTGAAGTCCATATTCACGAAGTATGTCTGAATTCTCACTCTCCCATATTGATTACTCTACTGGTTGCTCTTACAGAGAATATGATCCTGCTTGAGACATGTATCATGGCTTGCAATGCATCTCAGCAGCAACATATTGCTGCATGCATCACATTATTTTGTGGCCCTGAAAACTTTATTTGTCATCTTGGTTTTAGATGGTGGTTCAAGCATCGGATGGTCGTGGAGGAACGGCCAATGCAACAGTTACAATAGAGATCAATCGACCACGTAACCGTGATCCCACTTTCACTGGCCAGCCATATAATGCCAATATCCTTGTCACTCAACCAGCCAACTCGTATGTGACGAGAGTCACAGCAACAGATGCAGATCTTCAGGTATGTCTTTCACAGGATCACTTTTGCGGATTTCCTATGTGTAGATATCAGAATGTTTGCTTTTGTATGTTGGAAATACCACGTTGTTGATGAGTTGCTATCATTGCTTCAGGGGAATATTGAGTATGAGGCAGTTGGTGTGTACCCAGCGCGTGACTTCTTCCGTCTAAACAAGACCACTGGAGAAATATATGTGTCGAGGAACCTCACCACTGATCCCTTGAGAACACCCAGATACACAGTAAGAATACCTTTCCGTTTTATACAGTTATTTACACCTTAAGTAGACATCACTCAGCACTTTTTGTTGATAATTTACATTTTTTGTTAAAAACTGCTTGAGTCTGCTGCATCACCTTTTTTAGTGTACTTATTAAATCTGTTATTTTCCAGCTCCGCGTGCAAGCATATGATACAGCATTCCCAACTATGCGTGCCAGTGAAGATGTGGTCATCTTTGTCAACCTCAATCCAAATGGTCCAGTATTTAATGATTCCGAGTACAGAATCAGCATTCCAGAGAACTATCCTCTGAACAGCATGCTGCTGGGAGTTGGCGCTTTTGATCCTGATGGGGTAAGAAATTTGGCCACATCCATATTTCATGAAGTAAACATGTTGACCTTTTAGGATGGGCTCGGTTACTGCCATTAGTGTGTGATTTAATAGCATACATGTCTGTTGGCCAGGACTCGATCCAGTATGTCATTCTTCAAGATACTGAGGGACAGACTGCTTCCAGGTACTTCACTGTGGGAACCACTTCTGGAATCATTTTCACTCGCAGTAGCTTACAAGCTGCAGGAACTCCAAACTTCTTCAGGGTGAGTCAGATACATAGACAATCTACAGAGAGAATAGCTGATGAGATGCAAAGAATTAATGATAATCTGCCTCAAGTGAATGAATGGTGTTAGCTCCATCACAAGGGACGGATAATCTGTTTTTCTGATTTTCTTGAATGTTATTTATGATTACGCATTGTCATTTGGAGAAACATGTATGCAATGTCACCAAAACAGAGCTGCACTGAAATGAGCTTATTGTTTATGTGATATAATGTTTTCAATTTGTATTGTCAGGAGAATGGATGACCTTATTATCTTGCAACAATGAAGTCATGTCATGTCATGTTATGTTGCTTCAGCTGATAAGTCTTCATTGAGAATTGATAGAATACACATGTGCAGATATTTGAAAGCTATTATGTTGATCTTTTTTGGTAATATAGTCTTATAGTATATCATAGTTTATTTAAGTCGAATTTGATCTGAATATTGTAGCACATAAAAATAATTTCTTTGAGCTACTGTAAATTCTTTATGAAATCAACAGATTTACCCAAACAAATTTGAACCATGATTTGCTTTCATATCTTTCTTTGTTTCTGTTTCAGTTCACTGTACAGGCAGTCGACAATGGGTCACCTCGTCGTACAAGTCAATTATTTGTCTATGTTACCATTGAGCGAGATGCAGGGGCTCCAGTATTCAGTCAGGTTGAATACCAGACTAATATCCCAGAGAACACCGCTGTGAATGACACACAACCAGTCCTCACAGTATTTGCTAATGATGCAGACAGAAAGGTATGTGTATGGACATACCTCTGTTACAGCACATTTCATTTCTGTGTCAGTAAGGCAGCTTGATTTCTTTGCATGGTAAAAAGAGTGATTTGGGGATTAAGGAGGTGCATGAATGATGTGTGTTAATTTTGAAATAATGTTTAAATGTGTACCATTTCATAAATGGTTTGTGACATTTATATTTTCTATCATGCCAGAGCTTTGTGAAATATTTGATTACGGTGACAATTATTTTTCTATCATACCAGGGCTCTGTGAAATATGTTATTACTGGTGATGGCCTGGGCATGGCTTTCTTCTGGATGGATGAAAATAATGGCAGATTGTATGTCAGACGCCCCCTCACATCCACAACAACTTCCAGATTCGATGTAAGTAGGACACATTGGAATTATGTGCTAGAATAGGTTCTTCGCATGCTATGTTGTCTGTACAAGCTGAATAAATGGATCAGGTGGTCAGACAGTGTCTTCAGTGACTGTGGATTATCATACTCTGATGGCTTAGGTTGTTGATCATAATACCAGTCAATAGTTGACTGACAAACTTCAGGCTGACCTCCTATGTGTTGTTGACTGTCTGCAATTTGATGAGGATAGATAGCCATGATGTTTGCTTGCTCATTGACAAATAATGGAGGCAAACCTTCCCTCGTTTTCAGATGACAGTTGCAGCCTTCGACTCTGAGTTCCCCCTGAAAAGATCGACAGCAAGAGTAACTGTCTATGTTGACCGTAATGTTGGGGTACCTCAGTTCACCGCTCCGCAGTACAGTGCTCAGGTATTTGAGTTCACCAACACAGGAACCTCAGTACTTCGGGTGAATGCATCAGATAGTGATGGGGTAAGTGTACAATAATTTTTCCTTTTTAGCTTCAGTGACAGTGAATATTTGGCACAACAGACAGAATGGAATATTGGTCAGAAAACTTCCAATAGAGATAGCTTGGCCCTCTGTCTAGGATAGGTATAGATTAGAAGATATGGCTTCATTACCTTTATACTGATTTGTCTTGTCAAAAGTAAACTTGTGTCATGCGGATTACATTTTTTGTTGCAGGACACTGTGCGGTACAGTATGGTTCTGCCTAATGATGAGGCCCAGATGTACTTCTTCATCGATGATCGAACTGGTGACATCTATGTCAGGAGATCCTTGTCTCTCAACACCCAGTCCCAATATGTAGTAAGTACTGTCAACATGACTGGAAAGCAATTTCCGTTGTTTTTGGAATGTAACACTTTGCCCTTGACCTGAACTTTTCCAGTTTCTTTTGAGTTGCCTCTGTCTTAGTGTTGAACTCCTCCATTTCAATGATTTCTGTTACAGTTCCAGGTTCGTGCCAGTGATCAGAGAGATCCACCAAGGGAATCTGATACTCAAGTTGTTATACAAGTTTTGAGGGATACCCAACCACGTTTCATTGGCACACCATACTTCGCTAGTGCGTCTGAGTCAAACACAGTGGACACATTCATCTTCGATGTCAATGCAGTCGATGATAATCTAAGGGTAGGTGTTTTATGCTAGTATTAAGATACATAGTGTTACATATGGTAAAAGCCTGTTTATCTAAGGTGTTCTCAGGTGATGCTATATTCTGTCTTCAGTTACATATACATTTTACCTATTCACATGTGTTATTTTGCAGGGTCAGCTAGTCTATGAAATTATTGGAGACATCCCAGCTCCGAGCTATTTCAAGATCAACTCAACAACAGGAGTCATCTCTGTCCGATCGAATCTCACAACTGTTCAGTCCAGGCAATACACAGTAAGTCATGTTAGAGATACATCATCTAGTCCTTAGTGTTGTTTATCATTGTCAGCCCAGGATATATCCTCTTGAGAACAATGCATAATATAGTGTTTCATTCATCATGCATTTTTAAGTTTATTATTTCCTAATATACATTTATTTCTATTTGTTACAGCTTCGTGTTTCTGTCTACGATTCAGACATCCCATCAGTGCGGAGTACTCAAACAGTCATCATCCAAGTGGATGTCAACAGCAATGCCCCCAAGTTCACTCTCAACCCTTACGTCATCAATATCAGTGAAGACAAGCAAATTGGGACCCTTGTCACCACAGTCACAGCTGTAGATCCAGATGGGGTAGGAGAGATACCATTATTTATTACTCTAAAATAATATTGAAGACAACTGTAAATCCTGTATCATTTGGACACAGGCTGTTTATTGGTGATGTTTGATGGCGTGAAAGAAGTACTGAAGCCAGACATTGTTCATGTTTTCAGGATAGAGTAACCTACAATCTGGAGGCCACCACGAATGCAGGCAGCTATTTCTTCCTTAATGGAGCAACTGGAGATATCTATCTCATACGCTCAGTGCAGAATATTCCCAACACACAGTTCTCGGTATGATTATTTGAAAGTATCATATGATACAGTCATTTCCATTCTGAACCTATTCTATAATTGCTTTCTCACTCATTTAATAAACTGTCGATCACATGCTTCAAGTTTGTTTGTGGCATTGTCATACTGTTATATCATTGTTATTAAATTCACCTGGTCAGTAAGAATATACTCTGAAACATCATGTTCTTCAAGAAGTTGGCATCCATAATTTTTTTCAGCTTTATGTCTATCACTTCTAAGTGCCATTCAAAGACATCAGTATTATTGTTTTGTTGTTTTGTAGCTGCCAGTGCGAGCATATGACAGACCAATTCTGACCCAGGAAGACCGTAGCCAAGTGATAATCAACATTCAGAAAGATCAGTTCCCACCAGAGTTCCTTGGGACCCCTTACAGGGTTACTGGTGTGCCAGAAACAATTCCAGTCGGAACAGTCATCTCCAGTGCTGTATCAGCAAGAGATCCAGATCTGAAGGTAAACACATGTAATAATCAATACCACAGAAATTCAAATAATTTCCACCTGCAAAGAATATGTAATTTCCAGTGACGCTTTCAGCTCTCAGCGAGAACAATCTCGCAAAAAATAGGATTCATGAAATAAGATTGATGTGTTTGCTACTGTTGATTTGGTTACTATATAAAACATTGAGAAATAAGTTACACAGATTTCGTTGGATTGATAACTTGCAGGGCCAGCCCTCCTAACCCCTACCCTTAAACCAAAGGAAATAGTCATTCAACATCAAACGTTTGAACCAGTCATTTAATCAGATTAACTTGAAATATGTTAAAGTAAAAAATATTAACATTCCAACTGAATGATTGAATTGCTAATATTTCGTTGTTTTCTTTCCAGGGCTCTCTTGTGTTTGAAGCCACAGGTATCTATCCTGCACAGACCTTCTTTGATGTCAACAGAAATGATGGCAGAATCAACGTTACACAGGATCTGAAGAATGATGGCTTAGGCCGTGATTCTTACACTGTAAGCATATCTAGTGGTCCACTGATACGCAGTATACAGTTAGGCAGTATATATATGTAGCATGTTTGTTTATAGAAGTGGAGCTTTCAGCCAGTGGCTGAAAATGTGTACCAATCATCGATGAAGTAATCACTTGTAAACACAATGATTTCATTCAAAATATTTCACTTGTGTTCTTATTTACTGGTACATTTTCTCAGGGTTTATTGATCCAATATATACCAATTACACAAAATAGCATCCTGTTGTCGATAGTAACATAACAATTTTTATGAGCAAAATGAGAGGAACAGGTTTCCACATTAGAGAATTGGATGGCTGTTTTTCTGTAAATCTTTATCATAAGTTCCTATGACCTTTTAAGCATGCTTACAAAATTTTAAATCATATGTTCTTAAATACTAATCAGAAGTTTAGTGGTCTTTCTTGGCTGCATGTTGTTGACTTTCACAACCTGTAGGTAGTTAAATGGTCCAGTTAATGTACTGGACATACCATTTTGATACAGATTTCAAGTGTCAAGTTAATAGTTCAGCATAACCATGAAGTTGGCTTATCTACAGTTATATACTTGGCATCAATCTGACTGAGTACTTTATGAATGATGTACCTAGAAGCTAACTTTTTACCATGGAAAGTTTCATTCCTACTATATTTTGTGCTAAGAAAGAAGTATTTGAAGCTGTGATGTCCACTTAATTACACCTAGGACACAACATTGACTGTGTAGTTAAGTCTGACAATTCTTAATTTTGGTATTTCAGCTCCAAATAACTGTGTATGACAGCCAGGTACCTGATGCCCGTGTGACTGAAAATGTGGAGATCGGTGTGGTGCGCAATGCCAACAGTCCGCAGTTCTCTCAGACTGCCTACACACGGACAATACTGGAGACACACCAGTTGGCAGTGCCTGTCATCAATATAAATGCAACTGACCAGGACAGAGTAAGTCAGCAAGGTTCATTATATTGTGCTCATGTACATGAGTTTATTCCACTTGTACCTTTTCTCCACTGATATTTCTTAATGATATTTTTGTTAGGATGCTGTCACTTATCAACTGACATCTGATCTGAATGGTGCTGATGGCCTGTCCTACTTCTACATTGTGCGGGAAACTGGAATAATCTACCCTAGAAGACAACTGATCGGCTTGGGAGGACGCACATACACGGTAGAATCAATATGCTTGTGTGTTTCTGTAGTTAACACTGATCAAATATAAGTCACCCTTTGTGTTATAATATGTCCAATAGTAAATTCATATTATATCTTGTATCATTGTGGAAGGAAAACAGCATGTAGAAATGTTTTACAACTATTCATTTTTCCAATGTTTTCTAGATGAATGTGAGGGCTACAGACAATGGCCGTCCTACAAAGACTTCTGAAGTGACTGTCAATATTATCATTACTGGCATCCAAAGACCTACCTTTAGCAGCAGCAGTTTTGCTACAACTGTACGAGAAGACCGTACAGTCACTGCCAGCATATATCAGTTTTCTGCCAGCAAACCTAATCTTGGTGTAGGTATATTTTTACTCAATGATGAGTTTTGCTGTATCGCACAATATGCCAGATATAGAACAGATATTTGTAATGATAAAGTCCAAGTGGATGCAGTGAAATGATTCCCTTATTTCTCACCAAGTCCATATATTTCAAAGTGGATTTTCCATACTGAAATACTGATGACAAACTAACTTAAATGACAGTGAGCAGTGTGGTATAAAGTGCTTCTGTTTACAGGGTTCCATGGTGTATGAAGTGCAAGGAGAAGGTCTAGCCCCATACTTCTTTGCTGTCAACCAGACAACTGGTATTGTTACAGTTCGCAATGACCTCCGCTCAGGACGTGATACACAATATACTGTGAGCAGCTTTTTGTCACTGTTAAAGAGTTAAATTGATATGTCTTGATCCTAAGACATTACTCTTGTGGACACAGAACCAATATTATTCCAAACTTGTCAGTGTTCATTATTTGCTATCAAATTTAGTAAGATTAGTTGACTAATGAACCATTTTTTTAGGCAAATGTATGTATGTGTATACTGTCATACTGACAATGTTTCAACCTAACATATTTTTTAGCTTCGTGTTCGTGCCTATGATTCTGAATTCCCAACATTTTGGGCTGAGAGTACATTGGTGATCACTGTGACAAGGAATCCATCTTCCCCATTGTTCATTGGAAAACCATACTCAACCACCATTCAGGACAACGCAGGTCTAGGGACCACTGTTACCAATGTAATCAGTGCACAGGATGCAGACCAAAGGGTAAGGGACAGTCAACATGTAATGTGCAATGTCTTCAGCTTAATATGAGCAAGCATGTAGTCTATTCCTCCAGTATGTAATGCAGAGGGATAAAGTACATGTAATCAGCTTGTGTATCTGTCTGTCTGTCTGTCTGTGGATATTGTTTGTCCAGAACACTCTCTAAAACAAATGGGTATTCTGTCAGGTTGTCAAACGGTGCCTTTTGCTATTTAAGAATTCTTTGGTTATATATTTTTTTCCATTTCCACTGACTGCATCAGACTGCTGTGTTTGAAGGGACAGTATAACTCTAAAACTGATAGGTATTCTTTCCTGACACATTGTCACACAAAGACCAGGTTACCTTTTGCTGTATAGAGATTTTCAGAATGTGTATTTTTGTCCATTTTCAAGCCAGGTAAATTGACTCGGACTTTCTTCATACTTGAGTGTCTCTTTGGACTTTATCTTCTAAACTACTTTGTAATCTTTCATGAAACTGAGCACAAATCTTGTATAGACTGACAGATTTGATAAGAATACAAGCAGATGATTTGTTTTTGAATTTGTAGGGGATTTGTTATCTTCTGACTTTTGTTTAATGCTTGCATGTCTGCACTTGTTTAACGTATGTATGTATATTATTGTGTTCAGGACAAGTTGACTTTCACCATCACTGGTGATACACGATGCCAGGAAACCTTCTACATGAATCCTGACACTGGTGTAGTCCTCCTTGGCAAGAATCTGCGTGTGGCCACTACTCCAAGTTTCACTGTGAGTTGTCCATCAAGATGAAATTAAATTGAGTTAGAAATTCCTAAAAAGTATTGTCAGCCCTGCATTCACTAACAAAAATGGTTTGTCTCCTCACAGAGAAATACTGGTGTCCTAGTCATCAAAGCCTCATGGATTAGCAGTGCAGAATTGCATCCATTTGGGATACAAGCTACATATTGTTATGAGTTTGAATCCCAGACTCACCATTATTATCCTTTAGATAAATTAGAAGACTTTTGATTGGTTAATAGCCGATGCATATGTAACCATACTATAAGTTTCACAGTTAGCATAAATCTTTCTTGCTTTTTTCCAACAGAGGGACAACCTTGAAAGTTTGTGACCTTTGATTTTTGAAATCCAACACACCTGGAGAATTCATCAATCATTATCAATAAAAGTTCTTTATTTCAATTTTTTTTAAATAGGTTGCACCTAAAGATATATATTAAAATAATACTTCCCTCAAAACATAGTTTTATACGCTTACAAAAGTTCTGTCCCTTTGAATATCGATTTGATCATGTTTGCCTGTGATAATGACCATGGTGAAACACTTTGCTGCCCATACTTTGGTTGAAAAAACACTAGAATTTGCCACCTACCCAATCTAAATTGTAATCAGCATCATTACATGGCCATTTGGTAGGATGGGATGGTACAACTTGTCTTAACCCATGTTTCCTGAGGCCAAAGGAAGTAAGAATACAAATGGGCAGTAACATCCCATGCCACATGTAATGAATAATGTTATGATGTGTTATTTATCATCACCACACAAAGCATTTCACAAAGTTGTAATCCTGTAAGATTTGCATCAAGTCAAATCTTCCTACAATGTTATAAGCTTTGTTAAATAAACTCTTCACTCATTCTGTCAAAACATTCTGTATCAATGAGCAAGCATTTTAAGTAAACATAGAGTACTCTTCGAAAAGAGTTGAAAGCGTGACTGTGTGTTAAGTTGTTGTGAGAACATGAATAACATCATAAATGGGAAACAACCTTTGATAATCATTGTGGGCAAGTCAAAAGAATTACTCTTAAGGAATTTTATCAGCTATGCAGCTTTATATTTTATAACTGCTTGAACTGATGCTGTCATCAGGATAATCATTAGAAGTGTCTACCAATAATTCAATCACTGTTTCAGTGTAGCATCCAAGTAACAGACAATGGCTTCCCAACTGCAAATGTGGATACTACAACACTTGTAGTAAATGTTGGCTCAATCCAGTTCCCTCAGTTTACACAGAATGAGTATTCTGCCACAGTTGATGAGAAGAACCCACTTGGTACATTTGTTGTTGATGTACAAGCCACAAAGAATCCCCCAGTAAGTTTATGATATATTGTAAAAATTCTTTTTCAATTTATTCAAATGTGTTCAATAAATTCTCAAAGTTTGATGACAGTAAGTTGCAATGAATGTTCTCTCTCTCTCTTTCAGGGTAACATGGTGTATGAGGTTGTTGGAGAATACCCAGCTCCAACGTTCTTCGGCGTCAATAACCGCACTGGTAGAGTTACCATTATCAATGATCTGCGACCAGATGGCAACCGCGAATACAAGGTACGTAGATGTTCAGACAAAACATTTCATATTTACTAGGTACTGGATTTCACTTTTCCTTTGTATCCTTCCCATTTCATTTTGAAAATCCATTTTACAGATGTATGAAAGTAATAATTTTTGAATATACTAGCATACACAATTTTGTTATTTGTGTCACAATATTTCTTTTTCCCATTAACAGCTCCTGGTGGTTGGTTACGATTCACTGTACCCAGATCTGAGAAGCACCTCGACAGTCCGTATCACTGTAAACAGAAATGGATTTGGCCCTGAGTTCAGCCCTACCAGCGTTAGCCTGAACTTGCCAGAGACAACCAGCACAGAGTCTTGGTCCAGGCCGATCAATGTCACGGATAGGGATAGTGTATGTAAAAACAAACCATCTTTATTTTGCTATTACTGGGGGATTGTATGTCTTAAAACGGAAATCAAATATATGTGGCTATTGAAACGGAATAATAGTTGAGAATATATCCTTTATATTTTACAGTCCATGACAACCTGTGAGATCAGTGGCACTGCCAAGGCACAAGAATTCTTTGCTGTCGATTCTCGCACTTGTTTGCTGACTCTGAAGAAGAACTTGACAACAGACACTGACCGTACAACAAGATATGATGTGAGTTTGGAAATATTATAAGCTATATTACCATATTCTTGATACTTTTCTTTGCCATGATGAATATATTTTATACAGATGCTAATAGTATGACTGTTGTCTGTGTGTGTTGTTTCAGATCACCATTATTGCTAAAGACAATGGTAATCCTGCTCGAACTGGTACAACAGTGGTGACAGTAAATGTTCCCCGTGACACAGCCATTCCTATTATCCGTAACCTGCCTGCATCAGTGACAGTTGAGGAGTCTGCACAACCTACAGATCTCGTGTACACCATCGATCCATTTGATGCAGATCTAGATGTATGTTGACTGTCAGCTTTATCTTTTTATAAAAATAACAATATACTGTTACAATTTCATTCTTTCTTATCCTCACCTTGTTTATGATTCAGGCACAACGTAGTGGAAACATTGAATAATGCTGAAAAAACAAATACATATTTATACTTTCTCAGCATTCTTGTTATACTAATATGTTAAGCTGTGTGTTTTTTTAACCAGTGTTTCATTTTTGTCCTTTATTTCTCATGTATTGTATGTCAATCTTTTGTCTTTGTGATAGGGGAGTATACGATGCCGAATGATTGGAGATTGGCCTTCATCCACTTTCTTCACCCTTGATAGTGCTACTGGACAAGTAAGGATCGACAACTCTCCAAAACTTGATACTATGAGCAGGGATGAATACAAGGTAAGAATTCTTTGTTTTGCCAAAGGTACAGTCATATATCCTTCTTTCAATGTTGATGTGTTTATCACTTGTCAAGTGTTATAGGCATGGTTATGTGAACTGTCCAATCAGCTGCCATAAGTTAATACATCTTGTACAGAATTATCTTGAGATTAGATAGAGAAAACTGTTTGAAGTTTCATAGACAAGATGATATATCATTGTGGAAGGTTGATATTACTTCATTTTGTACATGAACAATAATACATAAGTTAGAACACATCCATTCAAGGGTAACACCTTGGGAGATATTTAACCAAACTTGCCTGTCATTCAGTACTGTATATGAGAATAGATAAGCCAGTGTCATAGATAAGCCGAGGCCTTAACTTGACCCTTACTTTGACAGGTTTCTTGCCCATCATTACGTACTTTTTTTCTTGCATTCGATCTGTACTTGTTACTGGCCTGTCATTATCCCCCGCAACGCGTTTTGCGGGGGGTATTAAAATGGACTCTGTCCGTCCGTCCGTCCGTGCACATTTGTCTTTTACGGAGCAGAACTCTAAAACCGTTAAATATTTCTTCACCAAACTTGGCACATACATGGATCTGGTGGTGTACTGGTGCCTTTTGGTAGTTTTGGAATTCTGAATTAAATATTTTTGGCGTTTCCATGGCAACAAGTTCGACTTAGCCTGAAATTGTGGTAGTGCTCTTTTCCGGAGCAGAACTCTAAAACCGTTCATTCTTTTTCAGAGAGATCGTCCTTGGGGTACATATTATGCATTTTCCGGCTGTAAAATGTCCTGTGACAGTTGTATCAATGTTTTTTGAATAAAAAGATTGTACAATAAATAAACTCTTTTATTTATTATACGGACCCTACCTCACGGAGTTACCTCCCTTAGCACATGCGCACCAACTGGGTAGGCTCCTAGACCCGTATCATCATTCCTTCTGCTGTCACGGCCCTGAACAGGCGTTCGATTTGTGATTACCTTTCATGAGCCGTGCGGCTGTATTTTAAGATGTCTGAGACACCACCTGTATGTTTGGTTTTATTTGTCTAAAACAATAACAGTAAAGCCTTACAGTGGTTGTTTCATAATTGTGACTTTGTATAAGTACTATCAAAATACGCAAACTTTCCGTGGTTTACGCAAGTTTGCTCTGCCATGGCGGGAAGTTTAGCGTGCGGCGTGGTCGTAATATTGCGCTTTAAAACCAACTATTACTTTCCGTGGTAACCTTCACGTATTTTTCAATGTTTTCTACGTGTTTCTCTGCTTCTGGCCACAAGTTAACTAACATGTTTACGTGTTTGTTTCAGGCTTTTACCTGTTGTTCGGTCTGTGGGGGAAGTATTCCCCGGGCTGACAGTCACTCCCAATGCGTGGCCTGTCTGGAGAAGACGGGCCATGTGGCTGATACATGTTCAATTTGTCTGGCCTTTTCCCCCCGGGCACAGAAGAGGCGGGCGGCCGACACCCTGTTTTACCGCGAGATGCGTGAGGCGGGAGGGGACCTGACGCAGGTTCCCCCGTCAAAATCTAAACGGGCGTCCAAAAAAGGAAAAAATTCCCGTGGCCCTTCCCCCTCTCCTACCACTTCGAGTGGTTTTGACATGTCTCTAATGGAGTCGATGTTTCAGAAGCAGATGGACTCAATGAAGTCCTTCGTTCGGGAGTCGGTTGGAGGTCTCCGCCAGGAGTTCCTCGCCCACTCCGGACGGGGGGCGGAGAGTCCGGGGGTGGGATCGCCGGCCTCGGCTAGATCCCTCAGCCTTGAGGCGTCTGTCGATCCGTTGCCTCTGGCTTCGGATCCGGACGCCTCGGCTGCTCCGGAGAGGGAGGTGCTCCCAGTCCCCCTCTCGGAGCTTGCGCTTGGGCCGTTGAGTATTCCTGGTATTCCGGTCCCTGCGCACACCGCTATGAGAGCCGGAGGCACCAGTTCTGCCTGGCCTGCCTCCAGCGCCTCGGGACCGGGTCCACGCATGCCGGCTGGCGCTGACGTGGAGCAGTCGGTCTGTTCCTCCCTTCCTGTGGTGCCCAGCGCTAGGCAGTCCACCGGGTCGGGGTTAGGGTCCTCTTACGGAGGAGACCCAGCCTCTGACTCGGGCTCGGACGCCGAGGCAATGGAGCTCGGGGAGGTCGAGGAGCATGACGGCAGCTTCCGTTTTGCTTCGGCCTTGCGGGAGGTCCGGCAGAGAATTGCCGAGGGCCTACCCCAGGCCGCGGTGCCTGCTGGTTGCGTGGACTCGACTGAGTTCCGCTTGCCTGGTGAGGCGTTTGCCCCTAGGCAACCCTCACAGACGCAGCTCCGCATTCTGCCATCGTTGGTCGCGGACGTGGTCGATCCCCTCTTGTCTGGTACCCGAGTCAGGTTTGACTTACCTGAACTCGCGTCGGGCGCTTCCAGCTTGGGGAGGATTCCCTGTTCGTCGTTACCGATCGTTGACGAAAGTGTGTTTTCACTTCCGTAAGCCCTGGGGAGGCTCGGCTTCCTCGGAGCAGCTCGCTGCTCGGCAAGGGCTTCACTCCACCTTTTGCCCTCGCGGAGCCCTGCGACGCACGCTACATCGACCTACGAGGAGGTCTACCGAACGCTGATGCAGCAGGTGCGGTGGTGGTCCATGAGGCCTACCTCCTCGATACAGAGGTCGGCCCTGGAGGCGGAGGGGCATGCTGGCGACGTCGCCGCATGTCGTCTAACTCCGCCAGCTGTCGGAAGTTCAGGCTCACCTCGCTGACTCTTTGCGGTCTGCTGCGCCGACGGTGATGTGCGCAGTCATGGGGATGCGCAGGCTGTGGCTGTCGACGTCTAGGTACTCGGCAGCAACACAGCAGACCTTGCTGGCTCTCCCTTTCCGTCTGGGAGCGACCCTCTTTCCCGGGGCACAGCAGGTCATACGGGAGGCTGCCGCTGCAGCTACCTCCTTCAAGGATTCTAAGGCCTTGTTGGAGCACCCGCGGGTGTCTCGCCTCGCCGGCTCCGCGCCACCTTCCTCCGCCGGGGTGCAGCCTACACCGAGTCTGCCGGCTGGCTTCGCCGCTTGGTAGGTAGGCGGAGGAGTAGGTCCGCCAAGGGTAGGGGCAAGGAGCAGTCCTCGACTAGCTCCCAGCCTTTTGGCGGCGCTGGAGAGGTCTGCCCGACCTCCCGTTAACCCAACAGGCTGCCGCTCAAGCCGTGTGTCACACCCAGTCAGCTCCGCTACTAGGGTCCACGCACGCTCCTACCCCATATCCCAGTGGGAGGCCGCTTCTCTCTATTCCTGCCGGAATGGGAGAAGGCTACCAACAACAGCTTTGGGTGCTGGCCACGGTCAGCATAGGCCATCTCCCACTGTGGAAGCGGTGGTCCGCCTCCCGACTTCACGGCATACGACGCACTCCGTGCCGCCCTGCCAAGCCAGGGCGGACATATTAGCGCGACGAAGTTCAGGCTCTGCTGGACAAGTCCGCCAATCGGCTGCGTTCCACGGGAGAGGAACAGGCGGGATTTTACTCCACGTGCTTCCTCGTCCCGAAGAAAGACGGCGGGTTCCGTCCGATTCTCAACCTCAAGGGGTTGAATCGCGATGCTCAAGTACCATCCTTCAAGATGGAGACACTGCGCTCGGTGATCTCATCTCTGTTCAGCCCGGCGATTGGCTCACGTCAATCGACCTAAAGGATGCGCGATATCTGCATGTACCCATACATCCCTCGCTCAAGCAGTACCTCCGGTTCTCTTACGACGGATGTATTACCAATTCAGGGTGCTCCCCTTCGGCATATCGACTGCCCCAAGGGTGTTCACCAAGCTCATGTTAGTCCCAGCTACCCTAGCTCGCGCTCGCAAGGGAAGGCGTTGTTACCCTTACCTAGACGACTGGTTGCTCGGAGCACTAACACAGCCAGCGAGTCAAGATGCTACTCACACAGTGATAGACATTCTAACTTCGACTGGGGTGGATCATCAACCTCAAGAAATCCGACCTGGTACCCACCCAGGACTTGGTTTTTCTTGGAGCGCGATTCAAACGAACAAGGATCTCGTTTCCTTGTCGCCCGACCGGGTCACCAGAGTTCGGGAGATGGTATCTTCATTCCTCTCCCAGCCCCAGGCACCAGCACGGACTTGGCTCCGTCTACTGGGCCATATGGCGGCGACGATCTCTGTAGTGTGGCGGGCGCTGTTGAGGATGCGTCCCATACAGCAAGCTTTGGCTCGGCTGTGGACTCACACGGAGGATCTGGAGCGCAGTCTCACAGTCCCCGAGTGGTTGACACCTCACCTTCAGTGGTGGACAAATGTCGGGGAATCTCACCAGGGGTTCCCTTGAAATCCCGGCGCCAGCTCTCACAGTTCAGACAGATGCGTCCCTCACGGGCTGGGGCGTTCTGGGCAGTCTGTCGGCTTCCGGACTCTGGTCCGAAGCGAAGCTCACCTTCACATCAACGTGTTGGAGCTGAGAGCTGTGCGGTTGGTATTCGAGCGCTTCAGAGAGCATGTCCGTGGCCAGGTAGTCCGTCTTCAGTTAGACAACCAGACGCGGCCATGTCGTACATCCTGAAGCAGGGAGGCCGCGGTGTCCCCAGCTCCTCCGGAAGCGTGGGACTTTCTCCTCTGGAGCCGACCAGTACGATTGTCAGGTACTCCCTGTTTATCTCCGGGGCTGGAGAACGGCGAGCAGATGCGCTCTCGCGGATCCTGGCCCCGCCGCGCAGTGGATGCTCGACAGGCAGATATTCACAGTAATCTCCCAGTTGTACGGGTCGCTTCGAGGTGGATCTGTTTGCGTCCGCCGGGGACGATCAGACACCCGTGTTCTGCTCTCGGATACCGGACCAGAGGGCGTTGGCTGCCGACGCCTTCCTGCTGGATTGGACGGGCAAAGTGCTCTGGGCGCCTCGCCCGTTACCACTCATTCCCGTGTCCTTTCACAGCTGTCCACCCAGCCAGCTCGGCTACTTGTGCTACTGGCACCGCTTTGGCCGTCACAGAGCTGGTTTCCGGTAATTCTCAGGTTTCTGGCTCAGCCTCCTGTTCTATTACCTTTGGCGACCGGACATTCTCACTCAGAACGGAGCGCCCACCCAAATCCACGGATTCAGTGGGTGGCTTGGCCTCTGTCAGGTCTAACCTCGAGGCACGCGGAATTCCTGCAGCAGTTGCAGACACAATTCTGGCTTCGGGCGGGATTCGACAAACGTTCAGTATGAGGATAGGTGGTCCCGCTATGCGCGCTGGTGTTCAGATAGGGGCATTGCAGATCCCTTTTCTGCGGATTTAGTCCGAGTATTGGAGTTTTTGCAAGCTCGTTTGGAAGAAGGCCTGGCGGCTTCGACCATTCGTGGCTACTCCACCGCTATTTCCACTTTTCACACCCCTGTCGATGGTGCTCTTCTGGGGCAGCACCCTCTCGTCTGGCGCTTTCTAGCTGGCGCGGAACGGATTCGACCTGCTCTCAGGCGAACCAGTCCACCTTGGGATTTGTCGATCGTGCTCGATTGGCTGTCCGGTCCCACTTTCTCACACCTATCGGCTATTTCCATTCAGTTGTTGACCTGGAAAGCTGTGTTTCTGGTGGCGGTAACATCTGGTCGAAGAGTCGGCGATATACATGCTATGTCGTCCGACCCGGCGCTGACTGTGTTTCACACGGATCGTGTCAGCATTCGGCCTCCCAGATACTTACCGACCGAAGGTCGATCACGCTTTCCATGTGACAGCTCCTATCGAACTTCCTACTCTTACCCAGCCTTCCACATCGGGGACCACTCCTACGAGCACTCACCCGTTGGATGTCCGTAAAGACGCTCAAAGTCTATATCAAACGAACGCAGGGGATCCGTGACGGGTACCCAGCTGTTCTGTTGTTACGGTGGCGGGAGGCTGGTCTGCCAGCGAGCAAGCAAACTTTGTCTCGCTGGCTTGTTTCGTATTTGTGCCGCTTATCAGGCTAAGGGCAAGCCTCCCCTGAGGGGTTGAAGGCTCACTCGGGTCAGGGCAGTAGCCGCATCAAAGCTTTTGCAGCGGCACTCCCCATTGAAGAGATCTGCTCTGCCGCTATTTGGAGCCGCCAAGCACTTTTATACGCCATTATCAGCTCGATACACATTCACGCAATCGTCGCGAGCTTTGGTCGTATCCGTTCTCTCCAGTGGACAGTGTCCTGCCACCCTGACCAAGTGAGTCTTGGTTTATTGGTTTGTGTTGACGCTTACTGTACAATGATTCCATTATTGACATGTCTGCTACGAGCACTCAGAGAACCTGTACCCCTTTCGATTCTCTAAGGAGTTACGATATCGTTAGTGAGTGGTATTTTGTTTTCCCCCTCGGTGCTCTCACGAAGAAGCCACTTAGTGGGTCGGATTTCACTGACATTCGCGACTACGTGCAATGTCTCATTATGCTAGAGGTCGTCTTTGAGCACAAATCCTCCCCTGTCAGTTCCCTCCCATAATGCCTCTCGCGGAAGCTTAAACTGGGTCGAGTGACAGGTGAGTGTTATGGCGTCTGTTCAATTTTTTTTCCATGATACGATCGCTATATTTTGTGTGTGCTTGGACAGAATTCCCTCCTCCCTGGCCTCCGGTCTTTGGGAGTCTGTGTTTATGCATAATATGTACCCCAAGGACGATCTCTCTGAAAAGAATTTCCCAAACCTGCAGAGGTTTTCAATTCTTTGAAGAGAGTCGTCCTTGGGGTAGGGCCCACCCACCTCCCGCAGCAATTCTGTTCACTGATGAGAATTCAGCAGAAGGAATGATGATACGGGTCTAGGAGCCTACCCAGTTGGTGCGCATGCTCTAAGGGAGGTAACTCCGTGAGGTAGGGTCCGTATAATAAATAAAAGAGTTTATTTATTGTACAATCTTTTTATTCAAAAAACATTGATACAACTGTCACAGGACATTTTACAGCCGGAAAATGCATAATATGTACCCCAAGGACGACTCTCTTCAAAGAATTGAAAACCTCTGCAGGTTTGGGAAAATATGTCTTCACCAAACTTGGCACATAGATAGATCTGATGGTGTACTGGTGCCTTTTGGTAGTTTTGGAATTCTTAATAAAATATTTTTGCCGTTTCCATGGCAACAAGCTTGACTTAGACTGAAATTGGTGGTTGTGCTCTTTTCCGTAGCAGAACTCTAAAACCATTCACTATTTCTTCACCAAACTTGGCACATAGATTGGTCTGGTGGTGTACTGGTGCCTTTTGGTAGTTTTGGAATTCTGAATAAAATATTTTTGTCATTTCCATGGCAACAAGTTTGACTAAAACTGAAATTAGTGGTAGTGCTCTTTTCCGGAGCAGAACTCTAAAACCATTCAATGTTTCTTCACCAAACTTGGCACATACATAGATCTGGTGGTGTACTTGTGCCTTTTGGGAGTTTTGGAATTCTGAATAAAATATTTTTGGCGTTTTCATGGCAACAACTTTGACTTAGACTGAAATTGATGATAGTGCTCCTTTCTGGAGCAGAACTTTAAAAATCTTTCAATACTCTCCTTCCACCTTTCTATATACACACCTAACTATTTGACATAATCATAACACGTAGACATAATCATGAAGAGTATTTTGCCATTGCGGGGGATATTGATGACTTTATCTTCTTGATTTGTACTTGTTTCTTTCCTATCAGTTTAAGCTTGTTACTTGCCTATTGTTCTGTACTTGTTACTTGACTATCATTCTGTACTTGTTACTTGACTATCATTCTGTACTTGTTACTTGCCTATCGATCTGTACTTGTTACTTGCCTGTCATTAATAATAATAATGATATAATATAGGTCATTTGTAATGCACTTGACTCCACAACACTTGGCCATGCTTTTAGTGCAAACACAAGACAGTACTTGTTACTTGCCTTTGTTCTGTACTTGTTGCTTGCATATTATTCTGTACTTGTTTCTATCCTATCAATCTAAATGTGTTCCTTGCCTAACATTCTGTACTTGTTATTGCCTATCGATCTGTACACAAGACAGTACTTGTTTCTTGCCTGTCATTGTGTACTTGTTACTTATAGGTACGGATTCAGTGTTATGATACAGCTTGGCCAGACAATAGGGCAGAGGGTTTGCTTACCGTCAATGTCCGACGCAACCCTGCATTCCCAGCATTTACCAACACCCCATACTCAAGGAGCATTCCTGATACATTACCCCTGGGCAGCACCATTCTTCAACTCTCTGGACAGGACCCAGATGGGGTGAGTTTGACTGGGAGATTTAGAAATGTCTGCAGATTTTATTAAATTTAGTTAAATCATCTGAGAAAGGAACCTGTGAAAGTTAGAAGTGTTACAATGTGGTATTGTTTCTTCTAGGATTCTGTAACCTTCAGCAACCAAGGTACCGACACAGACAAGAGCTTTTACTATGTGAACCCAACAACTGGTGTTGTTGTGTTGCTGAAAGACTTGAGATCGACTGACCGCACATCATTTGAGGTAGGATGATGTTAGAAACTCTTGGTTAGGTGATGAATCTGTTTGACTTTTTGTCATGTTTAGAGAGTCATGTTTTGATGTATGAGGATTTTATTAGGAATATTATCAGATTTCATTATTGTGTAAATTCCAGAATGTAACTGGTCCCAAGTTACCTAAGTAACTCTTGCCTTCAGAGACAACTAATACGATCAGTTGATCAGACTCATCATCGTAACCTCCGATTATGCTATGTGCTTCAATTATCAATCGCTTGTTGGTCAGGTCCAGTTCAGTTATAAACAAGCATGAGTTACATGGACTTTTTATTTTGGAAAGCTTGTGATTGCTTGAAGTGATGTGTTTAAAATAATTAAGGATAATTTAACAAATGAAATGCTTCGATCCAGCCTCACATGAGTGAGGAAAGTTCATGTTAACTTAAACATTATGATTTTGTTGTTTTATTACTTTTTTAAGTACACAGCCCAGGTCTTTTACCATTTGAATTTGCTCATTACAGATCCCAGTGCAAGTTTCTGACGGTCGTGGAAAAACTGGTGATGCTATTGTTAGGATAACAGTGACAAAGAACAGTGGCCCACCAGTGTTCAGCAATACACCATATGAAACTAGAATCCCAGTCACACAGCCTGTTGGAACTCGTGTACTCTCGCTCTCCGTCAATGATCCTGATCGCGTGGTATGTTCACAAATCAGTCATGACTTAACATTTCAACTGTTTGTACCGAAGTTGCTTAATGGATATTTTGTCTAGTTAATTCAAAGTGTTCCACTATCCTGTAAAAGGAACATTCAATTTACTTCTGTGCTTAGTAATCTGATTTGCTACAGTATGTTTTATTATGTGAATGTTTGCAATATATACTGTTTCCATCATTTGAATCTTTTATACACAGGGAACCATTGTTTGCCAACTTGAGGGGTATGAACCTGGACAAACCTACTTTGATCTTAACAATGTCACACATGCCATCACAGTTCGGGCCAACCTGACTCTCAACCCACAACCTGATGTCAGTTATGTGGTAAGCCTTGTTTTAAAGCTTTATTTCTTTGAACTGATTATGTAATATTTTCTCTAACAAATATTGTCATTTTCTGAGTATTGAAAATGCTTTCTCGTCTCATTAAAGCTCCTGGCGAAGTGCTTTGACTCTGGTAACCCAAGTGAAGTGTCTTATACTACTGCAAAGATCAATGTTGAACGCAATCTCGCCAGCCCACGATTTTCACCAACTCAGTACACAGCTACCATCAATGACTATGATCCTAAAGGAACAAATGTTGTTGCTGTCACTGCCACTGACAGTGATCCATTGGTGAGTACAATAATCTATTTAATTGTGATAATTGAAAAGTTATATTGATTTAAAAGTTCAAGGTTTAGCCACTTCATTTCCTCCATCTTATAAAATTAAAAATGTGAAATGCCATTTTTGTCCGGAGCCTCATGTGATGTACTATGATTTTAACAGGCCCCAGAGAATCAAATCATGTTCAGCCTGAGTGACGGAAGCCGTGCTGCCAATGACTACTTCACAGTTCACCCCTTCACAGGTCTGATCACCGTCAGTAGGCGTGTGTCTGAAGATCCTACCACACAGAACAGATACATAGTAAGTCCCATGCACAGGCAATACCTTACTAGTATTATGTTAGTATCATATCTACCGTATGTTAATGTCTTTCTGTTTCAGAGTGTCCCTAAGTAGTGTCAAATTATGTCTCTTATGATGGATGTGTAATTTGTAACATTAATGAGCAGTGTTATGTGGAAATATGTACACTTAACATTCATTCTGATTTTAAACTGGATAGGGTACTTATCAGTTTCATTCAGTTCCTAACTATAGACAGTTAACCATCATTGATAATACAAATCATTTCAGCTGTACGTGGTTGCTCAAGACACAAGCTTGACACCTAGAAGTTCTACTGCAACTGTGACTGTCCTAGTAGCCCGAAACCAGGCTCCAGTGTTTCTGCGAGAGGATACCTACTCTACTGTGGTGGATGAGGAAGCACCTGTTCTCAACTACACTATCCTCACTGTCACAGCCACAGATTCTGATGATTCTGTAAGTTATTGTACTCAGATACAGATCATCCTGTCAGTTATTTTTGTTTGATTATGAGCTCCTGTAAGTTATTCTTATCAGATTCTGAAGATGCTGTTACATTATTTCATGAGATTTTGAAGATCCTTTAAATATCTGAACCGCAGATTCTGAAAATATTCTAAGTTATTGTCCTCCGATTCTGTATATTATTATCCTCCAATTATAACATCCTGTATATCCTGTATGTCCCCTATGATTCTGTTAATTACTGTTCTTTGTTACATGCTCAGACTACCCTCAATGGCCAAGTGCGATACAGTATCCTCAGTAGCGGTGCCAACAGGGTATTCCAGATGAACCCAGCCACTGGTGCCATTTCTCCTCGTATTGACCTTCGCCGTGTCACTCAGCCGATCTGGAGGGTATGTCCACCACTCTGTTTGTTTGATAACTGAAGCACTTTCAACTACTACCAAGCTTTTTGACATAATTTAAGTTAATAAATGCTTCAAAATTTAGAAATTAATTTCTCTATCTTATCTGGACTGATTATGATTATAAGATGTGCTCATGTTACCTATCATTTGCCTCAGTCAAACATCAAAATGGGTGGGTACAAAGTGTGAAGCCCATTTATTGTGTTCCCCACCGTGATATTGCTGAAATATTGCTAAAAGTGGGTAAGGAGTGTCAAGTTAAACTTTCAAATTGCATTTAAATTTCCTCTATTGATTACACTTTATGAATGTCCGCTTTTCTTAAGAAATATTTATCAAAATAAGAGAACAGTTTAGCGTTTATTAACTTTCATGTGTTTGTGTTGTTCCAGTTTGACGTTCAAGCTACAGATGCTGGTATCCCACCTTTGTCTGACACTGCTGCTGTTTTTTTTTCACAATCTCCAAGTTGGGACTGCCAACATTCACACAAAGTGAAGTTGAAATCAATATCAATGAAAACCGACCAGTCAATGATAGCATTTACACCATCACAGCAACAGATCCGATCACTGGAGTAAGTATAGGTCCCAGCTGATCATTTAAAGCATAAAATTACTTAATGTGATTTTTTAAAATCTTGTTCACTTTGTTTCTTTAATATGTGTCATATATTGTGTATCATTTGTTTTCTGTGCACAGAGTGTTTTGCAGTATGAGTTGAGGGGAGATGGTCTTGGGCCAAACTTTTTCAGCATCAATCGACAGACAGGGCAGATCACTGTCAGCAGGCCTCTTATTGAAGATACACAGAAGGTCACAGTATACACTGTAAGTACATTAGTATATACACATAAGTTATATGTCCACTTGTGAAACCGCTCGATTGTTCCATTTTTCAAAAGTTTGCACATTTAGATGAACATATATCCTCATGTTATTGATTTTCAAATGCTTTAAAACATCTGTTTTGTCAATTATCACATGAACAATTGTAAAACCTGTCACTAACTTATTAATGACAACTTTATCCTAAACACAATCCATCACTCAAGAATTTTCAATGTCTGAGTGACGCAACCCACCTTGTTGTAGCATGAGAAATCATTTCTATCTGAAAATGTTGAGGTTCGAAAACCTATATGGCCATACTCCTCTGTTGCAGCTGTTGTAGCAAAGGCATGCATTAGGCCAGTCTGATATTAAAATAAGTGAATAATCTGGTCAAGTGATATGCAAATTAGCATGTGGGGTGTAAGGCTAAGCTTTCACTGTTTAGGTGTATGGTTTAAATAGCACTATCAAATAAATATTTCAGTTATGCCAAAACAAAAGTCAAAACATCATCTTTTTGGTGAAAATAATGTTGATTTGGCATCTTAATGTTTCAGCTGAGAGTTGTAGCTTTCAGACTGTCAAACACAGCTGAAACTACTGAGGCCATTGTGAGAGTCAACGTCTTGAGGAATCCAAATGCACCTGTTTTCCCTGACCAAACCTTGGTGTTCAACCTGCCAGAGAATCAGCCCCTGGGTGTTGAGTTTGGAAGGATAAATGCAACAGACTCTGACAGAGTAAGTTGGAACACAGATCATGTAAATTCCATGTCTGAAGAAATGGTGCTGTTACAAACACTCTCTCAACATGTATTGAATTCAAGTCAGATGATTGAAATTGTTCTTGTTTTCAGGGTGACAACGGTGTTCTTGATTTCTCCATTGATACAACTGGTGTTACACCATCATATTCTTATGGTTACTTCTTCGTCAACCCAACCACTGGTGCTTTGTCTGTGATTACAAGATTGTCTGAAGACAGTAACACACAGCAATATCTGGTAAGGCAGACAAATATATTCTTTTGTAACGATATATTCATGTCATGGAATGATGATGTAATGTTCCACTGTCTGGTTTCATCCCATGTCACATACTTGATGTGAATTTAGGATGTTGTGTCTTGTAATTAGTTATGGTGGTACTGATTCAGAATTAACAGACAAGTCTTTGATGGCTTGATAGTATTGAAACTCGATCTGAACCTGACACATTTGTGGGAGTGTCCTCTGATCAATGCAGTTGTACATAATGAGATACCTAATTATCACTTAATGTAGCTCTTAATTTACTTACACATGCAACTAAGGTCTCATGTCTGAAACAGATATCTCGAATAAGTTTCTGTGTTCATGATCATATCTTAGAAACAGTTCTGTTTTCATGCATTCACCAACCTGCCTCTCTTTTTACTAGTTCAATGTTATGGCCATTGATCGTGGATCTCCTCGGCGTACTGCATCAGTGACAGTGACAGTAAATGTTGCTCGCAATCCCGGTGCACCTGTCTTCGCTCCTAACTTGTATGAAAGAACTGTTCCTGAAGTGACCCCAGAGGGGACAAGCATAGTAGATGTCAATGCTGCTGATGCTGATGGGGTGAGTCTCTCTTGACAACTTAAACACAAGCAGATACAGTTTGCTATGCATTCTTGAATAAGAGTTTATTTTCAATCATGAAATTGTTATATCAGAGTGTAATCATTATTTATTATCATTTCTCTTATCAGGACACTGTGACCTACACCATCCTACAGGAGCCACCAGATAGCTATTACTTCAATATTGTGCCAGCCACTGGCCTCATCACACTTGCCAGATCTTTCACTCAGGAGCTGCAAGACCGATATATTGTAAGTATCACATATAGATGAAAATCTACAACTATTGTGTACACTATGTACTTAACCTTTCAAGCTTGTGTTTAGGACTTTTCTTAACTCTAACAGGGATCATTTTGAGCCATTCCCTTGTGCCATGTGTGCATTTGAATATGAAATGACACATTGAAAACATCAGAGGCCATTAAAGCACATAGTAATCACACATGGCTCAATTCAATTAAAAACCTGGGCCCCAAAAGGTGCAGTGCAAAGTTTGATACAGGTTTTGCAATTTCAAGAATAATCATTATTAATTGCCATATAGCTGAAGTCTGGAGTCACGCTCGTGGACCTTGCTCACATTTTTGGCATGTTGTAGATATATTAAGTTATGAAAACAGCAAGACATGGACAATGACCTTATTACAGAAGTATTGTCTTTCATGATATGCTATGTATTGAATGGAACTGATTACCTTATCTAATTTCAGATCCGAGTTGTTGCTAGTGATGGCCGATCATCCCCCAGATCTGATACTGCTACAGTGACAGTGAATATAGTGAGAAACCCCAATGCCCCTAAATTCAATCCTCACAATGGTACTGTGGATGTGTCCGAATACAGGCCTATACAGACAGTCATTACTACAATAAGGGCGACAGATAATGATACTGCTTCGGTAAGTTCACTGAAATTGGTATACAATGTTTCACAGACCATCTTCTACTCACGAACTAAATAAGTTGTTATCCATAACTTTTGTCTATATTAGACCACGTTCCCATTCTTCAAAGTGATCTTGACCCATGAAGATCTTCAGCAACCCATGCTTGTTGTAAGAGGCGACTAACCGGATCACGTGGTTAGGCTTGTTGACTTGGTTGAAACATCCTAGTTGTGCTGATCGAAATCCATGCTGTTGATCACTGGATTGTCTGGTCCAGACTCAATTATTTACAGACCGCCGACATATGGCGGTAAAATTTATGAGTGCTGTGTTAAACAACAAACCAAAAGCAAAGTGATCTTAATGCTATAACTAGCATAAGCCTATTTTAAGTTATGGGAGTTACGATCATCTTAATGCTAAGATTGTTTGGTGGAATGGGGGGCCAATATCTGTTTTGTCATATGTGTGAATTCTTTTTCAGAGAGATCGTCCTTGGGGTACATATTATGCATTTTCCGGCTGAAAAATGTCCTGTGACAGTTGTATCAATGTTTTTTGAATAAAAAGATTGTACAATAAATAAACTCTTTTATTTATTATACTGACCCTACCTCACGGAGTTACCTCCCTTAGCGCATGCGCACCAACTGGGTAGGCTCCTAGACCCGTATCATCATTCCTTCTGCTGTCACGGCCGTGAACAGACGTGTTTTGAGTAACCCATTCATGAGCCGTGACGGGCGCTGTTAAAAGAGACTATGTCTGAGACACCACCTGTATGTATGGTCTTTATTTGTCTAAAACAAGAACAGTAAAGCTTTACAGTTGGTTGTTTCATAATTGTGACTTTGTATTAATACAAATTACGCCAACTTTCCCCGCGGTTACGCGACGTGTTGCTCTGCCATGGCGGGAAGTTTAGCGTGCCATGTGGTCGTAATATTGCGTGATTAAAACCAACTATTACTTTCCGCGGTAACCTTCACGTAGTTTTTCAATGTTTTCTACGTGTTTATATGCTGCTGGGTCACCGCTAACTAACATGTTTGCGTGTTTGTTTCAGGCCTTTCATGCTGTTCGGTCTGTGAGGGAGTATCCCCCGGCCGACAGTCATACCTGTTAGCGCGGCCTGTCTGGAGAAGACAGGCCATGAGGCTGACTCCTGCCCTATTTGTCTGGCCTTTTCCCCGGGCCCAGAAGAGGCGGGCTGCCGACACCTTGTTCTATCGCTAAATGCGTGAGGGCGGAGGGGACCTGACGCAGGTTCCCCGCCTAAGTCCAAACGCAGGTCAAAAGGGGGAAAAAATCCCGTGGCCCTTCCCCTCTCCTGCCACTTCGAAAGTGGTTTTGACATGTCACTGATGGAGTCTATGTTTCAGCAGCAGATGGACTCGGGATGAAGTCCTTCGCTCGTGAGTCGGGTTGGAGGTCTCCGGCAGGAGTTCCTCACCCACTCCGGACGGGGGCGGAGAGTCCGGGTGGGATCGCTGGCTCGGCTCGATCCCTCGGCCTTGAGGCGCCTGTAGATCCGTTGCCTCTGGCTTCGATCCGACGCCTCGGCTGCTCCGAGAGGGAGGTGCTCCCAGTCCCCTCGGAGCTCGCGAGGGCCGCTGGAGTATTCCTGGTATTCCGGTCCTTGCGCACACCCGCCCCCCATGAGAGCGCGAGGCACCAGTTCTGCCTGGCCTGCCTCCAGCGCCTCGGGACCGGTCCACGCGACGCGCCGGCTGGCGCTGGACGGAAGCAGTCTGTCTGTTCTTCCCTTCCTGTGGTTCCTAGCGTTAGGCAGTCCACCGGGTCGGGTTAGGGTCCTCTTTACGGAGGAGACCCAGCCTCTGACTCGGCTCGACGCCGAGGCAATGGAGCTTGGGAGGTCGAGGAGCATGACGGCGGCTTCCGCTTTGCTTCGCCTTAAGGGAGGTCCGCAGAGAATTGTCGAGGGCCTACCCCAGGCCGCGGTGCCTGCTGGTTGCGTGGACTCGACTGAGTTCCGCTTTGCCTGGCGCAGGCGCTTTGCCCCTAGGGCAACCCTCACAGACGCAGCCCGCATTCTGCCATCGTTGGTCTCGACGGGTCGATCCCCTCTTGTCTGGTGCCCGAGTAAGGTTTGACTTACCTGAACTCGCGTCGCGGCGCTACCAGCTTGGGGAGGATTCCCTGTTACGTTGTACCGATTGTTGACGAATGTGTTTTCACTTCCGATAAGCCCTGGGAGGCTCGGCTTCCTCGGAGCAGCTCCGGCTGCTCGGGCAAGGGCGCCTAACTCCACCTTTGCCCTCGGCGGGCGCTGCGGCGCGACGCGCATCGGACCTACGAGGAGGTCTACCGGAACGCCGATGCAGCAGGTGCGGTGGTGGTCCATGAGACCTACCTCTCCTCGGTTCAGAGGTCGGCCCTGGAGGCGGAGGGGCATGCTGGCGACGATGTCGCCGCGTCGCGTGCTGCTCCGTCAGCTTTCGGAAGTGCAGGCTCACCTGCTGCGACTCTCTTTGCGGTCTGCTGCGTCGACGGTGATGTCGCGCGAGTCATGGGGATGCGCCGGCTGTGGCTGTCGGCGTCTAGGTACTTTCGGCAGCAACACAGCAGACCTTGCTGGCCCTCCCTTTCCGTCTGGGAGCGACCCTCTTTCCAGGGGCCCAGCAGGTCATCACGGGGAGGCTGCCGCTGCAGCTACCTCCTTCAAGGACTCTAAGGCCTTGTTGGAGCACCAGCGGGTGTCTCCCAGCCCAGCGCGCCTCGTGCCACCTTCCTCCGCCGGGTGCAGCCTACACCCGAGTCTGCCGGCTGGCTTCGCCGCTTGGTAGGGGTAGGCGGAGGAACAGGTCCGCCAAGGGTAGGGGCAAGGAGCAGTCCTCGACTAGCTCCCAGCCTTTTCCAGCGGTAGCCGGAGGTCTGCCCGACCTCCCGTTAACCCATCAGGCTGCCGCTCAAGCCGTGTGTCACGCCCAGTCAGCTCCGCTACTCGGGTCTACACACGCGCTCCTACCCCATATCCCAGTGGGAGGCCGCCTCTCTCTATTCCTGCCGGAATGGGAGAAGGCTACCAACAACGCTTGGGTGCTGGCCACGGTCAGCATAGGCCATCTCCCACTGTGGAAGCGAGGTCCGCCCGGCTTCACCGGCATACGTCGCACTCCGGTGCCGTCATGTCAAGCCAGGGCGGACATATTGCTCGACGAAGTTCAGGCTCTGCTGGACAAGTCCGCAATCGGCGCATTCCACCGGGAGAGGAACAGGCGGGATTTTTATTCCACGCGCTTCCTCGTCGAAGAAAGACGGCGGTTCCGTCCGATTCTCAACCTCAAGGGGTTGAATCGCATGCTCGAAGTACCATCCTTCAAGATGGAGACACTGCGCTTCGGTGATCTCATCTGTTCAGCCCGGGCGATTGGCTCACGTCAATCGACCTAAAGGATGCGTATCTGCATGTACCCATACATCCATCGTTCAAGCAGTACCTTCGGTTCTCTTCACGACGGGATGTATTACCAATTCAGGGTGCTCCCCTTCGGCATATCGACTGCCCCAAGGGTGTTCACCAAGCTCATGTTAGTCCCAGCTACCCTAGCTCGCTTCGCAAGGAAGGCGTTGTTACCCTTACCTAGACGACTGGTTGCTCGGAGCACTAACACAGCCAGCGAAGTCAAGATGCTACTCACACAGTGATAGACATTCTAACTCGACTGGGGTGGATCATCAACCTCAAGAAATCCGACCTGGTACCCACCCAGGACTTGGTTTTTCTTGGGCCAGCGATTCCAAACGAACAAGGATCTCGTTTCCTTGTCGCCCGACCGGGTCACCAGAGTTCGGGAGATGGTCTCTTCATTCCTCTCCCAGCCCCAGGCACCAGCACGGGACTTGGCTCCGTCTCTACTGGAGCCATATGGCGGCGACGATCTCTGTAGTGTGGCGGGCGCGGTTGAGGATGCGTCCCATACAGCAAGCTTTGGCTGGGCTGTGGACTCACACGGAGGATCTGGAGCGCAGTCTCACAGTCCCCGAGTGGTTGACACCTCACCTTCAGTGGTGGACAAATGTCGGGAATCTCACCAGGGGGTTCCCCTTGGAAATCCCGACGCCAGCTCTCACAGTTCAGACAGATGCGTCCCTCACGGGCTGGGGGGGCGTTCTGGGCAGTCTGTCGGCTTCCGGACTCTGGTCGAAGCCGAAGCTCACCTTCACATCAACGTGTTGGAACTGAGAGCTGTGCGGTTGGTATTCGAAAGCTTCAGAGAGCATGTCCGGTAGCCAGGTAGTCCGTCTTCAGTTAGACAAACCAGATGGCCATGTCGTACATCCTGAAGCAGGGAGGCACGGGTGTCCCCAGCGCTCCTCCGGGAAGCGTGGACTTTCTCCTCTGGAGCGACCAGTGCGATTGTCAGGTACTCCCTGTTTATCTCCCCGGGCTGGAGAACGATGCGAGCAGATGCGCTCTCGCCCGGATCCTGGCCCTTGCGAGTGGATGCTCGACAGGCAGATATTCACAGTAATCTCCCAGTTGTGCGGGTCGTTCGAGGTGGATCTGTTTGCGTCCGGGGGACGCATCAGACACCCGCCGTGTTCTGCTCTCGGATACGGACCCAGGGGCGTTGGCTGCCGACGCCTTCCTGCTGGATTGGACCGGCAAAGTGCTCTGGGCGTTCCGCCCGTTACCACTCATTCCCCGTGTCCTTTCACAGCTGTCCACCCAGCCAGCTCGGCTACTTGTGCTACTGGCACCGCTTTGGCCGTCCACAGAGCTGGTTTCGGTAATTCTCAGGTTTCTGACTCAGCCTCCTGTTCTATTACCTTTGCGACCCGGACATTCTCACTCAGAACGAGCCCCCACCCAAATCCACGGATTCAGTGGGTGGCTTGGCCTCTGTCAGGTCTAACCTCGAGGCACGCTGGAATTCCTGCAGCAGTTGCAGACACAATTCTGGCTTCGGTGGGGGATTCGACAAACGCTCAGTACGAGGATAGGTGGTCCCGCTATGCGCTGGTGTTCAGATAAGGGGATTGCAGATCCCTTTTCTGCGGATTTAGTCCGAGTATTGGAGTTTTTGCAAGCTCGTTTGGAAGAAGGCCTGGCGGCTTCGGACCATTCGCTGGCTACTCCACCGCTATTTCCCACTTTTCACACCCCTGTCGATGGTGCTCTTCTGGGGCAGCACCCTCTCGTCAGCGCTTTCTGGCGCTGGCGGAACGGATTCGACCTGCTCTCAGGCGAAACCAGTCCACCTTGGGATTTGTCGATCGTGCTTTCGATTGGCTGTCCGGTCCCACTTTCTCACACCTATCGGCTATTTCCATTCAGTTGTTGACCTGGAAAGCTGTTTTTCTGGTGGCGGTAACATCTGGTCGAAGGGTCGGCGATTTACATGCTATGTCGTCCGACCGGGCGCTGACTGTGTTTCACACGGATCGCGTGTCAGTATTCGCCTCCCAGATACTTACCGACCGAAGGTCGATCACGCTTTCCATGTGACAGCTCCTATCGAACTTCCTACTCTTACCCAGCCTTCCACATGGGGACCACTCCTACGAGCACTCACCCGTTGGATGTCCGTAAGACAGCCAAAGTCTATCTCAAAACGAACGCAGGGGATCCGTACGGGTACCCAGCTGTTCTGTTGTTACGGTGGCGGAAGGCTGGTCTCGCCAGCGAGCAAGCAGACTTTGTCTCGGGCTGGCTAGTATCGTATTTGTGCCGCTTTATCAGGCTAAGGGCAAGCCTCCCCTGAGGGGTTGAAGGCTCACTTTCGGTCAGGGCAGTAGCCGCATCAAAAGCTTTTGCATCGGCACTCCCCATTGAAGAGATCTGCTCCGCGCTATTTGGAGCCAGGCCAAGCACGCTTTTATCGCCATTATCAGCTCGATCACGCATTCCCCGTGTCGTGCAAACTTTGGCCGTACTGTTCTCTCCAGTGGACAGTGTCCTGCCACCCTGAGTCTTGGTTTATTGGTTTGTTTTGACGCTACTGTACAATAAGATTCCATTATTGACATGTCTGCTAATGTGAGCTCACTCAGAGAACCTGTACCCCCTTTCGATTCTCTACGGAGTTACTGTATCGTTAGTGAGTGGTATTTTTGTTTTCCCCACGGTGCTCTCATGAAAGAAGCCACTTAGTGGGTCGGATTTAGTTGATATTCGCACTCACGCAGCAATGTCTCATTATGCTAGAGGTCGTCTTTGAGCACAAATCCTCCCTGTCAGTTCCCCTCCCATAATGCCTCTCATGAAGCGAAACTGGGTCGAGTGTGACCGTGAGTGTTATGGCGTCTGTTCAATTTTTTTTTCCATGATACGATCGCTATATTTTGAGTGTGCTTGGACAGAATTCCCTCCTCCCTGGCCTCCGGTCTTTGGGAGTCTGTGTTTATGCATAATATGTACCCCAAGGGGCGATCTCTCTGAAAAGAATTAACCAAACCTGCAGAGGTTTTCAATTCTTTGAAGAGAGATCCCTTGGGGTAGGGCCTCCCACCTCCCCGCAATTCTGTTCACTGATAAGAATTCAGCAGAAGGAATGATGATACGGGTCTAGGAGCCTACCCAGTTGGTGCGCATGCTCTAAGGGAGGTAACTCCGTGAGGTAGGGTCCGTATAATAAATAAAAGAGTTTATTTATTGTACAATCTTTTTATTCAAAAAACATTGATACAACTGTCACAGGACATTTTTCAGCCGGAAAATGCATAATATGTACCCCAAGGACGACTCTCTTCAAAGAATTGAAAACCTCTGCAGGTTTGGTTAAATTGATGCATGATTTCTTGATGTGAGTAAAGTTTGTTCCTTGGAGTTTACTTTTGACTCTGTTTTCAGACACTTGGTGGTCAGCTGCGTTATTCAATTACTGGTGTGAGCCCTATCAGTGCCACCGACTACTTCATCATCAGTCCCACATCTGGTGATATCCTCCTTGCAAAGCCTCTGGCTAATGCCATTTCACCAAACCGAACTGAGGTAAGGAAATAATGTTATACATATTTAATATTTAGGCTCTAGATTCTTGAACGAAATGATTTTTTTTTTTTACGTCAAGAACCATCTTTCAAGTTTTAGGTTTAATGTATTAAATGATTTGTTTCAGCTCACCATACAAGTTACTGATAGAGCCGCTAGACCCAAAACTGACGTTACCACACTTGTCATTAACACCATAAGGAACATGTATGCACCAGAGTTCACAGCAGCTTCTATATCTGCTAATGCCAGTGAACGTGATCCCATCGGCAGAGTCATCGCAAACGTAACAGCCACAGATGCCGATGTCAATGTCCCAAAGAATCAGTTTGTAAGTATTGATGTATACCCAGATTTAGCTATAAATCCCAAGTTAGTACAGTTATGTTAAGGAAAATGCTCTTATTGTCTTGAAACTGAAGTAGGATATTCTTAAAGTTCTTGTATTTTTTAATTTAGAGTACCGGGGTAGTTAACACAGGCGATGTCTTGTAATGTAAATCTTCACATGAAAGATTCTTTTTCTTTATTGATGTGTTGATAGTTAAATCTTATGCAACCTCCAACCTTGTACATGTTCTCAAAATATGGTGTGAAACTAAACCATCAACAAAATGAAAAATAGGTTACATCAGGATAAAAGACAACTTTGCCCAACTATTACATTGTATGGGAAAACTTTTTTTTCATTTTGGAATGTGTTACTGATTAGGATTGAATAGATCTAATTTGTTGCTTGTTTAAGGTGTGCATCAATAGTTTCCAATGATGAACTTCTATAAAAGGCTACTATCAACTTATTATTATTCACACAAAGATTATGAGTAATTCACAGAAATGATGAAATAGAAGTTGCCTGTTCAGCTGATCTCAGTATAATTTCTGTATTTATTGATCAGAGACATATTTGTGATATTAAAGAGGACCATTCCACAGGGCATTTGGTTCAACTTTCAATTATTTCACTTTATTCATTACTGTTTCATTATTGCATGCTTAAATATTATCAATTTCAGACACCAAATGCACAGATTGAATACCGCATCATTGGCAATGCTGTAGATGTGCGGTCGTTTGGAATAGCTTCTGATGGCAGCATTTTCATTACTCAACCACTGTCCAATGATAATGCTGAAGGAAATTACATGAGATCTGTGAGTATAACACACACACACACACACACACACACACACACACACACACACACACACACACACACACACACACACACACACACACACACACACACACACACACACACACACACACACACACGTATCTACTGAGCTTTGATGTGACTTGTGTGATGGCTAAAAATCATCAGATATTGTTATCAAGATAAAATGTTTCATGCTTGTTTTCTTTTCCCCAGTTTAAAGTTCGTGCTACTGACCGTAGTTGGAATCCAAAGTTCAGTGAGATCCAGGTGAATGTCAGTGTCACCCCACTGAATGTGGTTCTGGGAGACCTTGGCTTCATTCAACCTGTATACTAGTGAGTAACTATATGAGGGTTTCATTCCACCTGCATAATAGTAACTCTGTAATGATTTCAGTCAACTTGTGTAATAGTAACTCTGTAATGATTTCAGTCAACTTGTGTAATAGTAACTCTGTGATGGTTTCATTCAACTTGTATTATAGTACCTGGGATGGTTCCATTTTACCCACATAAAAGTAACTCTATGGAGGTTTCATTCTAGCTGCATAGTAGTAACTCTGTTAGGATTTCATTCAACTTGTATAACAGTAGCTCTGTTAGGGTTTGATAGCAACAATTTCAATAGATTTGAGCAAGATATAATAGGCTGTGGTACGAGTAGAAATGTTAACATATACAAATGTACCATGTGAATAAGGACATGCTTATTAGGTATGCCTCTCCCCAAGCTTGATGCTACAGGTTTTATTAATGTTTTTCAGCAAAGAAATCCCTGAAAATGTGCAGAACAAGACGGTGCTGTTCTTGGATGTTGTGAATCAACAGAACAATGAAGTCACATGCTCCATCATTAGCGGTGATGAAACAGAGACTGGTATGTTGCGCCAAACACATTTAACCTGTGATATGAACTCAAAGAGTTAATAGATAGTCATTCATTTTACTATAAATGTGTTTGCTGAGAGGTAAAGGATTTCTTAGTAAGCTATCAAACTGCATACTATTTTGAACTGTTCAAATAATCTGGGAATAAGAAACTGCCTGCATAGTCATGTAGTAGCAATTATTACTAATGGTACATTTAACTGTACACCTGAAGTTTACATAAAGTCTTTGAATAGCATTTAGGAGAGATACACATAAAAGGTGAAAATTCATAGATGCAAATTCTGTAATATCAGGCACATGACATTATGTGGGTATATTCATACCCACCTGATGAAGGAGTAAGAACATCCTCAAATTTGCTGTGTGCCTCATATTACAGAAGTTAACATCCATAAATTTCACCAGCTTTCTGTAGTTTTCATGCTTCTTTTTTCTTCATATGTTCAGGAGTTTCATTATCCTAAAATTTTACATTTTGTTTTAGTTGTTTACTTACCATTTTAGTCAAAATTGAAAAAGGCCAATATTCTGCAAATGGATTCTCAGCATGAGATAGTATTTTAACTTTTGTTTTGGGGTATGGAAATTGTTTTCATGCTTCTTTTTCTTCATATGTTCAGGAGTTTCATTATCCTAAAATTTTACATTTTGTTTGTTTACTTACCATTTTAGTCAAAATTGAAAAAGGCCAATATTCTGCAAATGGATTCTCAGCATGAGATAGTATTTTAACTTTTGTTTTAGGGTATGGAAATTGTAAGTTCATTAATAAAGCTTCTGCATTTTTATAATTATGATTGATCATACCTGTCATGAGTCAGATATTATCTAACATATTTATTTTCCCCATAAATCCATATGAGAGAATGAAGTTTTTAAATGATACATATTTTTTTTGCTAGGTTTATTCACTACAACGCCAGATACTGATCGCAAGAACTGCTACTTAATGTTGATGAGGAATCTGGACAGGGAACAGAAAGACATATACAAGTTGAGAGTAAGAGTGTCAGCAGCTCCAAGTGTCCAAACCTACAGTGAGTATACATATCAGCTCATTATCTCCACTGTTGAGTCAGCCCATCTTACTGATATTATGGTATTAAGTCAGCAGAAAAACACACTATGACTTTAGTGTCGATGTTATTGTCATCAGGTCCCAATGATAGTTTGAAGGTATAAAATAGTTAATACCACCCAGAAATTTCTTATTTTGTAATTCTACATTTTGTGTTTCAATGCAGATTCCTGGAAAATTGCAGATATTGTCCTGATAGTCACTGATGTCAATGACAATAATCCAATTTTCAAGTACCAAGATATCCCTGCAAATGGGTACAACAAGGACCAATACTATGGGGCCATCTCTATCCAGGCTAAACCTGATGAACAAGTGCTCAGAATCAATGTAAGTGTGATAGCAGAATAAATGAAGAAGCTGACAACCCCCTGTAATCTCCTACAACATGTATCATGTTATAAAAATATTGATTTAAGGTTTTTCATTCAATATTCTTTGGGGGAAAGTGTGTGGACAATAGATAACTGCATTTTGATTTTACATTTTACAGGTTTTTGAACAAAGTTTAAACTTGCAAATGTAAATCATTTTCAGGCTACTGATTTGGATATAGGACCTAATGGTCTGGTGACCTACGGCCGTGACATCTCACAGGAAACTGTTCCACCCTTCGGGGTCACATCAAATGAAGGTCTTATCTTCACCACTACCGAGTTTGACCAAAAACCAACAGCACCGAGACAGATTCGATTTGGTGTACAGGCTCAAGACAACCCAACACAGGAGGCCCCAAGAGTCTCAACAACCACAGTTGTGGTATGTATTGGCTGGTTCATTCATGCTTACTCAGTACTACTTACTGACTGACTGAGTTTAGTTTTACGCTGCTTTTAGCAATATTCCAGCAATATCACGGCGGGGGACACCAGAAATGGGCTTAACACATTGTGCCCATGTGGGGAATCGAACCCGGGTCTTCGGCGTGAGGAGCCAACGCTTTAACCACTAGGCTACCCCACCGCCCCCAGTACTACTTACCATGGTGATTAGTCATTTGTTTGCATTCCACAAAGAGACTATACTGATGTCTGTTAACACTAAAGGAGTGAGTTAGTACGGTTGTACACTGCTTTTTGCAATATTCCAACAAGTTTTACACCTTGGTTTTATCTTGAAATTTCAATATTTTTACAATGATATTCTTGTTGCAGGTTGACCTAATTGAAGATTACAACAGATTTATCCTTGTTATGGATAAAACACGGGCTAATGAAATCATTCCCAATATTGAAGTCGTTAGAAAGTAAGTATTACCTAGTTATATTCAGGCATATTTAATGAAGTGGAAATACTGACAATCAACTAATATCTATATCAGTATGTCTTTGGAAGCAATTCAAGAAGGAAATCACTGCATCTTGTAAACAATGAAAGTATGTTTCCATCCTTATTATAAGTTTAGAAGAAAAAAGATTAAAAGACATTACAATTAAAATGTGTCTAATATTGTTATTAGGTTTGTCAAAGCATCAGACATTGTTTCATTTTGAGGAAAATGGATATTTCTTTATAAACAAATTTGTGATAAGAATGAATAATGTACTCTTAGTGTACTACACAAGGCTGTCTTTCTGAGAAGAACAGTGTTAATATTATAAGTTAAATGATTCCACCATTTGTTTACTTCAGATCAATACAGGATGCAGTTGGCTTCCTTACCCTCATAGAGAGAGTAGAAGGCAAAAGGACTCGACAAAACCAGAACAATATCTTGCTACAAATGGAGTCGTAAGTAATATTTCCTAAAATGGATGAATGATTATTGCTTTATGCAGCATCAGCAATATTACAGCTATTCACTGCGAGTCCCAAAAGATCACCTATACATAAGGACAGTACCTTCACAGTGTCAGTGTATTAAATTTTATTTGCAGTTCCCATATGTTGTGTGGACATTAGGACACTAAGTGGTCTGAACTAACAGTCCCAGCTCACATTGTGAATTGTGTGATATGGCCAGTTTATTAAAGTAATTGATGCATTTTCTTCACATCTCTAAAAATATAGAAATTTTACATAAATGATAAGTCTGAATTTAGAACTAAATGCATGTGTGTCATGGTGTCTGCAGTTCCTGAATCTCAACAATGCTCCTTCTCTTTCAGAACTGATATCGTGTTTGTTCTCGTTGGAAACGAAGCAGACTACAGCTATGCACTTATGAACAATACAAACAAAGCAATTCAAGATAGGTTAGTAATGGAGTGTAGTCATTAATGTCAGTGATACAATCATTCAAATCATTCCTGGGATCCAGGGGGAGTCTGGATTTCAGTCAGTTGTCAAGGAATGATTTTAGTTTGTTTTTTTCTATTATAATATACCAAGTAACTGATAGTCTAGGGTCTAGTAAACAGACCTTGTTTCGAATCTCAGGTTCTGTGAATTTCACTTTGATCATCAAAAATATAAAGGTCTAATGAGATGAAAATATGCCAAGAACCATCCATGATCTATGGTCGAGGTAGAAATTAAACCTAAGTCATGAGTCATTGTCATTGCCTTTAAGATGCTGAAAATCATACATTGGGTGTTCCTAGATTCACATACTGTAAAGAAAACCTCTTAGTTTCAAGAATGTAATTGGTTTGATTTCAAGTCATTCTAATATTACACAGTCGCCATACAGTCAGATCAGACACCATTTTACAACAATGAGAAAGTCATACAAACAGAACATGTTTTACAGTTAGTATCATACATAAGACCATTAATACATTGTATATGTGGTGGAGACAAAAGTATGCTTGGATAATATGATCAAGCATTAAATTGTCATGCCTAAAAATATATATGTTAGATAATACTTTCTACAACAACTTTAACATGACATATCCATCATGAATCACGAAACACCTGAGTTTGAAATGTGCTTTGAGAATTGTGAGCCTGCTTGAGATGACAAAATGTTATACTAGGTGTGCGTGACCGTAAGATAGTTGTGTATAAGCCACTGGAGCAAACCAGAGCTAACTACTACGATAGACAAAGACATGCTCATTTGCCAGCTATTGACAGTATGGAGCTTGTATTTACTCTGGGAGTAGCCCAGCTAGCACTCCCTGCGCTAGAGCCCTCGGCACGTGAGAAGTTTGTTTAACAACGGTTCGCCAGTGAGAGGTAGAGTCCCTCCTCAAATGGTCTTGGCTTGGCTAAAGATGTCGGGATAGGACTGTGTGGAGATATCCCTTGTTTCACATTTGGATTTATTCACAAATTGGATATATACTTTTCTGTGTATTTGTTGTGTTTTGGGGAAATAAGGTAAAATTTTATTTGATTTTGTTGTATTTTGAGCTCTCATTAATACATTTACTTGATTTTCACTTTTGTGTGTTATGTTTATGTTTGATGCTTAATTTTATTTGTTTATGTTTGAAACATGAGTAAAAAATAAGTGAATATGTTTTCTATCTTAACTGTTAAATAATTAAGGTCTTATTTTCATCAGAGCATTTGTGACATCCTTAAAGTTTTACCTTTAGAAGCAAAAGAACAAGATTATTGGGTTTGCAATGTGTTTTCGGAAAAAATGAAAAACTATTGAATTACTCTTTCAACCTGGATTTAAGATGCAATGTACATTATGTTTTTATTCCATCCAACTATTGTGTCTTTTCTATTGCAGTATACTATCAGATGACACTCTGTCGAGATTGAATGTTCGTATTGGGTCGGACACTAGCTTTAACGTTGAGCGTGTGAGGCTGCCATACCCACAAGCTTCCCTGATCCGCACAATGGTGACCAAGTCCTACATCTGGTGGATGGATGACCCATGGGCAGCACTTATTGCTCTGGCTGCCATTATCATTCTCCTCAGTATTGTGGGAATCATCGTCATCGTCTTCTCCTATTCCAGGTGAGATCAGCACTGCAAATAGCCTTGTATTCTTTTCCTCTCTGCAAGTGCACTGATATAATTCTCTTTCAGTTGAAGTGTTTGTGTTGAGGATTGAATTGTATGTTTAATGTAGGCATTTTTGAAAATGAGTCCCCTTTTTACAATCCAATTATCTTCTGTATGTTTGACTGCAATGTGTTTGAAGTCCTTTGACAATATCAGCATAAAAGTTGTCATATCTTTAAGCATTATAAGTAACATTTTTTTTATAGTTTGATTTTTAATATATTACACAGATTTTGTTATCACCAGAGGACTTATGTTTCAATATTTGGTCGCAGGTACATGAAGTTCATCCAGCAGTACAGACTCTATCAACACAACTATGGTGATGCCCCTGAATTTACAGAACCACCTAGCTTTTTACGAGAATACGAAACTCAGGTGAGTAGGTTTTCTGATGGTGATAATCAGCTGATTAACACTGCATTAACCTTGCATTAACATTTTGAACAACAGGTATACAGATGACCCCTTCATTTTATATGAAGCAACACTTAGGCTTCCTATTAAACTCACTCACTCACACACTCCTATTCATGACCAGTATCATGACTTAAACTCACTCACACACTCCTATTCATGACCAGTATCATGACTTAAACTCACTCACTCACACACTCCTATTCATGACCAGTATAATGACTTAAACTCACTCACTCACATACTCCTATTCATGACCAGTATCATGACTTAAACTCACTTACTCACTCATATTCATGACCAGTGTCATGACTTAAACTCACTCACTCACACACTCCTATTCATGACCAGTATCATGACTTAAACTCACTCACTCACACACTCCTATTCATGACCAGTATCATGACTTAAACTCACTCACATACTCCTATTCATGACCAGTATCATGACTTAAACTCACTCACTCAGACACTCCTTTTCATGACCAGTATCATGACTTAAACTCACTCGCTCACTCGTATTCATGATCAGTATCATCACAAGTGTCTCATGGATACCTGGATATGGGCATCTCACTCCCACCAATGTTATTCTAGGTTTAAAAACTTGCTTTGTAAGCAAAGTTATATATATATACAGAAAATGTTGACCATGTCGACACTCAGCTCTGTTGATTACATGAGATGTTTGTCCTATAACGTGACTGCAAGCAACGTTTAGTTTTTAATCAGGAAAATGACATGTTGAGGTTTATACAAGTTAAATATTTTTCTCCCTGATTCTGGTGTGACTGTAACTGACATTTTTTCTGTCTGGAAGCTGCACAAAACACAACCGTTTGGGCAGGCAGTTTGTAGGATTTATTTGGACTAAGTAAACATGTTGGTTGGCCTCGTTTCCTGGTCCCAGTTGACAGCTATTGATTTCAAAGGCATTTAAGCTGTGAGACTTTACTTCCTAAACATAAGATTGTGGCATGCCAATTATTTGAAAGCTTAGGTTTGCCTTCCTGGGAGAAAGTTGGGAGTGACGTAATAATGGTCATTCAATATCTTTGTCACATTTAGGATGGTTATGTGAAGACATACAATGATGGAATTAACTGAAGATATGTTATGAATTTATATTCTGTATTTGTAATTATGTAAGAATTATTAGGAAAGGTATTCACAGCATTCTGCAACCTGGCGGGTTAAGTCTTAACTATTGATTAAGTATGATGTTATACACAGGGAAAGGGTATTAATAGGGTTGGGATTGGTCTGTGAAAGCAGAATAGATGAACAGATCATCCGAACTTGAATGAATTATTATAGTCATCTTGCTGTTTTTAAGTGTTTAGTCCATGAAAACTAGTTCATACCTAACAAAAATAGGAATAATACATTTTTTAGAACTTGACACTGGCCTCATCATTCTCAGTTATTTCTCCAAGGACTCTAAATAGTGAATAATTCTTAATAAAAGTTCTCAACAGTTGAAAACTTGATAGAATTGTGTGTTTGATTTTAGACATGTGCATTGAATTGTTTGGACTTTCCAGCCAATCTTTGATTATTTCAATTAATTGGAACAACTATTATTTATGGTGTTGTTTATATTTCATTTGACAGAACTGTCTTCCTAGACCTACAGTACATTAGGCTAACATTGTGCAACGGCAGTGTTGTGTCCTGCTCTCAATATTTGCTAACTTTGTTGACTGTTTCTATTTCAGAGTTTGAATATGTACGTCCCACCTGATGAGCAAATTCAGAGTGTTGGGGAGATCAACATGACGTTTGAGGGTGACACAATGAAGGGAGCCATGCATACTAACCATGGAGAGGATGTGGCAGCAGTTGTTAATCCAATCTTCCAAGGGTAAGTCAGGTTTCAGTAGTATATTTTCATCAATATGTTTTTTTGCCAAATGACTAAGTGAATAAGAATTTTGCAGTATTGTAGAAAGATCATGGCAGGGGACACCAGAAATAGGTTTCACACATTGTACCAATGTGGGGAATCAAAACTAGGTCTTTCGATTGATGAGTGATTGCTTAAACCACTGTGCAAACTGAACTGCCCCTTCTTCAAATGATTTATTTTGAATACCAAGACCTTTCATGTTCAGTATTGGATTTATATTTAGTTAGTGTATCTTGTGTTTCTGTTTTTGAGTTAAACATTTAATATGCTTAAGATCTCAGTTTAAATACATGCAGTGTCAGTACTGGCAACAGTAACCATACATGTTCACCTTGAATACTTTATCCTTACTCAGATATTGACACTGGCTTTACATCACTAAGAGAGACCGTTTCTTGACCTTTATCAGTAAGAGATCCCCCTGCGTTTACAACTTAGACTCTCCTTTGCTTCATGTTGAGTGATGCCATTACTAAACTAAGGGGTAGTAAGTCTTCAAGTGACAAGCCCCTTTTGCAAATAAGCATTTTACTTTACTTGCTGCTGTGGAAATGAGCATTTCATTGGGGTCAAAAGAATTAGCAGTAAAAGGTTTAGTGACATCAACCAGACTGGGATAAGATTTTTTACAGTTTTGCTTTTTCTGAAACTTAATTTCGCAAACAATGACCTTTCATTGACATTTCCTACAGCTGGCAGGGTGATATTTTATGAAATTCCCGTTGTTGTTGTTACTTGTATAATTGGCATGTCAAATTCCAGTTCTAGTTGTGTACCCTCTAGTAACTCAGGTAGTAGAAATCAATTGGGAGTGTCTTTGAAACTGTTTATAATATGGTACTGTGTTATAATGGCAATGAATACAGCCAATGATTATCAGGATGAATAAAATCAGTTGATGCTTTTCTTTTTGTATTAATATTCTTTCTAAGCACAAATATATTAGTTGCTTTCAAAATTAAGTACAATTCTATATTTTATGTCTTTGTTTTTTTTCTAATTTGCAGAGAAGGTCAAGGTCAACAGCAACTCTCCTACAATGAAAGCACAACAATATTGTAACATGTAACCCCAGTCTTGCCACCACCCTTGAATTTGACCTTTGACACCATGACCTTTCAGAAGAAATAATCTTGATCTATGATGTTCACAAAAAATCCATGGACTTAGAATAGCTGGATTTACTTGTGGTGCTATTTCAACCAAATCACCTACACACAGCAATGTAACAACATGGAGGAAAGGTCACACAAAAATAGTTATTGCAAATTTTGTATATGATTTTATATGTATATGTATGAATTTAAAAGTGCTGTGTCATCTGATAAACATTGAAGTCTCCCTGTAACTATTATACATGAGTTGTATCTTATGAACCATGCTGCGGCTTCATGCCTTGATGATATTACTGATCTCTGTTAAACAAAACATGTAGTTCTAACTTCTTTATAAGGGTTTTTACATTTACTTACTATATTTTTCTATGAAAGTGCAGTTATATTGTAGTTTAAGATTTAAAGTTTTAAAATGAAAAGTGATGAAATGGATATAAACAGAATTTGAAACCTGCAGAGAAGAGATCTATGTTTGTGATGATTGTTATTGTCCCACAATTGTTAATGTTTGTATGACTGTAAATGAGACAGGTTAGCACTGGCAGGATGTATATAAGGTAAAGTGTTGTGTACAGATACATTGACTTTGTCCACTTGTGTCTCTATCATTTCTTATCCATTAGATTTGTACAACTTTTATACAAGTATGATATATTATATATACATGAATAAAGATTCTATTTCTATAAAAGAATTATGGTTCTGTTGTTTTTCTTTAAGTAATAAAGTTTTCTTGGCTGTCATAATAAAATGTCAAAATGGTATGTGTAAGTTTCAAAATTCTATTAGAAGGTAACAAAATCAAATTGGTAAATGTTTAATGGTTACATAATGCGATTTAGAAAGTGCTCAAATATAACATAACATATGTTATATTTGGGATTACACTTTCTTAGTAAAGTACAGATTCTAGTACTTTTGTTGGGTTGAGTCCCATCCGGGATTCAAACCCACACCCTCGGTGGCTGAGCACTAAGAGAATTATCCTGTGTAATTTGTGCAGTTGGTTGGAATGTAAAGCAGCCTATTAAAGTTTGACAACACATGTTAAAATTTTAAAAGTTGTGAAACTCGAGTTTTCACATGTCAAACAAATGTTGTCAAACTTTCTTGTCATTTGAGCGCTATGTCTCTATCGGTGCAGTGATGTGACAATTTCGTTGACTGCGATTGGTTGTTTCTGAACAACACGAGTTTGACAACACTTCACACGTCAAACTCGAGTTTGTCACCACCGAAAGATGGGCTTTTCCAGTGAGAGAGATGGTCTAGCCAGTGAGATGGACTGACCAGTGAGAGAGATGGTCTAGCTAATGAGGAGGAGAGAGAGGCCTGCCATTGAGAGAGATGGTCTAGGTAATGAGGAGGAGGGTGGAGCTGGCTAGTGAGAGAAATGGTCTAGCCAATGAGGAGGAGATAGGAGCTGGCCAGTGAGAGAGATGGTCTAGGTAATGAGGAGGAGAGAGGGGCTGGCTAGTGAGAGAGATGGTTTAAGTAATGAGGAAGAGAGAGGGGCCTGCCATTGAGAAAGATGGTCTAGCCAATGAGGAAGAGAGAGGGGCTGACCAGTGAGAGAGATGGTCTAGCCAGTGGGATGGAGAGATGGACTGGCCAGCGAGAGAGATGGTCTAGCCAGTGAGATGGAGAGATGGACTGGTCAGCGAGAGAGATGGTCTAGCTAATGAGGAGGAGAGAGGGGCTAGCCAGTGAGAGAGATGGTCTAAGTAATGAGGAGGAGAGAGGGGCTGACCAGTGAGAGAGATGGTCTAGCCAGTGAGATGGAGAGATGGACTGACCAGTGAGAGAGATGGTCTAGCTAATGAGGAGGAGAGAGGGGCTAGCCATTGAGAGAGATGGTCTAGGTAATAAGGAGGAGGGCGGAGCTGGCCAGTGAGAGAGATGGTCTAGCCAATGAGTAGAGATGGACTGGTCAGTGAGAGAGATGGTCTAACCAGTGAGAGAGATGGTCTAGCCAATGAGTAGAGATGGGCTGGTCAGTGAGAGAGATGGTCTAGCCAATGAGGAGGAGAGAGGGGCTGGCCAGTGAGAGAGATGGTCTAGCTAATGAGGAGGAGAGAGGGGCCTGCAAATGGTCTAGCCAATCTCACTGCCATCTATCTCCCAGACTGAGTCACTGAGTTTAGCAATATTCCTGCAATATCACGTCCTGAGACACCATAAATTACACCCCCCAGAAGCCTCGTTTAGCACAATATGGGTATTTGCTTACACTGTCAACCACTAGTTTGTCTTGTGCAAGCAAATACCCATATGGTGCTAAAGGAGGCTTCTGGGGGGTGTAAATTATGGTGTCTCAGGACGTGATATTGCAGGAATATTGCTAAACTCAGTGACTCACTCTGGGAGATGATTTAGCAAATACCTAATGAGATGTTGAGAGTGTTTGGGCTACTGGGAGCAAAGGGAGAACAGGGAGTACATGCTTTGTGATAAATTGCAATTGGAAAGAACGTGTTATGATACCGCGAATCACTGTTTGACATAGTGCTCAATGCATCATCAGTGTTCGAAGCCGTACAACACTACTTCGTACAATTACTAGAACCCGGAAAAAGCTCACCCCATTTCACTGGGAATACAAGTAGAAGCATGCACATGTATAACAGACCCATTCTGGTTCTTTCCTTCTGTCCTGAAATACTCACACGACATATTGTAACCCGCTGAGAAGAACAAATGGTATCTGTTATGTGAATGCGAACTTGTCATGGTCGCAGCTCGGCAAACATCGCCCCCTGTCGGAATAATCCTGTGCATTGGCCAGGAGTCCGGTCACGTATCATGTGCCGCGACGGAGGAGATGACAGAGAGCTCTAGCTATTTGTTTGTTCCCGTAGCCTCATGTCTGAACGGGCGCACAAACGACACACCTAGTCACAGGGCACACAAGGTGTTTACACAGCGTGTATCTTGAAGACATCAATATGTTTGTTCACAGTGGTCTTTGGCAATATAAACTCTTAAAACACGACTTAAATAGTTTTCTGGATATGCATCAGTATTTCGATTAGATGTCGGAGTTCTAAATATAATCTTACTGAATATAATATTCATTTTATTTAAAAACTGTTGTTAATTAATCAGAATACGTATGTGCTATTGTGATCAAATGATGATAAAGGTACAGCTGACAGTCATGTGTGTATGTTTGAGATTTACTAAACAAATTTTACATCTTTCGTACAAAGTATTGAGATGTTTCGTGTGTCTTTCACAAGCTCCTTCTGGGGTAGACCCACGAGTCAAAAGACAAAGGAAAACAGTTATGTATAATGCCTTTGCCCTAGTCTGTCTCACAGTCCCTGAACAACATTATTTTCCCTACTGCCTAGCCCTCTCTGCAGTGCTAAAGCCCTAAATAAAGCAAGTCTAGATTTCCTCAGGTTCAGGCTCTGAATCTCTGGTCTCCCTAGGGCTCCTTTTCAATATAAATGGGCTTGTTTGTTACTATCCAAATTATATATATTCAGAGACTAAGCCTTAGTCTACCTTTGCCCCTGCCTGCCTGTTTGTCTTTGAGGGGCGGTGGGGACGCATAATGGTTAAAGCGTCCGTTTGAAGAGTGAGTAAGCTTATACGCCGATTGAAGCAATATTCCAGCAATATCACGGCTGGGGACACCAGAAATGGGCATCACACATTGTACCCATGTGGAGAATCTAACCTGGGTCTTCACTGGAATGGGCAGTGAGATAGCCTAGTGGCTAAAGCGACCAAAGTCATCGAAGGACTGTAAAATAACTTGGCCACCTTAATGACTTTGATGGGTATACGCCATGTAGGGAATCGAACCTGGGTCTTCACTGTGATGGGCAGTGGGATAGCCTAGTGGCTAAAGCGTGCGGTCCTCACGCTGAAGACCCGGGTTCGATTCTCCACATGGGTACAACGTATGAAGCCCATTTCTGGTGTCCCCCGCCGTGACATTGCTGGAATATTACTGAAAGCGGCGTAAAACCACACTAACCCACTCACTGTATATGTCTGTGTTTCCGTTAGTCTGTCATACACCTTGAACTAAATATATCCAGTGTGGCCAATGCAGGTCCATAACGTGTGGCAAGTTTAGACTTGTGCAGTAATGAGGTAAGTCTGTAGGCTCCTTTTAATCAGATTGTACTGTAATAAACTGTCAAATATCTTAATTTCACACACCAGAGGTTACAGTCTGTTTGACTACAAATGAAAACTATGAATTGCAAAAATAGTGAGTTAGTGAGTTAAGGTCATCTCGGCAATATTTCAGCCATATCATGACGAGAAAGGTTTTGCATATACAATAAATATAAGTTGTTAAATAATCAGTCATCGAAGTACTGTAAAATAACTAGAGTATCACAGATGGTGTCTAAAACTAGCATGTAAATCTATAACTATTCTATTTACGAAGACAATACAATACAGCATAAAAACAAGCTATAGGTTGACAACAACTGAAGGTATATCACCATACTAGGGACCATTGGGACTTACAGTGCCTTTGCTACCTGCATGGACCCTAGTTGGATTTACACCATCCCTTCAGCCGATGGCGATTGTAGGATAAGTTTAGCCTAAGTTCAATAACAAAAAAACTGCATTTAAAAATCTGGTAAGTTTAAATTTAACTTTGAAAGTTTTGGGACTTACGTACCCCCTCAGGACAATAGTTTTACGATACTTTAACCCCCTTTTAGGATACAGCTACTAACAATCCCAGTTGCTAATTTATACTACCATGTTTAAAACACCATTTATCTGTTTACAAAACATATTATTCAAAATGTATGTAATAGTTCTATTTCCTTTAAAAATTCAACTATTAAATGATAATTAACATGATAAAACGATCCTTAATTGTTTTGACATTAAAATATTTATCGCTTGTGATGGAAAAATCAATGCAGTCAAGCAGGACATGCTTGACTGTGATTCTCTCATCACAAGGGATACAAAAAGGAGGATCTTCACCTTTGAGCAAATATTCATGAGTGTATCTGGAATGGCAAATGCGACATCGTCTCACGATGATCTCTTCAAATCTGGACTGACAACCCAAGTAGGTGTAACCAATTTAGGGTATGTGTAACCAATATGCATTAATACCTTCTTGAGTGTCCCACTTCTTCTGCATCAGATCACGAATGTACTATCTAATGGTTGCTTTGTAATCGGAGTATGGAATGAGAAGTGGTGTCACAGATCTGTTGAGTGCTGCCTTAGTAGCAAGATCGGCCATTATGTTACCAGAGATTCCAATATGGCTGGGTAACCAACAGAGGACGATGTTGTATTGGCCAGTAGCAAGCTTATTATATAATTCAATTATATCGATTAAAAGTGGATGTTTGCAAGGGAGATTTTTTATATCCCGAAGGCAAGAAAGAGAGTCTGAAAATATGATATATTGTTTATATGTAGGATGTTATTTAATATATTTAAGCGCTTTTAATATGGCATTTGCTTCTGCTGTGAAAATAGAACTATCGCCTGGTAATCTAGAAGAGAATATTCTGGAACCAGTGACAGTGGCCCAAGCCACTGCGCCACCATCCTTTAATCCATCTGTACTTAAGGATTTGTATGTACATGTATTATATTTACTTTTTAATTGATTATACTCTCGTTATATTGTAATTCATTTGTTTCTGATTTTTTAAAATGTTGTTAGTGTCAGGTCAACTTGTGGCCTCACTAATTGTCAAGGAGAAGAAAGAAAACCGGAAGGAGATATATTTTCCATGTCAATGCCAGCAGCAGAAATGAATTGCTTAATGCTGAGCCCAAGAGGCGGAACGAGAGAAGATTTCTTGTTGTATAAATCCTCATAGATTAGATTGAAGACACAGTTAAATGCAGGTTTAGATTCGTTAGAATATAGTTTTGTAATATATTGATAAGATAATTTTATAAGGCGTTGTGTAAGATCTGCCTCTACGTAGAGACTGTCAACAGGAGAAGTTCTGAAGGACCCAAGACAAAGTCTCAGACCTTGGTGGTGGACAGAATCTAATAGTTTCAGGCTGCTTTTGCAGGCTCCACCATATACAATGGAGCCGTAGTCTAATTTCGAGCGGACCGATGATCTATACTGATGAAGAAGGGTAGCATTGTCCCCTCCCCACTTTGAATTAGAAACGACTTTAAACAGATCAAGTGCCTTCAGGCATTTAGCTTTAAGGGGTTTAATATGTGGCAGAAACGTTAAATGGGAGTCGAAAATAAGACTTGGCCTCCTTAATGACTTTGATGGGTATGCCATTAAGAAATAGCTCTGGGCTTTTATGCGGTTTGTATTTACGGCAGATGTAGAAAATGTAAAGCCGTTTTCAAGACACCATTTATCTATGGTCTTGCAAACGCAGCTGGTAAGAGAAATAGGTGGATAATTCGATGGATCGGTATGATCACGTCCAGGTTTAGGGATAGGGACACTTATAGCATCACTCCATGAAGAAGGGAACTTTCCAGACGTCCAAATATCATCAAGAATTTCAAAAGGGTTTCTAAACATGATTCCGGTACAAGCTTCAGAAGTTGATAATGGAGTTATCAGCTTCTGTAGCAGTATTGTGGGCCTGGTCAAGAGCAATATGGAGCTCATGGGTCGAAAAATACCTCATTGTAATCTTCCCCTTTATCTGAAGTAAGATTAATAGATTTCTCTTCTTGCTGTTTTGATACTTTGGGACATGAGGTACATAATTTGAGGAAGAAGAATGTTGTGCCAGTGTTTCGCCAAGTTTATTAGCAATATCGGATTTATCAGTTAATAACTGGTTTCCGACTTTGAGATGGTGAATGCTGGATCTAGAGCCCTTACATTTGATTTTCTGGATCATATTCCATACCTTAGAAATAGGCGTCCTCGAATTAGTATTAGATACATAGTTTCGCCAAGATTGGCGTTTACTTTGTTTAAATGTACAACGTGCTTTAGCGTTTAAGATTTAAAGTTTGTTCAAATTTTGGACCAGAGGATGGCGACGGTAATAATTATCAGCCTTTTCCCGTGCCTCTTTTCCTAGCCTGTTTGCAATCAGTGTTTCCGTATGTGTGAAATTGTAGAGGACTTTGGGATACACTCATCAGCTATGGTGTTTCATATGTCAAAGAAATCTTTTTTAACACCAGGAACATTAATAAAACGTTCAGGTGTATGTTAGTCAGTACAGAGGGTTTCATATAAAGGCCAGTTGGTCTTTTTAAAATTCCATCTTGACGATGGAGGAACATTAAATGGGTTCACGGGTTTTAGTATTGTTGGGAAATGTGGACTGACCATTCAATTTCACTCAATAGGTTTGAGTCAGTAATTGACAAACCAAGAGCCGAATATGTTCCAGTGCCAGGATGTAAGTATGCCTTTGACCGTCATTATAAATGCTTATTACTTACGAGGGCGAACATATCGTAATTCACATTTTAATACGATGCCCTGGGGCAAAATATCACTTTGTCATGGTGACGTGACGTCATGAACAATGCTATGACGTCACGTTTCTTCTGTGACGTTGCGTTCTATATGCGGCCACGGCGGGTAGACAGCCTCTGTTTGAAAGTAGATTTGGGTTATTTTCCTCAATTTGACGACTTCGGTAATAAACAGATTATTATATTTGTGCCCATGTCATACTATGTTTACGACACTCGTGCCTAAATATCAGTATATCCCTCGATCTCGCTCGGAAAATACCGACATTTAGACACTCATGTCGTAAACATAGTATGAAATGGGCACTCATATAATATCCTCTATATAGATCATTATTTGATATGAAATCCTCCAGTATTTTTCTTCGGTGTTTGTATTAGTACCAACCCAGAGTGGGTTCTGGCCATATAGATCACCCACGATGAAACAGGGTTCAGGTAGTTGATCATAAAGAGCTTGTAGATCGGTTAACTGGACAGCAGATGAAGGTGGAATATACAATGAACAGAGAGTGAATGCAACTTGTAATGTAAGTCGCTCTGCCACGGCTTGGCGATTTGTTTTGAGTGTGACTAGGCTATGAATAACATTATTCCTCACCAGGATAGATGAACCACCAGTAGCCCTGTCACCCGGGGGAGAAAAATATGCATTAAACTGACGTAGGTCAATATAATCCGTCTGCTTCAGATATAGATAGGTTTCTTGAATGCAGAATACTGACGGATTAAGATCTTGGCCTAATAGCTGTAAGTCGTTAAAATTAGTCCTGAGTCCTCTACAATTCCATTGAATTATATGTGAAGACATTATTTCTTCCGCGGAGGATGTACAGGAGATCTACCCCTCACCTTCCTTGAGAGTGACAAGCTATGTGTCCTACCATAGCTATGGTCGGACGCATCCATGTCCTCAAGGGATCCGAACTTACTATATAGCTGGATCTCATCATTTGAACCATTAACGAGTCTATCGCTTTGGTTGATTCTGTTTGTTTTGGGGTTTTCTTTCACAGTTTGTTTAACCTGAGGTTTTTGTACGGTTGATGGGCATGAATCTGGTATGTATTTTGGACTGTGGGACCTTCTTTTGCCTGGTTGGGTCTTTGAACGTGCGGGATCCTTTTGTTAAAAAAACATACACTGAGATGACGTCACTGTAGCTGGTAACACGTCAGCAGTCTGTGTAGTAGATTCTCCTCGCATTAACAGTTCTTGATTTGGAACAAGTACAGCCGAAGTAGACTTTGTCCACGTCTGCTCTGTCTGACATTCGACTGAGACTGTGGTCGTGGATGGTCTTTTGATAATAGAAGAATAAGATTCACCTGGGTGAATGGTACAAGCTTCTTAGCTTCAGCATAGCTGATGTTTTGACTATGCTTTATTTTATATATCTCCATTTCCCTCTTCCAAACTGGGCAATCTTTTGACAATGAGAAATGCTTACCTGAACAGTTGGCACATTTTTATCCCACCGGCATGTAATGCGGGGGGATATAGTCGACGCCTTGTCCGTCCATCCGTCCGTAATCATTTTCGTTTCCGGACCATAACTCAAGAACCGTTCAATATTTTTCAACAAAAATGGTAGATATAGAGGATATTATATGAATGCCCATGTCATACTATGTTTACGACACGAGTGCCTAAATTTTGGTATTTCCCGGGCGAGAGCGAGGGATATACTGATATTTAGGCACGAGTGTCGTAAACATAGTATGACATGGACACGAATATAATATTCTGTTTATTACCGAAGTCGTCAAATTGAGGAAAATAAACCCAAATCTACTTTCAAACATAGGCTGTCTACCCGCCGTGGCCGCATATAGAACGCAACGTCACAGAAGAAACGTGAGGTCATAGCATTGTTCATGACGTTACGTCACCATGACAAAGTGATATTTTGCCCTAGGGCATCGTATGAAAAATATCAACCCCGATATGTTCGCTCTCGTAGGTAATAAATATCAAAGATGACCCAGTGTGGTGCCTTTTGCTATTTACAGATGTTTGTCATTTTTCTTTTCTCGGTTTCCATGGAAACGTTTTTGATTTAGTCTCAAAAGGGAGGGGTGGGTTTCGTTTCCGGGTCACAACTAAAAAACAGTTCAATATTTTTCTGCCAAACTTGGTACATATATCAAACAGAACCTAAAGTGGGGTCTTTTGCTATTTGCGGATTTTTGTCATTTTTATTTTTCTCGGTTTCCATGGAACGATTTGGACTTAGTCTCAAAAGGGAGGGGTGGGCTTCGCTTCCGGAGAACTCGAAAACATATCAATATCTTTCAACAGAACTTGGCAGATATGTGAAACAGATCTTGAAGTGGTGCTTTTTGCTATTTACAGATTTTTGTCATTTTTATTTTTCTCGGTTTCCATGGAAACGATTCGGACTTAGTCTCAAAAGGGAGGGGTGGATTTCGTTTCAGGAGCACAACTCGAAAATTCTTAATATGTTGCAGAAAAACTTGGCAGATATGTGAGACAGATCTTGAAATGGTGCCTTTTGCTATTTGCAGATTTTTGGCATTTTTATTTTCCCCGGTTTCCATGGAAACAAGATCACAAGATCGAGCCTTCTATTATTAGTTGACTTTTGATCTTTGATTTTCTCAAATCACATCGACACTTCGGGTCATTTCCACTTTGACCTTTGATTGTTAATCACAAGATCGAGCCTTCTATTATAAACCGTTACCTTATTTAACTTTGACCTTTCATTGTTTCATTCTTTGATTGTCAACTTTGACCTTTGACTCAATCACAAGACTGACCCTTTTCATAACAAACCAACTGTCTAAATGAACTTTGACCTTTGATTGTAAAGAATCACAAATGCACATCATGACCTTAAGCTGGAAAATGTCCTTTTGGACCTGGACGGCAATGTCAAGCTGTCTGACTTTGGCCTTTGCATCTGCCAAGACCAACGAGAGTCCAGCAATGTCTTCAGTGGAACAGTTGCTTACTCCTCCCCCGAGGTTTTAACGGGGAGGGAATATGATGCATTCAAGCTAGACATCTGGAGTTTGGGGGTCATCCTCTATTCTCTGGTGTGTGGCTCCTTCCCCTTTAACGACTTCAGCATCAACCAAATGGTTCAGCTGCAGAAACATCACATCCTTCCATTTCCTGAGTCCATCAACTCAGAGTGCAAGGATCTTATCCTGCAAATGTGCCAGCCGGATGTTGCTGGAAGGCCCACTCTTCGGCAGGTTCTGAACTCTAGCTGGCTTTGCCAGTGAAATTTTGTTTCCCCTTTGACCTTTGATTGTCAAGAACGACAATCACTCGTGCTATTTTTATCGTCTCCAAAGTTCCAAGTTCTCCAATTGAAAGGTTGTCCTTTGACCTTTGATTGTATAGAATTTCTATTAATAAATTTGACCTTTAACCTCTGACCCTTTGTAAAGGTGAAACTTTGATGGTAGTCTTTTCATTTCTATTTTAAAAGTTGACCTTTGACCTTTGACCTTTGACCTTTAACTGTCACGATCAAAACCAACCCTTTCCAAGAAACACACACTTTCCATCATCACAATCACAAAGTTGATTTCTTGAATCACTTTGACCTTTCATTGTTTCATTCTTTGATTGTCAACTTTGACCTTTGACTCAATCACAAGATCGACCCTTTTCATAACAAACCAACTGTCTAAATGAACTTTGACCTTTGATTGTAAAGAATCACAGCATAGCACCGACCTCTTCGTCAATATCTTATTACAAAGTTGACCTATGACCTTTTGTAATCATGACCTTTGATGTTCCATTTTCTAAAATCAATGGCATTTGACCTTTGATCTTCCATTGTATGGGGTTAGCCTAATACTCTGTAGTCTCGGAAGGGTGTTGACCCTAATCCTCATTTGCTGCAGCAAAAACCATCAACCCCCTTGACCTTTAGAGCACTTAGACCCTTCCACTGACCTGTTGACCGTGGCTTTGACCTCTGGGCCCCATTTAGCCTCGTTTGAACTTTGAGTGCTGACCCCAAGAGGTCAATGCGTGGGAGTATAAAAGGAAAATATTTTCCAGTCCTGGCCATTCATATACATTATCTTCATGTCTTCTATTAAGAGCGTTTTACGTTCGATTGGTTACCAAAGTAAATCCCTCTTAGGAGAGGGAAGCTTTGGTATTGTTTTGTGCTGTGAACATATGGTTAACCTTTCAGAGGTTGCCATAAAAGTCACAGACAAAGTTCGAGCTGTGTCTGCAATGAGACGTTTGCTCTAAAGACTGTGAAACATCCCAACATTGTTGATGTCTACGCAGTGTTTGAAACTGATAAGCACACTTTTACTGTGATGGAGCTGGCCGAGGGGAAACCTCCTGGACCTGCTTGCACAGGAAAGTAGCCTGTCTGAACAAAGAGTCAAGCTGATCTTTTCCCAACTGGTGGGGGCTGTGAACGCCTGTCACCAGGTGGGGATTGCACATCATGACCTTAAGCTGGAAAATGTCCTTTTGGACCTGGACGGCAATGTCAAGTTGTCTGACTTTGGCCTTTGCATCTGCCAAGACCAACGAGAGTCCAGCAATGTCTTCAGTGGAACAGTTGCTTACTCCTCCCCGAGGTTTTAACGGGGAGGAATATGATGCATTCAAGCTAGACATCTGGAGTTTGGGGGTCATCCTCTATTCTCTGGTGTGTGGCTCCTTCCCTTTAACGACTTCAGCATCAACCAAATGGTTCAGCTGCAGAAACATCACATCCTTCCATTTCCTGAGTCCATCAACTCAGAGTGCAAGGATCTTATCCTGCAAATGTGCCAGCCGGATGTTGCTGGAAGGCCCACTCTTCGGCAGGTTCTGAACTCTAGCTGGCTTTGCCAGTGAAATTTTGTTTCCCCTTTGACCTTTGATTGTCAAGAACGACAATCACTCGTGCTATTTTATCGTCTCCAAAGTTCCAAGTTCTCCAATTGAAAGGTTGTCCTTTGACCTTTGATTGTATAGAATTTCTATTAATAAATTTGACCTTTAACCTCTGACCCTTTGTAAAGGTGAAACTTTGATGGTAGTCTTTTCATTTCTATTTTAAAAGTTGACCTTTGACCTTTGACCTTTGACCTTTAACTGTCACGATCAAAACCAACCCTTTCCAAGAAACACACACTTTCCATCATCACAATCACAAAGTTGATTTCTTGAATCACTTTGACCTTTCATTGTTTCATTCTTTGATTGTCAACTTTGACCTTTGACTCAATCACAAGATCGACCCTTTTCATAACAAACCAACTGTCTAAATGAACTTTGACCTTTGATTGTAAAGAATCACAGCATAGCACCGACCTCTTCGTCAATATCTTATTACAAAGTTGACCTATGACCTTTTGTAATCATGACCTTTGATGTTCCATTTTCTAAAATCAATGGCATTTGACCTTTGATCTTCCATTGTATGGGGTTAGCCTAATACTCTGTAGTCTCGGAAGGGTGTTGACCCTAATCCTCATTTGCTGCAGCAAAAACCATCAACCCCCTTGACCTTTAGAGCACTTAGACCCTTCCACTGACCTGTTGACCGTGGCTTTGACCTCTGGGCCCCATTTAGCCTCGTTTGAACTTTTGAGTGCTGACCCCAAGAGGTCAATGCGTGGGAGTATAAAAGGAAAATATTTTCCAGTCCTGGCCATTCATATACATTATCTTCATGTCTTCTATTAAGAGCGTTTTATTGTTCGATTGGTTACCAAAGTAAATCCCTCTTAGGAGAGGGAAGCTTTGGTATTGTTTTGTGCTGTGAACATATGGTTAACCTTTCAGAGGTTGCCATAAAAGTCACAGACAAAGTTCGGAGCTGTGTCTGCAATGAGACGTTTGCTCTAAAGACTGTGAAACATCCCAACATTGTTGATGTCTACGCAGTGTTTGAAACTGATAAGCACACTTTTACTGTGATGGAGCTGGCCGAGGGGAAACTCCCTGACCTGCTTGCACAGGAAAGTAGCCTGTCTGAACAAAGAGTCAAGCTGATCTTTTCCCAACTGGTGGGGGCTGTGAACGCCTGTCACCAGGTGGGGATTGCACATCATGACCTTAAGCTGGAAAATGTCCTTTTGGACCTGGACGGCAATGTCAAGCTGTCTGACTTTGGCCTTTGCATCTGCCAAGACCAACGAGAGTCCAGCAATGTCTTCAGTGGAACAGTTGCTTACTCCTCCCCCGAGGTTTTAACGGGGAGGGAATATGATGCATTCAAGCTAGACATCTGGAGTTTGGGGGTCATCCTCTATTCTCTGGTGTGTGTGGCTCCTTCCCTTTAACGACTTCAGCATCAACCAAATGGTTCAGCTGCAGAAACATCACATCCTTCCATTTCCTGAGTCCATCAACTCAGAGTGCAAGGATCTTATCCTGCAAATGTGCCAGCCGGATGTTGCTGGAAGGCCCACTCTTCGGCAGGTTCTGAACTCTAGCTGGCTTTGCCAGTGAAATTTTGTTTCCCCTTTGACCTTTGATTGTCAAGAACGACAATCACTCGTGCTATTTTTATCGTCTCCAAAGTTCCAAGTTCTCCAATTGAAAGGTTGTCCTTTGACCTTTGATTGTATAGAATTTCTATTAATAAATTTGACCTTTAACCTCTGACCCTTTGTAAAGGTGAAACTTTGATGGTAGTCTTTTCATTTCTATTTTAAAAGTTGACCTTTGACCTTTGACCTTTGACCTTTAACTGTCACGATCAAAACCAACCCTTTCCAAGAAACACACACTTTCCATCATCACAATCACAAAGTTGATTTCTTTGAATCACTTTGACCTTTCATTGTTTCATTCTTTGATTGTCAACTTTGACCTTTGACTCAATCACAAGATCGACCCTTTTCATAACAAACCAACTGTCTAAATGAACTTTGACCTTTGATTGTAAAGAATCACAGCATAGCACCGACCTCTTCGTCAATATCTTATTACAAAGTTGACCTATGACCTTTTGTAATCATGACCTTTGATGTTCCATTTTCGAAAAATCAATGGCATTTGACCTTTGATCTTCCATTGTATGGGGTTAGCCTAATACTCTGTAGTAGTCTCGGAAGGGTGTTGACCCTAATCCTCATTTGCTGCAGCAAAACCATCAACCCCTTGACCTTTAGAGCACTTAGACCCTTCCACTGACCTGTTGACCGTGGCTTTGACCTCTGGGCCCCATTTAGCCTCGTTTGAACTTTTTTGAGTGCTGACCCCAAGAGGTCAATGCGTGGGAGTATAAAAGGAAAATATTTTCCAGTCCTGGCCATTCATATACATTATCTTCATGTCTTCTATTAAGAGCGTTTTACGTTCGATTGGTTAATAAAGTAAAGTCCTCTCTTAGGAGAGGGAAGCTTTGGTATTGTTTTGTGCTGTGAACATATGGTTAACCTTTCAGAGGTTGCCATAAAAGTCACAGACAAAGTTCGGAGCTGTGTCTGCAATGAGACGTTTGCTCTAAAGACTGTGAAACATCCCAACATTGTTGATGTCTACGCAGTGTTTGAAACTGATAAGCACACTTTTACTGTGATGGAGCTGGCCGAGGGGGAAACCTCCTGACCTGCTTGCACAGGAAAGTAGCCTGTCTGAACAAAGAGTCAAGCTGATCTTTTCCCAACTGGTGGGGCTGTGAACGCCTGTCACCAGGTGGGGATTGCACATCATGACCTTAAGCTGGAAAATGTCCTTTGGACCTGGACGGCAATGTCAAGTTGTCTGACTTTGGCCTTTGCATCTGCCAAGACCAACGAGAGTCCAGCAATGTCTTCAGTGGAACAGTTGCTTACCCTCCCCCGAGGTTTTAACGGGAGGGAATATGATGCATTCAAGCTAGACATCTGGAGTTTGGGGGTCATCCTCATTCTCTGGTGTGTGGCTCCTTCCCTTTAACGACTTCAGCATCAACCAAATGGTTCAGCTGCAGAAACATCACATCCTTCCATTTCCTGAGTCCATCAACTCAGAGTGCAAGGATCTTATCCTGCAAATGTGCCAGCCGGATGTTGCTGGAAGGCCCACTCTTCGGCAGGTTCTGAACTCTAGCTGGCTTTGCCAGTGAAATTTTGTTTCCCTTTGACCTTTGATTGTCAAGAACGACAATCACTGTGCTATTTTTATCGTCTCCAAAGTTCCAAGTTCTCCAATTGAAAGGTTGTCCTTTGACCTTTGATTGTATAGAATTTCTATTAATAAATTTGACCTTTAACCTCTGACCCTTTGTAAAGGTGAAACTTTGATGGTAGTCTTTTCATTTCTATTTTAAAAGTTGACCTTTGACCTTTGACCTTTAACTGTCACGATCAAAACCAACCCTTTCCAAGAAACACACACTTTCCATCATCACAATCACAAAGTTGATTTCTTGAATCACTTTGACCTTTCATTGTTTCATTCTTTGATTGTCAACTTTGACCTTTGACTCAATCACAAGATCGACCCTTTTCATAACAAACCAACTGTCTAAATGAACTTTGACCTTTGATTGTAAAGAATCACAGCATAGCACCGACCTCTTCGTCAATATCTTATTACAAAGTTGACCTATGACCTTTTGTAATCATGACCTTTGATGTTCCATTTTCGAAAAATCAATGGCATTTGACCTTTGATCTTCCATTGTATGGGGTTAGCCTAATACTCTGTAGTCTCGGAAGGGTGTTGACCCTAATCCTCATTTGCTGCAGCAAAAACCATCAACCCCCTTGACCTTTAGAGCACTTAGACCCTTCCACTGACCTGTTGACTGTGGCTTTGACCTCTGGGCCCCATTTAGCCTCGTTTGAACTTTTGAGTGCTGACCCCAAGAGGTCAATGCGTGGGAGTATAAAAGGAAAATATTTTCCAGTCCTGGCCATTCATATACATTATCTTCATGTCTTCTATTAAGAGCGTTTTATTGTTCGATTGGTTACCAGTAAATCCTCTTAGGAGAGGGAAGCTTTGGTATTGTTTTGTGCTGTGAACATATGGTTAACCTTTCAGAGGTTGCCATAAAAGTCACAGACAAAGTTCGAGCTGTGTCTGCAATGAGACGTTTGCTCTAAAGACTGTGAAACATCCCAACATTGTTGATGTCTACGCAGTGTTTGAAACTGATAAGCACACTTTTACTGTGATGGAGCTGGCCGAGGGGAAACCTCCTGACCTGCTTGCACAGGAAAGTAGCCTGTCTGAACAAAGAGTCAAGCTGATCTTTTCCCAACTGGTGGGGCTGTGAACGCCTGTCACCAGGTGGGGATTGCACATCATGACCTTAAGCTGGAAAATGTCCTTTGGACCTGGACGGCAATGTCAAGTTGTCTGACTTTGGCCTTTGCATCTGCTAAGACCAACGAGAGTCCAGCAATGTCTTCAGTGGAACAGTTGCTTACTC